TTGACGTAAAAAATATGTGACGTCATTGATTAGACGCATCATAGAAATAGTTCTATGAGGCGCGTAATCTTGCTTGGACGAGATTTGGTAAGTTGACATGCGCATTGCCTGTTTTCTCCAGTGTATCCGGTTTCGGTCTGAATTTTTTCTTAATCAACAGTCTGTGGGTAACATTCTCAATTACGCTCCTGTGTTACCGGAAAAGAGCTTTGCTCAAGCACCGCGCTTCGCGCGATGCTGTAGAGCTTCTCTCTATATTATCTATTTTTCAGATTCATAACTTAAAAAAATGGAACTAGTCTTAGTCCAACCTTTATTTTTATATGGTTTTACAACTTATATAATTAAGTGTTGAACTTTTAAATTCGAAATAAAAAAACGGCACCAATCGACTCATGACCTATTTTATATATTAGGCGTTTTTGTGAGTCAATTAGATTAGGTTTTGATTTGCTAGTACGATTTGGTATGATTTCGATTTGATTAGCTATGGTCCACAAATGTGAAATTTGATAATTACGATTTGGTAAGATGGCTGCCACCACGGACACCGATCAGAAAAAAAATTGTCTCTGGTAACATGACGAGGGGGGCGTGTGTTTCACGTGTAGTCCAAGTTACCTACAGATTACAGTGACACTGCTGGCACCCAGAGGGCCTAAAATTGCTTAGAGCCAGAGGTGATCTAACATTCTTGTGGACTAGAAAGTTAACATTAAAGGAGCTAAATCGCTAACATTTGGGACCTAGAAATTGACAAAAGTGGGTCGCAATGCATATAATACTGTAGTATGAATGTATATAAACTGATTTACATTCAATGGTTTCCGTTTTTACTCCAATTTCAAATCCGTTATGTTCGGCGAAATAAGCCAGCAGTCTCAAGCGAGTGCAAATTTCTAGCGTCTGGTTATTCCAGTTTACATACGCCGTTTGATTTGGTGCAATGTGTCTAGCCTCGTCCCTCGAGTCTCTTGATACAACTAGGGCTGAAGCGCATTATGGTACACGATTCGTGTACCAATGGTAAAATGTTTATTTTGTCTTAAATATTGGATATCAAAAGCCCATCTTTTCCCGTTAAGATCACAACATGAATGTTGATATAATTTGACAAATAAATCGTGTTTTCAATGTTGAAGATTTTGGATGATATTGAGTTAGAGACTTAGCTACTTTAAACACATCAAATGCGTTTTAAAAAAACATTTTTTATGGAGAAAAACAACAATAAGCATTAAAAATTACTTACGATGTCGAACATTCCGCCATTTTGAAAACGTCAAATCTAATCGCCTAAACACCTCCTGGGACGATTAGGTCGATTTGCCTAATCAGTTGAGTTAAATCGTCTCACAAATGTAACGATTAGCATAATCAACTTGGTTCACAAATGCGTATAATAGCTAATCGGTCTAATCTAATCGGTTCACAAAAACGCCTATTGTATATGTAGACAGCCGCCATTTTAAATGACATTAACAACACACATTGATTTAAGCTCTGAGTGAGCTAATGAAGACAGGCATACACTATATACAGTGTACTATGACGGAAACTTTGCACGGATAGCGGCACTATATGGCCTACTCTGATATTGAATTACAACTGTCGGAGTGTCTTTTACGTGCATGCCAATATGTACATGAGGACTTGATTTTTCGTATGACCCGAACAACTATACCTTATCCCTTGCCAGATCCTCCGCCCTGCCACAGTCCATAGAAAATTTCCGTCATAGCACTCTGCATTGCGTATGACTATCTTCAATAGTCCGACTGGTGCAGAAAAGTATGAAAATGAATTTTAAATGGGGTTTGAACATCCTACTATTTTATTCCAAGTGGGCTAATGAAGAAGGGCATATGCTATAATGGTTAAAATGTGTGATTTCGGGTTAAAATGCCGTGATGTTGGGTTATCGCCTTACGAAGGGTGATATCAGTCACCATATCTACTGGGTTTCTTTAATACTCATATTTATAGTATTTTATAGAGTCAGACTAGTGGACTAGTGAATGCACGGATTAGTGCACCTATTGGTAATGACTATATGCGGAAATGCTGCTCTCCAGGCAAAATGTCTTTCCTAGCACATCTTCATTAGTAAGTGCGGTAATGCTGCTGTCCAGGCAAAATTTCTGTCATAGCACATCTTCATTACTAATTTTGATAAAGCCACGGTGGCTAAGTGCGTAAGATGCTGGCTCGATAATCCAGAGCACGTGTTCGATCCCTGCATTGGTGGAGAAAGTTCATCAGGATTTTCCGACATGGTTTCCCCTTGTCAGAGGTGCAGGAACAAGGACAGTAGTCTAGTCACTCAGATGGGACAAAAAACCGAGGTACCATGTATACATTGGCTTGCACGAAAAGATTCCTTGGCAGTTGGATTCGATATTAGTAGGCCATAGTGCCGCTGCTGGGGCAAAATTTCCCTCATAGCACATTGTATGGTATGTACCTGTCTTCATTAGCCCAGTCGGAGCAGAACAGTAGGACAATAAACCGATTTCATCAGGACAAATCTACATGAGGAAAAACCTACATTTCACAAACTTAGTAATTAGTAACGGGGGGGGGGGGGGGGGGTTGGATGGCTGAATGGTTAGCGTGCGGGCGCTGTATCATAAAGTCTATCATTGAGTTGACTGTCGTGGTTTCGAATCCCCGGTTGTACGTGACAAGGAGTAGGGTCGCTTGTCCAACCTCCGGTTTTCTCCCACTGCTAAAGACCCCTACGCGCAAGCGAATTATGTAAATAAAAATTAAACTATATGTTAGTCCTGAAATGACCTAGTTTGTGTCGAGTAGACGTTAAACCCCATTTCTCTCTCTCTCTCTAGTAATTAGTAACACACTGGCTAGCAAATGAGGGGTTCAATTTCCGTGTTGGTCGAGAAAAATGAAATGAAATCGGGTTTAATGTCCTACTGTTCTGCTCCTAAACTGAGCTAATGAAGACGAGCATACGCCATACAGTATGCTATGAAGGAAATTTTGCCCAGGCAGCGGCGCTATGGCCTACTCTTATATCAAGTTCCAACTACCAAGGGATCTTTCATGTGCACTCCTGTGTGTACACGTGACCTCAGTTTTTCATCCCTGACTAGACAGCTGTTCTTGTCCGGCCCTCCGTCCTGTATCACTGACAAGGGGAAAACACGCAGGAAAATCTGGATGAACTTTCTCAGCCAATGCAGGGATCGAACACCCGACCTCCAGGCTAGCGAGTCAGCGTCTTACTCACTTAGCCAACGTGATCCCCATGTTGGTCGAGAAAGTTCCCTTTGTTAGTAGTGGTGTAGGACAGAGGACCTCAAAAAAACAGTGTCTAGTCCATCACGTGGGTGTGCACGTAAAAGAACCCTTGACATTTGGAATTTGAAATGAGAGTAGATCATTCATTCATTCGTTTTCTCTTTGTGTGTCACCTACAGTTCGCAACTATTAAAGGAGCTAGATCTCTATTCTTGGGCACTTAGAAATGAAATGAAATGAAATGAAATGGAGTTTAACGTCCTACTTTTCTGCTCCTAACCTGGGCTAATGAAGACAGGCATACGCCATACAGTGTGCTATGAGGGAAATTTTGCCCGGACAGCGGCACTAAGGCCTACTCTTATATCGAATTCCAACTGCCAAGGGATCTTTTACGTGCACGCCAATGTGTACAAGGGACCTCGGTTTTTCGTCCCATCCGAACGACTAGACAGCTTTCCTTGTCAGCCCCTCTGTCCTGCATCACTGACAAGGGAGAACCACGCTGGAAAATCTGGATGAACTTTCTCGGCCAATGCAGGGATCGAACACCCGACCTCCAGGCTAGCGAGCTAGCGTCTTACCCACTTAGCCACGTGATCCCCCACTTAGAAATGGATATAAAATGTAATGAAATGAAATGGGGTTTAACGTCCAACTGTTCTGCTCCGAACTGGGCTAATGAAGATGGCCATACACCATACAGTGTGTTATGAGGGGAATTTTGCCCCGACAGTGGCACTACGGCCTACTCTTATATCGAATTCCAACTGTCAAGGGATCTTTTACATGCATGCCAATGTGTACACGGGACCTCGTTTTTTTTTTTATCCCATCTGAACAACTAGACAGCTGTCCTTGTCAGGCTCTTCGTCCTGCATCACTGACAAGGGGAAAAAACGCCGGAAATCTGGATGAACTTTCTCGGCCAATGCAGGGATCGAACACCCGACCTCCAGGCTAGCGAGCCAGGGTCCTACCCATTTTTGTCCCATTTTAATGACTAGACAGCTGTCTTGTCAGGCCCTTAATTGTTAGTATCATGACATTAAACTGACATTTGTTTTACGTTTTACAACTAATATCAGGTTTATGTTAGAAAACTAACGTTAGATTTATGTTAGAAAACTAACGTTAGATTTACGTCAGAAAACTAACGTTAGATTTACGTCAGAAAACTAACGTTAGATTTACGTCAGAAAACTAACCATAAACTAACGGTTAGAAACCTGATGTAAAATTTACGTTAGATTAACGTTAGAATTGTAACCAATAATACATATATAATTATTATGTCTGAATTCCGACTATATATCAATTGTTAGAATGTGCACACACTTGTAATGTTATTTAATCAAGAAGTATTCAAAGGGAAAAAAATTGGTTAGTAATCCGTCATAAAGTTTACGTTACATTTACGTCATTTTCTGACGTAAAAGTAACCATAACCATTATGACGTAAAAGTAACGTAAATTTAACCAAAGAATTTTACCATTATTGGACGCTAACCAAAATCTAACCATAATGACGTAAACTTTACGTAAATCTAACCATCAATGTTAACTGGGTATGCGCTCCACATTCCCTGCTCTCGATGCCAACAGTATCCCCAGCAATGCATAAGCATAATTAGGCCGACACAAAATGTTGTGGTGATTATAGCCTAACGCGGTTTTATAACTGTAAACCGTGCTATTATTGCATAGTGCAGTTTATAAGCATAGTATAACATTGTATAAAACTATATATGTATCGTAATCCACAGAGACATCTATATTAGCTTACCATATGATTGTTGATTTCATTGTAATTTTACTTTGTCGATTTCAAAGACCGGTGTCGGTGATTTTGGTTCCATGTTATATTCGGCTCGCCTCGACAGTGAATGGAATTCGCGAAGTGGGCAAAATCAGATGGGTGCGATTTGATGTATGGCAAAATAAATTTCGGCGATGCTATATGCGTCAAGAAATCGTGAAAAAAGAATTATTGATATAGCCTTCCCGTAAGGTAGACCGTAACGTAAGTATTAAATTTTACATCTGAGTTGTCAGTTGATATACAGAATATACAGACTTTACATTAGTTTTAGCTGTCTATGTGTTATTAATCCATAATAAGCCAGTGCTTTGATATCTTCCAAGGCGTATATATATCAATATACAATCAAATATGTTTTATTTTACGTATTTATATGCTTAATGAAAAAGAATATCAGTTATCCAACGTTAAGTTAAATACTTAAACGATGAATATATCTATATATTATACATACAATGTATTCACAATTGTTTAACAAGAGGGTATAGAAATATAATATACGTACGTTTATAGCAAATAAAAATTCATGTTTGTCAAATTGTTGTTTTCTAATGCATGTACAAATAATGTATTTAAAACAATTTATTATAGGCTACTTAGTCATATGCTGCACATTCTATACATTAAGAAAAATTTGAAATTATCTTAATGGTAGATTTAAAAGTGTACATGGTACGTGAGGTAATTTGGGGTGTAAGTTAATTCAGTTTAGTGTTAATATTTATAGCAAGGATTACAACACGTTTTGGGTATGTAATATGCCATGCAGCAGTTCACTCATTCTAGTGAGCATGTGCTACATAATCTACGTTAAAATATGTAGTGTCAAAAATGTTTCCCTTCATTTAATTTTAATGATATAATATCTTTGGCAAGAAATATATTTTCCTCAGCAATTTGTATATTTTCCCAGTCAATGGTTATGTAGACTTTTTTTTGGTTTACTGAATATCGTATATGCCTTGAATTTTAAATTAACATGTCATATCTTTTATTTTATTTAGATATGGAACCACCCCCTCCACCCTACAGTGAGGCCATATGTTATCCAAAGTCTAGGGGACGGGATCCCATTGTATCACCAGATTTTTCCAATCAACACGAAAGCCAATCTTCTGACACAACAGACACTGCCTTTCTAAATGACGTTGACATCAACATCCCACAACTGCCAAGCTATGAATCATCTGAACGTACTAATATAGCGGCCACAAATGATGAGAGGTCAGAGGATCGTGAATCCTCTCCACCAAGTTATAATGTGGTTGCACAAGTATTAGCAGGATATTCTGTATCAGGATATTCAAGAGCAAACAATGATGCAAATAACATGCAACATGAACCATCTCAAGGAAATCCTGTAGATTTTAACAATGTAACACAATTTGTTCCTCCCAGTCCTATTAATTATGGCAATGGTGGAGGATATCAACACGGTTTGAATTCTTCAATTTCACCTCAAGCAAGTGCTGCATATGATCCTAGTGAACACTCAGTTATGATTCACAATGCACAGGCTTATAATACCACTCCCTTGGTAAGTTTCTTGAGTTAAAAGTTAACCAGGCATATCTACATTTTGAAATGAAATGGGGTTTAACATCCTACTTTTCTGCAGCGACTGGGCTAATGAAGACGAGCATACACCATAGAGTGTGCTACAACAAGGGAATTTTCCCTGTACAGCAGCGCTATGTCCCACTCTTTTTTCGTAATTTCAATTGTCATGGGTTCTTTTATTACATGCATGGCAATGTGTGTAAGGGAACTCAGTTTTTTGCCTCATCTGAGCAACTAGACACTGTCCTTGCCAGACTGGCTGTCCAGGAAAAAACACGTCGAAAAATCCCAAAGAACTTTCTCGGAAAACACTGACAGTAAACCCAAGACCTCCTGATAAGTGAGCCAGCGTCTTTCTCACTGAGCCACTGTGACTCCCTCTAAAGTTAAAACTTAACAGACATCTACATTTTGTTTCATTTACAATAAGCTTAAAGCTGAAAATATGCTAGTTTTAGGGCATGGAAATTGACTGATGGGCCCTGGTAAGGGTGGCCTGGTTGGAGCCCCTGACACTACCACTCGTTTGGTCAGCTGAAAATGAGATCGTGAAATTCTTTAATGACTAAAGTTATTATCTGATCTCCAGAATCTAGCCTGGCAACATATCTTTGTGTCTTTTAATAAATAAGTTAAAAGTTAGACAATTAAAAAGTATTGGTATTGGGGTAGGAGGTCGTATAAAAATAATTAAAACATAGAGTGACTAGGAATAAATGAAATAAAATTTTTAAAAATATGTTGCATTTCTGCACTAACTGTTTTAATGAGGACAAGCATAACATGCCATGTATGTAAAAACTAGTGGCCTTATAGCAGCATGGCCTACTTTTAATATGATGCCAGTGATATACAAAGGGCCTCAGTTTTTTGTACTGTCTGCTGACAAAAACTTGGTTCGAAAACTTGGAATAGAGAAATGTACTGTGGAGTTTATAGGACTAGCAAAATAAAATTCAAGTCAATTTGAATATTTTACAGGCATATGGAAATGAAGTATCTCGATCGAGTGCAGGAGCTGCCACCAAGGTTATTGGTATGATGCTGTGTCTATTGTCTTCACTTCTCTTTGTCACATTTTTCTCTCTTATTTTCTGAATACAATATGGCAGCTGTTAATTATATTGTTCTATGATCATCGTTTTTCTACAGATGAAGATATTGGAAATGGTTAAAGACCCTGCATGTCATTTCTCATTTCTTGGAAATTATCAAATTTTCCACTACTAAAATGTACTCAGATTTATTATTTGATATTTATTTAAGAAAACAAAATTAAAATATCAACTGCTGATGACCTCCAGGATTCGACTCAGTCGAATTAAGAATAGGCCTATTAAAATATTCAGCGAAACTTATAGGTGGTGCTGGGAGCATGATTCAACTATATCGTCTACGGTGGATGCCAAATTTTCATTTCATCATGTCTTTGTAAATTCTCAACAGAACTAGTCAATTTTTGGATTTATAATCTGTATAAAGATTCAACTTTCACAATATTGTAGTTTGCAAGGGATTAAAAATCCCTCAAAGGATGCTCAGAGACTTTAAGCAGTTTTCTTTTGAACAGTTGTGTCCCTTTACTTACTGACTGGTATTTGATAATTGTGATATAATACTGCATGATATTTTATGTATTTATTATGACTGCCTCTGTTATATTTATGTTTTGTTTTTATGTATATATAGATAGCGTAATTCATCGATGTAGTGCAATACATGTATCATATTAACCCACCTTTGAACATGACTTGAACCATTTTGTTTTCAAGATTACCTTTTACCTTTTGAAGAAAGAGGAGGACTATTAAAATGGGTCTGTCCGTCCGTCACACTTTTTGAGACACAATGACTCTCCTTTTAATTGAGGTAGAATGTTCAAACTTGCTGTAGGTGTTTATTAGGTGAATGCCTTAATGGAGTGCGAAGGTGGGCATTTTTTTTGCTTAGGCTGAGCTGAGATAAGCAGTTTGATTGATTGATGCTTTGGGACACTATAGTTTAAATTAAGTGAGAGTGTTGAAACTTGGTGCATAGTTTTATTATATCAATACCTTGACTAACTTCGATAATGAACATTTTCTGCTCAAGGTAAGTAGAGCGATAAGCGATTTGATTGGTTGAGACTTTAGAACTATACTCTATGATGGAGTTCGAAGGTGTGGACTTTTTGCTTAGGCTAAGCAGAGATAAGCAATTTGATTGTTTGAAACTTTGGAACACAATAACTTTGGTTTAAATTGGGTGAGGGTGATGAAACTCAAGAGTATAGATTCATTATATCAATACCTTGACTAAGTTCGATGATGAGTATTTTTTGCTTAGGTTAAGTAGTTAGTTATAAGCAATTTGATTGGTCAAGACTTTTGAACGTAACAGCTCTGCTTTTAATTGTGGTAGAATTTTAAAACTTGGTGTAGATGTTCATTAGGTGTATGTCTGGACTGATTTCAGTGATTAACATTTTCTTGCTAAAACTAAACAGAGCTAAGCAATTTCATTGTTTAATGCTTTGGGACAAGATAACTTTGATTCTAACTTATGGAGAGTGATGAAACTTAGTGTACAGTTTCACTAGCAGGTACTTCACAACCTTGACTGAGTTCGATCGTGAACACTTTCTGCTTAGTCTAAGATTAGATAATCAGTTCATTTGCTAGATACTTTTCCCAAAAAATAAATGTGCAGTTAATTAGTATGTGTGATCTATTTATTTTGGGATATCGTCGGGGTACATCAGCCCTACTGTTGGCTTGTTTATTTTGTGATATATCAATGCATGATATTTTATGCATTTATTATGACTGCCTCTGTTATTTTTAGGTTTTGTTTTTAAGTATATATAGATAGCGTTATTCATTGATGTACATGTAGTGCAATATCATTTAACTCTCCTTTGAACGTGACATGAATGTAAAGGTCCTGAACTGTAAATGTTAAAAACCTTTAGCCCGTCAATTTTTGACGTATCTCGAACTAACAGGATATTTTTCCTGTATAGGATGATCCCCATTTTTTAAAAATATTTTTTTTAAGTGTTTTGTTTTTAACTTGAAATATAAATTTAAATTTAGTTATGTATTTAGGTTAAGTTCTTTGAAATTCTGATTTCATAGCATATAAATTGAATGAAAGATAAGTTCTCCACGTGGTCATTTTGACTACCAGTCAGTCAAGACCAGTAAATATGAGCCCTGTTGGAAACCACTACCTCACACTGAAATTATTCATTCAATTAAAGCTGAATAAATGAATGAAATCAGTTTAATGTTTTAGTTTTCTGCACATACTAGGATAATAAAAGTGTTGTTTACATGTACGCCAATGTCTACATGGGACTTTGTTTTTTTGCCCCATCTGAATGACTAGATGCTGTTCCTTGCCAGATTTTCCATCCTGCATCACTGACAAAGGGAAACCACAACGGCAAATCCTGACGAATTTCTCGGCCAACACCGGGATCAAACCTTTGCTTCCTGGTTATTAAACCAGCACCTTACTGAGCCACCATTGGTGCCTTGCTTAAAGCTAATCAACTGTTAAATTATGAAAGTCGGAAAAGGACATATATGCACAACCATTTACAGTTAACTATCTTGTGTACAGACATTATCCCTTGCTAACACATTAACTTTGGGTACAATTTTATTATAAGAATCCTATAACCTAAATTAGAAAATGCCATAGACTTTTTTATTAATCATTTGATTTAATTCCTTGACTATATCCGTAAGCATATGTTATGTTCCGATTTTTTTTTAAAATGACAACCTAAGCTGACACCTAAGAGACATTGGGAATACAATAAGGTGTCAGTGTGATTGTTTTTGAAAAAGGATTGGAAAGATTTAGATTTGAACATGGAAAGATAAGTGATTACAATTTTAGAATCTCATTTCTTTACCTAACTATTTGTATTGTACAAATAAACAGTATTAAAGCATGTACATGTATGTATATAATTTTATATAAGTTATTTTTGACATATGGGAGAAATTACTTAGTTCTGTTATGACAAAAGTAGGACCAGAACAGAAATTGTTATATGAATGTCAAAAATGGATTATATTATGTGTTCCAGAGAGATTAGGCATACCTTCAGGGGCAGATCCAGAGGGGGGTTTGCGGGGTCCAAGTCCCTCCCTGCTCAGCTGCATGAAAAAAATTGTAAAACAACACTTTTATGAGAAAAGTGCCACGGTCGTGTGGTTTATCCTTTATCATCAGATGGTGGGACGGGATGGGCATTCAAAGCGTGAGATAATGATATAAATATGTGATATCACAATTAATGCTTTGCATCAATGAAATTGAATCACAATGTGATCCTATTAATTCATAATAAAAATTGACGTCAAATGCGGTGTTGGATTTCTCTCTTTGCCTACATAATTTGGAGGCGATGATGGCATAATGCATTGTCAACTGTCAAATTTCCTTAACAGGAATCTGGCAAACCCCCTCCTTAAAAAATTCCTGGATCCGTCCCTGATACTTTGCTTTGTACCTCTGTTACATGGAGCATTTGGTCTATCATTTCTGAAAGGTGTAGTACAGGTTTCAAGAACAAACTTCCTAATTTCTTCCATTACCAGTTGTATCATTGTTTAGACAGTAATTGTTACAGTTTTAGGACAAAATAAATATATTTATGCTTTAAACATGGACAAGTCTGAAAGTCATTATTTAAGAGCTAAATCTGCCTATTGCAGGTCTTTCTTTGGGCCTTAAATGTTATATAAACTATTAATTAGACGTTAATTATCATGACAGCCAATAATCAACTCTTGGCGCCATCGGATGGCCTGATTTTAAGTAGATTAGAAAAGTTCAGTCATTTAATGATTTAATTTAAAAATGGAGAAGCGAGGCTAAGACTCTAATGACCAGTATACTGATTATGATCAATGCACAAATCTTGTCAAAACTACAACCATTGAAAACGTCACTCAAAATAAAGTAATTTGACTGAAACCTTCAATATATTCATTTTACATTATCTTTATCTAAATCTTAATTAATGGTTATATCATATGAACTACAAGGGTTACCTTGTATTCGTTAGGTGTCTTTTTATACGCCCACATTTAAATGTGGTCGTATATTGTCATCTGTCCGTCCGTCGGTCCTAGAGGCTAAAGTTATTATTCGATTGACTTTAAATTTATACACAGTGTTTAAGGTCTTGAGACGAAAAAGCCTATTGATTTTCAGCGATTTCCGATAATTACTGCCAGAGTTATGGCCCTTGATCACTTTGAAAAATCTTGTGGACGCTCTAGAGACCAAAGTTAATATCCGATTGACTTTAAATTTATACACAGTGTTTAAGGCCATGAGACGAAGAAGCCTATTGATTTTCAGCCATTTCCGATAATTACTGCCAGAGTTATGGCTCTTTATCACTTCAAAAAATCTTGTGGACACTCTACTGGCCAAAGTTAATATCTGATTGGCTTTAAATTCATACACAGTGTTCAAGGTCATGAGACGAAAAAGCCTATTGATTTTCAGCAATTTCCGATAATTACTGACAGAGTTATGGCCCTTGATCACTTTGAAAAATCTTGTGGACGCTCTAAAGGCCAAAGTTAATATCCGATTAACTTTAAATTTATACACAGTGTTTAAGGTCATGAGACGAAGAAGCCTATTGATTTTCAGCGATTTCCGATAATTACTGCCAGAGTTATGGCCCTTGATCACTTTGAAAAATCTTGTGGACGCTCCAGAGGCCAAAGTTAATATCCGATTGACTTTAAATTTATAATCAGATTTTAATGTATTATAAATGTTTCATTACCGAAAATTAAAAATATGCGACAACTCTTGTTAACTGCCCGGACAATTTAGCTGCTGTGGGCGTATGTTTCGTTGCCTGGCAACCTATCTTTCTACAACTGATGAATTTTGTCTCAAATTAAAAAAGAAATTCTCTGATATACCAACATTTAATGTAGATGTATATTGTTATCTTTGTCCGCCATCCATTGGTATACCACTCATTTTCCTGTCAACACTATGCAGGTCAGAGATACTTTATTTGGTCATAAGATCGCATCGTATCAATAATCAAATTTTTTGATAGAATTTTGTAAAACTCTATGGGATTGTCTGTTATGGTATGAGAAAGAACTCTATTTAATTACAATTGTATATTTTGTATGTGTTTTGCAGAGTTATTTTTTCAATCGCATATTTACTTTTTAAGCCTGTGAACATGATAAAAAGCTTAGTGAGATGGTTGATTTGGAGGAATTGTGTCATAATTCTGAATTTTGGAGTGGCAAATCGCAGAGTTATCTAGCCATTTTCGTTCAAATTTATGAAATGTTGTGAACACAATACACGACAAGTTCCCAACATAACTTTTTAAGACTAAGTCAGATTGTTCATTGTGATTTAAGGAAATATTCATTAAATTTCCTAATTTACGGATTCTCAAATTTCTTGTCACATGACCTTCAAAGCTTATTAACGCAATATTTGAACAACTTTATTGATGTAATGGTCAAAAACTTTATGAGATTGTTCATAAGACTGAATGCTTTCAAATTTCAAAATTTGTGGGCCTTAAAAATTAACAGAGCTACTGTAAAATAATTTTAGAGCTAGCACTTTGCTGTGTATTAGGTGCCCTGACATGCACCTGTCCATGTTTTAATCGTACATTTTTTGTTATTATATATAATAAACAATACTCAAGGAAAAAATGTTATCAACAGTGTCTTTAGTCAATGTTATATGATCCATAAAACTTTGGAAAATAAAGCTTTTAAAGTATAAAGGTTAATTGTTATAAATGTAACATGTCTGAACCTTGTTCTGGCTTGATGTTTTGAATCCTTGAATCAGTTTAAAGCATCCTCAACATTTTGGTTCATGCCCGTCCCCCGGGGGGGGGGGGGGGGGGGGGGCCCCACCATTGTGTGAATCACCTACAGGCTGCATTTCTCATTGGATCATGAGCAATCATTTAAATAACATGATTGTATCTGTGCTTAGGACCACAACCCATTGCTTTTGCCAACCAACCCCACAGTTCTGAATGGATCAACTTGAAAGTGAAACTTGCCATATTGGTACTTATTCCTTATGCCCTAGGCACAGCACCTATTGATTTTGGTGCATGCCCGACCCTCGGGTGTCTATAAACACTCTACACACCACGATTCTTAACGGATTTTGTCCTAAAGACTTGAAATTTAAGTGAGAGCATCATGAATTGAAAATCACCATGAAATTCACTGTCTATTGAATCTATTCAAATTTTACACCAGCGTTACATGATCAATGGGTTGCATAACATCTGTGACAAATAAATTTAGTTTGCAAATTTGGAATAGTATGGTAGGCCTTCCCTATACAGTATTTAAAAACCCTATCAAATTACAATGTACACCTATACACGACTTGTGTGTGGGTTTAAATTTGATGAGTAATCTACAAAGAAACCACCACCCATTTTTGGGGGGGATAGGTAAAAGTTTTAGAAAGATCCTATGGTTAGATTCTGAGAAATCCGATTTGTGGACAAAACACAAAAAAAAAAATAATATAATGCCCAAGAAAAAATGAAACGAAATGAAATGCGCTTGGATTAAATAAGATTACAAAGAAATTGGAAATGAAATGAAAGAGGGTTTAATGTCCTACTCCTACTAGTCTGATGAAGACGGGCATACAAAATGCATGCAGTGTGCTATAGTATTAGGGAAATTTTGCCCGGACAGCAGCGCTTTGGCCTACTCTTATTTTGAATCCCAACTTTCACGGGTTCTTTTACGTGAAGGCCAGTGTGTAGCCTACACGGGACCTTGGTTTTTTGTCCCATCCAAACAACTATACGTTGTCCCTTGCCAGGCCCTCTGTCCTGCACCACTGACAAGGAGGAACCACACTGGAAAATCCTGATAAACCTTCTCGGCCAACGCAGGGATCGAACACATGACATCCAGGTTAGCGAGCCACCTTGGCTCCTGAAAATGCCCAAACAGAGAGAGAGAGAAATGGGGTTTAACATCAACTCAACCCAACCTAGGTCATTTCGGGACTAACATACCATATATGATTCAATTTTTTTTTTTCAATAATTCGCTTTTGCGACCCTACTCCTACACGTACACGTACAACCGGGAATTCGAAACCACGCCAGATGAGTCAATGACAGACCTTATGATACAACGCCCACGCGCTAACCATTTGGCCAATGCCCAAACAACAACTGCAAGTTAGCCTACATAATTATATAAATAATAATCGTAGTCTGACATGGCCTGTCGAAAAAGGTAAATCCCCGATTATTATTTTCAATGGTGTTAATTTGAAATTGTCATCATTTCGGAAGACTTTCAGATTGATCGTGGCGGATTTATTTTGTTGAGCAGCAAAATGTAGGTCACCGTCTTTGTTATCTCCCCTGTGGTCGTTCTTCAATTCCAAATTAACATAAAAGGTCTTCACTTCCGTTCGGTGCGTGAATACAAAAAACAAAAACAAATTTCAATATATTGTTGATTGTAGCAATCCTTAGATTAAATGTAAATCAAACTAATATTATAAATAAAACCGTGTCTTGCGGTCCCAGTGCTTTTTTTTTTAGTACAGTTTACTTTTTTGACTTCTTGAAAAGTTGAAAAATAAAAAACAATACAGAAAAACCTCCCAAGGCAAGGAAGGAGCTAAACTATTTACTATATACAAGCCGGCAACAAAGGCAAAGAAAGGGTTTTCCGGTGTAAAGCCCCTGAAATTACAGGAAGTAAACTAAGTGTTAAAGGTTGAGATGTACACAGATTTCTGTTCCTGAAACAGAAAAAAAGGATTTAGAATGGAGAATACCTTTTCCGTTGGATTAAAAAATAATATTGCTCCACAGCAAGAATATCTTCTTCAAGGCAGTATCGTTGATCTCCACAGAGAAGTATTGATACACAGATTAAGAGGACTTTGTGACAATGCTGACAAACAACCAGAAACATTCTCTGATCATGAAATGGTTTTCGTGCTAAGTACGTTGATTACATTTCATTTCTGTCTCGTGTCATTTCAGACTAAAAAAAATATGGCCTCAACATTTCGGACTTGGGCAGGTGACATTTCTGACTCGGTAGTTGATGTTTCTGACTCGGGAGTAAGTTGAAAGGAAAGGTTGTACACAACTGTCAAATTAATTGATAGTAAGCCAAAAACGATTTTATAAAAATAACATGCTGGTAAAATTTACCACTTGCCATGAAGTACAGCATGTGGAGTCGTGGATCACGCACCGTATAAACTTCCCAAGGAACGGCAAAATTTATGTTTTATTTCTATATATTTGTAATATGTATGTATTTATTAGAAATAGGTCAATTCAAAACACGAAAGAAAATATTAACATGAAACGTGGTTATTAAAAGGCTCCACCAAACGATAAAACATTAGTTGCACGAAAAGTGGTCAAGTAAGTCTGAACCGTTGTCAAACAGAGTCCGAAAGGTCATCTGTTTTGAGTCCGAAATGTTGCAGGACCGAAATGTTGTGCTACCAGTACGTTTATCTCTATTTGTCTGAAGCTTTAGTGCATAATTATCTCCCATGCTTAATTCAAAGTAGTAAGAAAAATTTCCATATTGTTATATTTTATTATCAACTTTCTGTCATTTGGCTTTCCGGTCTTTGATTAATCTGTATTATGTCCCTTTTGGACCCCTTATTGGACAATAAAGTTATAATCATTATAATACAGTCCCTATGTATATTATCAACAAACTCAAGTCTCACTCAACTGTAACTTGCTCATGTAAAAATCATTTACCAACACAGTCAGGTTATGAATTCAATAATTGCCATCATTTATATTTTCAGGAGGTGCCACTGCCCAGCAAAATCCTGTTTTATTTCGTGTCAGAAGGTCATTAGATCCCCCAGATGATCCATCGTGGTACGTATTTCTTCGTCCTTATTGTATTAGTTTATTATCTATAATTATTTCCTCCTTGGTACATGTGATATCAGTTTAATTTATTAGGGAACTGTCCTTAAATCTGCAATTAGTGAATTTAATTTCTAACCAGTCATCACCCCTTTTATTTAACTGTGCATACATGTAGGTCTTGCATGTTCTTGGTGAAATGGGTGAGGTCATTTACTCATGAATGAAATTATTGGTAGAGCAATTCATTATCTATAATAATGTTTCAGTATAAGATTGTCCAAATAACAAGGATGTAAAAGTCTATACGAATACTGCATGTTCTCCGATCTATACATATCTTTTCAAAAAAAAAAAAAGTTATTACTTCAGTTTGTAAATAAATTCTTTTCAGGCACATTAGATATTTAGGAACATCTGAAATTGGGGATAAAAATCGTCATACTCTAGTTCGAGCCTGTTTCGATGTAGCATGCTCAAATAATGTAGTAAAGTTTCTAAATGAAATGGGTTTCAGGTAATTTCAATATATTCATTGTTATGTTTGTGAAAAAGTTCTCTATTCAGCTAATAAAATCACTTACTTTGTATAAAGCATTAAAATCCAGATATGGAAATATTGTTTTCTAGAGATATGAAAAGAATCAAATTTCTATTTGTCTTCAAAAAGAATTTTTGTTTAACTTTGCATAGTATATTGCATTTCTTGATATTTGTCCTCAAACAGAATAAATATTAGAGCATATCAAGTTCTGCCGTGACCACAAAAGTTCATTATCTAACATGTAGCATTGATAATGATAACTGGTGTATCAAGCCTTCCCTAATCCACTGTAAACGAAGCTCAACAAAAGGCACAAAAGAATATTTAAAGAATATTTGATTGTTAATAAAATTTAGAAATGCATTTTTTTCATTTCAGGTCGGATCATGAATATTGTGTTAAAGGTTATTTCTTCCATAAAGGAAGAATGAAAGTTACTGTATCCAAGATTTATAGAGTAAGTAATCATGATAAAATATAATCAGATTGGTTGTCTATAATATAATATCTGGTCACCATTAATTATAATGGTAGATATTAAAATAAGACAAGATGTATTTCAGTTTATTTTTCATTTCATATTTGTTTTATATTATACCTTATTTTATATTTTACCTGTAGATGCCAGATGAATTTAAAATCATAATTTGTATAAATTGTTAGGGATTAGGTGATTTGTTTATGTGGGTCTAACTGAAAATTGAATAATTAGACAAAAGATATAAGATTTTATTTATTCAATAATCTGTCAAAGAAAATATCTGTTATGTCGATGTTTTATTTATGATGGTGCAAATAGGTTTTTCTTTCGTTTTATATGGTACAAATTTTCTGTTAAGTTGGTGTTTCATTTTAGATTGTACAGATTATCTGTTTAGTTGTTGATTCATTTTAGATGGTGCAGATTATCTGTTAAGTTATTGTTTCATAGGGGGATTGGATGGCCGAATGGTTATCGTGTGTGCACTGTATCATGAGGTCCGTCATTGAGTCAACTGGCGTGGTTTTGATTCCTCGATTGTATGTGACAAGGAGTTGTGTCGCCCGTCCAACCTCGTTTTCCTCCGTTTTCTTCCCGCTTCTAAAGACCTCTACATGCAAGCTATTTATTGAAATAAATTTGAACCATATGTTAGTTCCGAAATGACCTAGTTGGTGTCAAGTGGATGTTAAACCCCATTTCACTCTCCCTCTCTCTCTGGTGTTTCATTTTAGATGGTACAAATTATCTGTTAAGTTTGTTTTTAGATGGTACAAACTGGTGCACCCGATGGTAATACCCAGGAAGCTATGACACAATCCAGTCTGGTAGAACTTAGTGTAGTGGCACCAGCAGGGCAGGAACAAATAGCAGATGATATGAAGAACTTTGCTGAACAGCTTAAACCGTATCCTTGTTACTTAAAGTAGCTAAGTATCTAACTCAATATCATCCGAAGTCTTCGATGTTGAAAACATGAATTATTTGTCAATTTAAATCAACATTGATGTTGTGATCTTACCAGGAAAAGACAGGCTTCTGATATCCAATATTTAAGACAAAATAAACATTTTACCATTCGTGTACCATAATGCGTTTGAGCGCCGTTTTTAACAAGGAACTTGAAGAACGAGGCTAGACATATTCCACAATTCATGTCAAACGGTGACGTAATATTCTTATCGGGAGAGCGTGCACAATAAATAATATTGGTGTAGACTGGAATAACCAGATGCTAAAGATTGCCATTCGATTGAGACTTCTGGCATATTTCGCCGAACACAACTGATTTTAAATTAGAGTAAAAACGAAAAAGATTGAATGCAAATCAGTTTATATTCATTCATATTACATTATTATATGCATTGCGACCCATTTGTGCCAATTTCTAGGTCCCAAATATTAGCGACTTTTAAGACATACACCTTTGTTCTCTACACTTTGTTATTATGCAATAACTCTTTGAAAACTTTTGAGATAAATTGTACACATACATGTGCAAGAAAATATCCATCTTCTGGTATATTAAAGGTAATTATTTTCAGGTTTATGATCAAACACCAAAGGGTATGTTTCCTTATCTTTATTTAGTCTTGTACAGCTAGAGAAAGTTGACCAGAAGAGATTATCAGTACAGTGAAGATATTAAAACTATTGTTGACGAAATTGTGTAATGTGCAATGGTGCATATATATATCTGTAACAATTTCCTGAACAATCATGTTCACTTCACAGAGATATGAACATCAATAAATAATAGCTGATAGATTTTGAATGATGGTTGGGGAATAATGGTGATTGCAACTGGAGAAAAATAGATTAGTGTACACTCTATTATAGACTTCAGAGTGATATTAGAATGTGACCAACAGTGTTTTAAACACAATATCTACTGGTATTCTAAATAGTCACAGCTAATGTGAGCAGTGAACAGATTCTAAAGCCGAGTTTAGGCTTCAATCAATAATCAGTGGTTCCTGAATACAGAACAAGCTATTATTTGTATAAATTTTAATAAAATGTCAAAAATCAATACAACAAGTATTACTGTTATTCAACCAAATCATTTCATTTTAACCTTTCTGAACGTAAGTAACAGTATCGGTACAGTTCTGCTTTTATTTGCCCACATATTTTTCTAAACCACTTGGGATTGTTCTGGTAGCTATACGGAGCAACCCTATCAAAAATCAGAATACTTCTCCTTTCACCAAAAAGTGCACTACCGATTAGAGTTTTTGATTTTCTTTTTTCAAATTTTCTTGGATTGTTGAGCTAGTCGTAACCGGGAATCCTATCAAAATTCAGAATCGTTATTGTCTCTGTTAAATAGTTTGAGATTTTTTGGATCAAACTTATGTTCAGAGTGATGAGGTATCCTAGGTTTGAAACAAAATAGAGTATTAACATATTATATTTGTGCTGCAACTGGTCTAATGAAGACCTGTATATGCCATGCTTTGTCCTATGAGGGAAATATTGCCTGGATAGTAGTGGTACTCGTATTTTGATTTCCATCTGTCGAGGGATCTTGGGTATATCTAACTTTTGACCTCCTAGTTACTGATCCATCATTATACCCACAAAACCACAAAATCAATCTTGCATTTGAAACTTTTTGAATACGTATTACAAACTGCAAACTAAGCAGTTCACAAGCTATTTGTTTTTATGTGTTATGCTTAAAGGCAATATGACACCCAAATTCTAATTTGTTTTAATTTATAATTTATTAAAAGGAATCTATTATACTGCTATACTGTTGAAATGTTGAGAAATTGCATCCTGTTTTTATTTTAAATATGACCAATCTCTTATATCTAATAGATTGTAATTTGGAATGGAATAAAATAGTAGCAGAATAAGGTTTTGCGATCTGCATAAACAGAAATCTAAGTACTGTATAAGTTTAACATCACAACAACAATTTAATTAGACCATTCGGAGACAAATATTGCTCCAATGGAGTTGGAGAATGGGGATACACCTAGGGGGGTACATTTTAATTAATAAAGACATGAAATAATTAAATGTTTATTCTCAAATTGGATTTCTATACATTTATCATGCTGGTGTTATTAACATGAATTTTTATAAAATAAAATATAAAAAATAAGATAATTCAATTAGATCTGCCAAATTTGGTTAGATTTGTTCTTCAGGCTCATGCAAGTAAACTGGAAAAAATGTGTGTCAGGGGATCACTAGACCTGTAATTAGTGTTGCAGAAGCGGAAATAATTTTAGATGTGCCTGTCAAAATGTAAGTCACCAATGAACCAGTATTTGACATTTTAAACTTTATGCCAGTCACTGCCAGACATGTATTCCAAATATCATTAAAAATACTGATAAAAGACAGATTTGTGCTACCAGACAAAATGACAGGAATACAGGGGCCTACATATTGATTTTGATTAGTGAGATGTTTTGCAAAAATGACACCATCTTATGCACAGGTCCCCCTTAAAAAAGTTTTGAATCTATAGTCCCTGAAATGCCATTTCCTGGTCTTTGGGGAAGGTTTTCCAGAATTCTGATGGTGAGGAAACACTTACAACATTAGTAAAATTGAGTACTACTGGGTATGTATGGGAATTTATTAAGAATTTTGCTAGAACGTACAAAGTACTGTGAATCTTTGAGAACTTATGAAAGTCATAATAATTACATCATTTACATGTACATGGACTTTTATCTTCAATATATTGTTGTGGTGAATATACACAAATAAGCAAAGATATTACTATGACCTCATATTTTCATCAAGCGCCCGCGCTCAGTCAAGTTTGAACACCTACCAGCTATTTTGTCACCCAATTTAATCATAATGTCTAAAAAAACCTCCATACATGGAAACTTTGTGAACACTTGGCACATATTGTGATTTTCAATCAAAGTGATCATATGTCATGTATACAATAATAAACAATCAATACCACATATTGTCAAAACTCCAAACAGTTGTAACTTTGCTCACAATAACAGAACAGTAGGACGTTAACCCCCCCACCCCCATTTCATTTCACTCAGAATAAAGTAATTTGAATGATATTTTCAATATATTCATTTTGCATTAGCGATTTTTGAACTATTATAGAGAGAGAGAAATGGGGTTTAACGTCCACTCGACACAAACTAGGTCATTTCGGGACTAACACATGTTTCAATTTTATTTCAATCATAGGGGGCTTTAGCAGTAGGAGGAAACCGGAGGACCCGGCAAAAACCCACGAGGTTGGACAGGCGACCCTACTCCTTGTCACGTACAACCGAGGAATCGAAACCGCAAGAACAGCCAGCTCTGTATCTAATTCTTAAATAATGCATCTTTAAATATTGTAAATAATAATAATAAAAAAATGTGCAGTAAAAAAAAGTAATCAAGTGATTAAGGAAGAAAAGGAAAGGAGAATTTTAATATTTTCTATCTAAAATGTGACAAAAAAAAAAAATGAATTTCAAGGCCAAGTAGCTTATCACTTGCTCCAAATTGTTTTCACTCTGAATGTATCAGTTGAAATATATATTTCTTCACCATTCTATCTCATGGCTAACCCTTTGTATGTACGGTCCAATTGACATGCAGTTTCATAATAAAGTCAGTATTTGTTAATATCTTGTCATTTCAACAGTCTTTTTAAGTGATATTTGAATGTCTTTGAATTGGCAAGTCCAACACCCAACAACAAAAAAGCATAGAAAAACAGCATGATCACAAATTTATGTTGTTGAAAAAAAGTGGGTTGAACACTTCTGTTAGTTTGGTTGCTGTTATTTTTATCCACATAAATCAGTATATACTTCAATCGAATAACTTCATTATTCTGAACCACGTAATATTTTTCTGGCACATCACCACCCATACTGTTAGATGCATAAGCTCTGGATTTCTTCTTTGATCCATCTGTTTCGTTGGTTTGACATTTGACCGTCGGATCATCAATCATCTCGCACACAGCTATCAACCCAAACATTTTCCCTATTCCACTATTAGCCCACGTAAATCCAGAGGGGCTGTAATTTAAGGAAACACCCAATTCTCCAGATAAATATGTACCCTCACCAAACACGGAGGTCTTGTTCATATGAGAAGCTAAACCATTGTGTAAAATAGAATGAAAATTTTCAGTTCGACTTCCGTGATAAGCATACATCAATTTCCTATTCCGACGAATCTCTTGAAATTTTTCATTACTAGCCTCACTGGGTTCCAATTCAAAAATATAACTTGGAGGTGGAACTGGGGAATTGTTTCCTGTTAGTTTTTGTATCGATTCAAAACTGTCTTTATCACTAAGTGATCTCAAATTGAACCGCTTTGATTCAAAAATCCACTTCAAAAGACTTAATGCATGGTCTGAGAGTTTGTTTATCTCTTTTGAAATATTTGTTATCTTTGGAATTTCTTTGAAAACTTTCTCTAGTGCAGCTTTATCTTTTTCTGTATCCGACTGTAAAAACATTGGAGGGAAGGGTCGAAGTACTGTATCATATCTGTAACTGTGTAATGCAGCAGAAAATAAACTTAGATGTAAATCAGCTGCCTGGGGATCCAGTTGGATCTTTTCTTCAATAAATCGAATTGTTTCACTTCTATCTTGAGCAGACATCTTTATATCAGACTCAACAATCTATACCACAAAGTTGATGGGCTTTCGGTTGATATTTAGTTTCTTATTCCCCTCATCGTGCAGTACTGTCTAGGTGTAGATCATTCATTTAAAGACAAAAATTATATCAGCATTCATTCATTCATTGAACGTGACCGTCAACACAAATAAAACATTAATTTGGCAAGTCACTGTTGCCAGCAATTAATGTCAATAATGGAAACTTTACTATATTCTACTAGCTACCATGCCTTTTATCCGCCAAGTACTAACGTATATTGTTAAGAATACGTGGAAGTGTTGCATTTACTTCTGTTGTGCAGTAATGAACGAAGGCGAGCATACAAAAAGTACATTAGAGTTATCTGCCCTTGATTTACGTTACACAGGGGCTTGACCAAGACGCTTAATGGGCTAGTTCAGAGCTGAACTAATAATGGGCTTGACCACGGTTAGATTTATTTCTTAAGGCCAGATTTGGCCAAAGATCACGGGATGTAAACAGGGCTAGCGCTAACCCCATCCCTGGCCAAACCCACACTCGTGTTAACAATCACTTGCCCAAACCTTATAAATAACATCACAGCGAACTTACGAAATCTGGAGGTGGCCTTCAGGCTTAAGTGTAAGAAATAGATGTAGCCCTTGACTTGACGGCGCTATTGCACTTTCGTACCTCTACCAGTTCCCGTGGTCGTAGGAACTTGAAATTATTAGAGGATGTTAAGGGGGACTAGCAATGACCACACACCAAATTTCAGCCGAATCGATCAATAACTTTTTATTTTACTGACCTTTTAATTTCTAACGAGAGAGAACTTCATCTGTTTGACGCCATTTGCTTTGTTTACTATTTAGACTCGAATAACAAGACACTAAGACGGAAACCGACACACTGCACTAGCTGCCGATCTCTGCAGTTCATAAAAATTAATATAATTTTCGTATACTTTAATTTTTGCGCGAAGCCACCATGTTCTATAAAATACTATTTGGTGTTGATCAGTGGATTGGCCTTTAGGTGTAAATATTGCCGTGACCTTGATTTTGACCTTGAGTCTTAACTTCCCATCCATATCAGGGCCTTTGCGTTTATGATTGCCGTGGCCTTATTTCTTACTGTATTTTCAAAGTTAATGTTCGAGGTGAAAGCAGAGACGACGTCCTTCAGAAAAGATAATTGGGTCAAAGTCGTAGGTCAAGGTCATAATACAGAAAACTAAACTCAAACTTTTCAAAGTCATTTTTTGAACATTTGACCTTGACCCCGTAACCGTTTTCGAAGGCTATCATCTTGGCTTGAATCATGGACGTTTACCTTGGTTCTGTCACACACTGCTCGGTCAGAAAAGGGTCAAACGCAGAGGGGCCGTGTCCGAAAGGAAGTCAATGGGCGTGGTCAATGTGAAAGGTCGTGGTGACCTCCACTAGTCACCGTTAACCATCCGTGACCTTGACCCTGACCTAGTGTCCGAACTTCCCATCCATCTCGGGCCCTTTGCGTTTATGCGTGCCGTGACCTTATTTCTTACTGTATTATCAAAGTTAATGTTCGAGGTGAAAGCAGAGACGGCGTCATTCAGAAAAGATAATTGGGTCAAAGTCGTAGGTCAAGGTCATGTTACAGAAAACTAAACTCAAACTTTTCAAAGTCATTTTTGGGACAGGGCCAGGGTAAACGTCGATGGTTCAAGCCAAGATGATGGGCTTTGAAAATGGTTACGGGTCAAGCTCGTAAGTCAAGGTCAAATGTCCCAAAACTGACCTTGAAAAGTTTGAGTTCAGTTTTCTATAACATGACCTTGACCTACGACTTTGACCCAATTATCTTTTCTGAGGGACGTTGTCTTTGCTTTCACCTCAAGCATTAACTTTGATAATACAGTAAGAAATAGGGTCACGGCAAGCATAAACGAAAAGGGCCCGAGATTGATGGGAAGTTTGGACTCAAGGTCGAAGTCAAGGTCACGGATGGTTAAAGGTGACTAGTGGAGGTCACCACGAACTTTCACATTGACCACGCCCTTTGACTTCCTTTCGGACACGGGCCCCTCTGCGTTTGACCGTTTTCTGACCGAGCAGTGTGCGACAGGGCCAAGGTAACCGTCGATGGTTCAAGCCACGATTATGGGCTTTGAAAATGGTTATGGGATCAAGGTCGTAAGTCAAGGTCAAATGTCCCAAAACTGACTTTGAAAAGTTTGAGTTCAGTTTTCTGTAACATGACCTTGACCTACGACTTTGACCCATTTATCTTTTCTGAAGGACGTTGTCTCTGCTTTCACCTCAAGCATTAACTTTGATAATACAGTAAGAAATAGGGTCACGGCAAGCATAAACGAAAAGGGCCCGAGATTGATGGGAAGTTTGGACTCAAGGTCAAAGTCAAGGTCACGGATGATTAAAGGTGACTAGTGGAGGTCACCACAACCTTTCACATTGACCACGCCCATTGACTTCCTTTCGGACACGGGCCCTTTGCGTTTGACCCTTTTCTGACCGAACAGTGTGCGACAGGACCAAAGTAAACGTCGATGGTTCAAGCCAAGGTGATAGCCTTCGAAAATGGTTACGAGGTCAAGGTCGTAAGTCAAGGTCAAATGTCCCCAAACTGACTTTGAAAAATCCGAGTTTAGTTTTTCTGTAAGATGACCTTGACCTACGACTTTGACCCAAGTAACTTTTCTGAAGGACGTCGTCTCTGCTTTCACCTCGAACATTAACTTTGATAATACAGTTAGAAATAAGGCCACGGCAAGCATAAACGCAAAGGGCCCGAGATGGATGGGACGTTTGGACTCAAGGTCAGAGTCAAGGTTACGGATGGTTAACGGTGACTAGTGGAGGTCACCACGACCTTTCACATTGACCACGCCCATTGACTTCCTTTCGGACACGGACCCTCTGCGTTTGACCGTTTTCTGACCGAGCAGTGTGCGACAGGACCAAGTTAAACGTTCATGATTCAAGCCAATGTGATAACCTTCGAAAATGGTTACGGGGTCAAGGTCGTAAGTCAAGGTCAAATGTCCCAAAAATGACTTTGAAAAATTTGAGTTTAGTTTTCTGTAACATGACCTTGACCTACGACTTTGACCCAATTATCTTTTCTGAAGGACGTCATCTCTGCTTTCACCTCGAACATTAACTTTGATAATACAGTAAGAAATAAGGCCACGGCAAGCATTAACGCAAAGGCCCCGATATGGATGGGAAGTTTGGCCTCAAGGTCAAAATCAAGGTCACGGCAATATTTACACCTAAAGGCCAATCCACTGATCAACACCAAATAGTATTTTATAGAAAATGGTGGCTTCGCGCAAAAATTAAAGTATACGAAAATTATATTAATTTTTATGAACTGCAGTGTTAGGCAGCTAGTGCAGTGTGTCGGTTTCCGTCTAAGTGTCTTGTTATTCGAGTCGGTTTCCGTCTTAGAGTCTTGTTATTCAAGTCTAATTAGTAAACAAAGCAAATGGCGTCAAACGGATGAAGTTCTCTCTCGTTAGAAATTAAAAGGTCGGTAAAATAAAAAGTTATTTATCGATTTGGCTGAAATTTGGTGTGTGGTCATTGCTAGCCCCCCTTAACATCCTCTGAAAATTTCAAGGGCCTATGACCACGGGAACTGGTAGAGGTACGAAAGTGCAATAGGGTACGAAAGTGCAATAGCGCCGACTTGGCCACTGCCTACTTTATTTTTACTGGCGAAAAAATATGATAATAATTGTTTTTTCACTTCAACCCTTAAATGACACTTCAGTTTAACAATCCTGCATTATCAATTAATTAATTTATTTTATTACCGGTAGGCCTACAGATCTTCAACTGGGATGTAGATGTAGCCCATAGCCATAGGCCTATGGGAAGGGCCAGTTGTAACTTGTAGAAAATGCGGGGCCCAATTTGGGAGGTCCAAAGTTGCCTCATATGAATATATTGCAAAATATAAATAACTTTAACTAGGCCCATATTCATCTATGCTTTACTCCACAATTAGTAGGCCTAGGCCTGATTGATTAGTAGGCTACCGGTACTTGAAAATAGCCACGTTCACCTGGCAGTGCTGCTGCCAGATTGCCTGGAAATATTTTTAAGCATAGGGAGCTGAGGAGACCATTTGGGGAAATTAGACAAATATGCCAAAAAACAACCCTGTGGAAGACACAATTTTTTTTATTATTCTAATTTCCCACCATTTTGAAATAAAATTAAAATTTGACATAATAAGAATTTCAACACTGTATCTTCTGGTAGACCTACCAAGTATTAAGGTGGAAAATATTATTTTTCCTTTACTTTTAAAGGAGCTAAACTATATAATAATGTAATATGAATGTATATAAACTGATTTACATTCAATCGTTTCTGTTTTTACTGTAATTTCTAATCAGTTATGTTCCACAAAATGCGCCAAAGTCTCAATTAAATGACAATCTTTAGCGTCTGGTTATTCCAGTCTACACCAATGGTATTTATTGCACATACTCGCCAGATAAGAATATAGGGTCACCATTTGACATGACTTGTGGAATATGTTTAGCCTCGTTCTTTGAGTCCCTTGTTCCAAATGGCGCTGAAACGCATTATGGTACACAATTCGTGTACCAATGGTAAAATGTTTATTTTGTCTTGAATATTGGATATCAGAAACCCATCTTTTCCCTGTAAGATCACAAGACCAATGTTGATTTGAATTGACAAATAATTTGTGTTTTCAATGTCGAAAATTTTTGATGATATTGAGTTAGAGACTTAGCTACTTTAAAATAAAAAAGTTTGAGACCCAAAATTTTTTTGGGTTGAGAGGTGCAGAAACACAACATTATATTTTTGTGGTCTTACAGATCTAGAGTAGGCCTACCATTAGTTTCCAAAATGTTACAGATTTAAAATGTGCTCTTGAATAAGATAGGCTACTTCATTCCTGTATTCCAGTATATAGGCCTACCTTGTTGTAAATGGGTACCGGTAGGCCTATAATGCAAAAAATCTGTTGCACTCTTTTGGTCACACAAGTTGAGTCTCTTAGATTTAAAGGGCTCAGGTGTAAAGGGAGACAATTAAGCTTGACCTGTGTACTCCGGGTGAAATGAAATGGAGTTTAACATCTTACTGTTCTGCACCGACTGGACTAATGAAAACCAGTAAAGTCAGGGTGAGGATAAAGAGCATTATTGTACGATACATGATGGCCTTAGCATTATAGGATATATAATGGCCCTGTAAAATAGCATCCTACAATATAGCCGTCACTGGTCTGTTGGCAAAACCTTATAAATATTATGCACTAGTACACGACAATCAAAAATCCAGACTTTGTGAAAAATGGAGTTCCACACATTTACGCACCAATAGAACACTGAGAAATTCCAGACACATGTCAAGTGAAGCTAAATTGATAATGTCTGCGGTCGAAATGAGGACATCAATTCAGTTTTAAAATTTAACAATATCCTACTATCCTGAAGAAATATCAAAAAAATTTGAATATAATATTTATGAATGAAAAACAATCTGTGTATTCATATTTAACAAATATTTTTTTCAACATATCGTTAAATCTTTACAATTAATATAAAATCATATACCCATATAAAAAAAAAAATCTAACAATGAACATAAATCAAAGCATTTTCCATGATCAAATGACAAATAAATAATATAAATAAATAGCTACCCAGTTAAAAAGTATATTATTTAGGCTGGGAACTGATTATTAGTGATATAAATAGAACTATTTAAATAATACAAAACATTTATTATGACAAAATATGATATATAACATGTCAATTGTTTTATTTCATCTTTTAAAAAAAAATAATCAGTTACGTACTTCACAACTCTTTATTTATTTCACAAGGCAAATATATTTTATAATATTCTGCCATCAGTACATTGAGCTTAGAATTAGAAATGAACAAAAACATTTGACAAGATTTAAATGTAAATGTTATGAGAAAAGGTCTACATAGGACCAAGCAACTTTTATTTAAACACATCTGCTACAAAATGTTGGAAGCCAAATTATCACTCTTTTCTACCCATGTTCTTGTAGACTTAATTGTGAAGAATTAGTATATTCTATTGATCATTTATTTGATTTGATTTGAAGGATAATGGAGAAGCATCATGTTGTTATTTATGGAATAACAAGTACTAGTTTATTAACATGCATCATTACTGGTAAATACATAGGGTGTTACCACTAATTACAATGTTAATTAACCAGCAATTAACCGTTCAATCTCATTGATAATCTCTTAACTACTGTAATGAAACATGAAATACAGGTATATGATTATTTTATTTTGATGTTTTTATCAAAGCAACCTGGATACTGTTGGGATTCTCTGGCACCAATTACAATTTTCATCCAGTGAAAATTGTACATTCAAGTTTGTTTCCCAAAAGGCTGGTCAAACATGTCATCTTGTAGACTTGATAAAAAGTCCCTGTAAGTGAAAACAACACATAACATTATTCCATTTAAAATCACAATTCTCCACATGGAAGCCATCATAACCAAACTCAAGTTACCAGGCAATGAAACATAAATCAACTAGCAATTAAGTATCGTGGGCCATCCATAAAAACTGTCATGATTGGAGTACCCAAATGAACTGAAAAAGGACAAATAAAATGTGGAAAATTTGGTTTAGGCATTTCCTCCTTTTGACCAGAACAGTCTATTAACCTAATGTAGGTGAATTCTCTAGTGGGGCAATTTCACTAACAGTAACAGAATGACAAATATGACTGCAACGCTAGCCCTGGTTCATCCGATTAACAACCGGTAGTTATAAACTAATCCATTAAATATGATTAAATTTGAATTATGTTAGATTTAGATAAAAAGCTAGCCATTTTGCTATATAGTTCAAAAATAGATAATGAAAAATGAATATATTGAAAATTTCATTTGAATTACTTTATTCTGAGAGAAGTTATCACTGTTTAAAGATGTAACGTAGATTGTTTATGACCATAGGTAGCAACGATCTTTGACAATCAAGACTATGTCGTTAAATTTTAAAATTTAAATTTCAGCCATCCGATGTTCTAAAGAGTTGAATATAGGCTTTGCATGTGAATAAATGTCTAAATAATAATTTATATAAAATTTGAAACCAGAAAAAAAGACCTGTAATAGGCAAATTTAACTCTTACATAATGCGGTAGTGAAATAAATTTAAAATAATTTATTTGAAAAGGCTTCGGATTGATGTTTATTAATATTACAATCAACACTTACCCCAATGGATTTTGATCTGATGATTCCCCTCCATTCATCATTGTGCTATGAGGACTGTATCTCTTCGGTGGCTCTACGAAAAGTGACAAAAGTTAAAGATACATTATGGGAGATATTTATAGAGAGTTGGCCATTCTTGCTATAACAGTTCAAAAGTAGATGATGAAAGAAGAATATATTGAAAAATTCAGTCAAATTACTTTATTCTGAATATAGTTATCATCGTTGTAATATTTGCCTAGAAATGGTAGCGAAATGTGTATACACCTTCGCCGAACGTTTGATTGACAGGCGTTAACTCCACCTACATATCTCGATTATCAAGTAAAGTTTTCAATGGCATACGGAAACGCTTTACAGCGGCCTCGCTAAGTACACTCTATCATTTAGCCTCAATCTAACTGCCGTATTTTCATCAGGTTACCCCTTATCTGATTTAATCAATTAGTGAAATCCTATTTAAATCCGAGCTGTAGCCGAGCCATCCGTGGGTCTACAGAGTTGATTTTGGTCTTGTTGTTTAAAAAAAGGTCTAATTTATAATTTCTATAACATCTGAAGCCTAAATTAAGACTTGCAATAATCAGATTTAGCTCTTGCATAATGCATGTTTAATAATACTAATTAATAATAATAATTAATAACAATAATTAATTCTTATTAATAAGAATAATCCCAAGAGATTCAGTATCCTGCATGAAACAAAGTTAGGGTGGGGTAGTGAAATAAGCTTCAACAGGTCTGTCCATTCATCTATACCAATTTTGTTTCCAGAGCATATCTCACAAACAGTTCAAGATACTTTTTTGAAACTTTGTTCACACATCAACCTATTACAGCATTTGTGCCTTTTGAACTTTTGCTACCGGTAATTGGAAATTTCTTGAGTTTAATAATTTTTGAGTTTCCATGGAAATAAATTTGACTTGTTTTGATATATAAGAGCACTCAAAGTTGATGACTGAATCTTCTAGTTTAATTACACAAGCCTATTATTTCATGTTTTACTGGTTTGTCATTGATGCATTAAAACAACAAGAGCATCGCTAATGCTGCAATATACGTCCACATTCCAGCTTTGATTGATATGGTACTTTTTAAAATGAAGAGAATGAAATATGAAATGGCTGTAATATGATCAGAGGCCAAGAAGGCTAGGCGTCGGGTTTGTTTTGCCAAATTTACAGACAAAATACTAACAATAAAGTGGGCGTGACACTGCCCCACGAGGTCGGGGCAAGCATCAAAATAAATAGTTGCTGTCTTTATGGTATAAGGAATAAATATGCAAAATTCCAAGATGATCCATTCAGAATTGCAGCCTGTAGATGATAAATACAAAAACTGGGCGTGGCTCTGCCCATGGGGGTTGGATATGGAAACAATATAAATAGGTACCATCCTGTTATTGAAATGACAACATCAATAGTTGCCGTCCTTAGGGTATAAGGAATAAGTATACCAAGTTCCAAGATAATCCATTCAGAATTGTGGCCTTTGGGCGTGAAAGGCAAATATTGGGCGTTGCTCTGCCCCTGGGCGTCGGGGCATTCACCAAAATCAATAGTTGATGCCCTTAGGCTATAAGGAATACATATGCCAAATTCCAAGTTGATCCATTCAGAATTCCGGCCTGTAAACGATAAACATAAAAATTGGGCGTGACTCTGCCGCTGGGTGTCGTGACATGCAGTTGTCGTCCTTAGGCTATAAGGAAAACATATCCCAAGTTCAAAGACAATCCATTAAGAATCGTGGCCTGTAGGCAACTCACAGAGACACAAAGAACAAAATGGGTGTGGCTCTGCCCCTGGGGGTTGGGAAATCACAAAAAAAATAGAGGTCAGCCTTAGGATATAACGTATAGGTATAAAAAAGTTTTTCGAGATGATCGATTAAGCATTGCAGGCTGTAAGTGACATAGACACACAAAAAGAAAATGGATGTGGCTCTGTCCCTGGGGGCTGGGCATTTACCACAAACAATAGGGATGTTCCTTAGGATAGAAGGAGAAAGTATGCAAAGTTTCAAGGTGATACGTTAAGAATTGCGGTCTGTAGATGACAAACAATGAATACAAGAAATGGGCGTGGCTCTGCCACTGGGGGGTCGGGCATGCACCAAAAAACAATAGGGATCATCCTTAGGGTCTAAGCAATTCATATGAAAATTTTTCAAGACGATCGATTATGAATGTGGACGTATAAAAAGGTATACCGACACAAACTGATTTCAACAATGAGTGGAAGATAATCATGGGATAAATTTAAGAAAATCAATGAAGCTAATGGTCAATTGTTACTTGTTGACTATTAAGTCGAGGAACGTATTTTTTAATAAAATGGTTTTCCATTAATTTCCTTTTCGTGGTGTCATCGACTTTCATTTTATAAAAAGGGAAAATTTGAAATTTTACTTTACTTGGCACAAATGTAAAAATTATTTAAATATAGATTATTCCATCCGAATATTAGTATTTTTTGATATATATATATATGTCCAAAATTATTAGCACAAAGCTGCACTACTTTGTTTCACGGTAAATGATGAAAAGATAAAAAGGTATACCGACACAAACTGATTTCAAGAATGAGTGGAAGATAATCATGGGATAGATTTAAGAAAATTAATGAAGCTAATGGTCAATTGTTACTTGTTGACTATTAAGTCGAGGAACGTATTTTTTAATGAAATGATTTTCCATTAATTTCCTTTTCGTGGTGTCATCGACTTTCATTTTATAAAAATTACAAAGCGTTCTGAAAAATAAGTTTAACAAAGGCTATCAGAAAACACTCACAAAAACCCGAATTTTACATGGGAGACAACTCTTTAAAGCATATCACGCCGAATTTTACATGGGAGACAACTCTTTAAAGCATATCACGCCAGTTTGACATTGTTAGACGGAGTTATCTCCTCCGAACCAAGTGAAACCGAAGTCTGAAATTAAATCCCAATCTGACAAAAGTACTTAATATTCTTAAAAGACAAATTATTAATAATAAATTTGGTACTAAATTATAATAACGAATGACACCCAAACATAAGACTTTTTAAAAATGTACATCCTGAAAACGCACATGTACTTGCAGTTACATGAATTTATAATTTATTTAGTGTGAGAGAGAGAGAGAGAGAGAGAGAGACATTGTCATTGCAGTACCAAAAGGTCTTTAGCAGTGGGAGGAAAGGGGGAGAAAACGGTGGTTTGAAACGTCAACAAATAACCGGTATAAATACTTCTAACACTTACAAAGCGTTCTGAAAAATAAGTTGAACAAAGGCTCTCAGAAACCACTCACAAAAACCCGAATGTTACATGGGTGACAACTATTTAAAGCATATCACGTCAGTTTGACATTGTTAAATGGAGTTTGACATTGTTAAATGGAGTTATCTCCCCAAAATCGGGCATGCACCCAAAAGAAAAGGGACCAACCTCAGGGTATAAGGAATATGTATTTTAAGTTTCAAGATGATCGATTTAGAATTGTGGCCTGTAGGCGACACACAAAAAGAAAATTGGCATGGCTCTGCCCCTGGGGGTTGGGCATGTAGGGCCTACTCCAAATGATAAGGATGTTCCAAATGATAGGAATGTTCCTTAGGGTACAAAGAATAAGTATATAAAGTGTGGCTCTGCCCCTGGGGGTTGGGCATGTACCCCAAACGATAGGGATGTTCCTTAGGGTACAAAGAATGTGTATGCAAGATTATAAGTTAAGAAATGTGGCCTGTAGACGACAAACAAACAAATACTAGAAATGGGCGTGGCTCTGCCCCTGGGGGTCGGGCATGCACCAAAAACAATAGGGATCTTCCTTGGGGTATAAGGAATAAGTATACCAAGTTTGAAGAAAATCCAGTAAGAATTGCGCCCTGTAGGCGACACAAAGACACACGAAAAGAAAATGGGAAATGGGCGTGGCTCTGCCCCTGGGGGTTGGGCATGTACCCCAAACGATAGGGATGTTCCTTAGGGTACAAAGAATGTGTATGCAAGATTATAAGTTAAGAAATGTGGCCTGTAGACGACAAACAAACAAATACTAGAAATGGGCGTGGCTCTGCCCCTGGGGGTCGGGCATGCACCAAAAACAATAGGGATCTTCCTTGGGGTATAAGGAATAAGTATACCAAGTTTGAAGAAAATCCAGTAAGAATTGCGCCCTGTAGGCGACACAAAGACACACGAAAAGAAAATGGGCGTGGCTCTGCCCCTGGGGGTTGGGCATGCACCCCAAACGATAGGGATGTTCCTTAGGGTACAAAGAATGTGTATGCAAAGTTTCAAGATTATTAGTTAAGAAATGTGGCCTGTAGACGACAAACAAACAAATACTAGAAATGGGCGTGGCTCTGCCCCGGGGGGTCGGGCATGCACCAAAAACAATAGGGATCTTCCTTGGGGTATAAGGAATAAGTATACCAAGTTTGAAGAAAATCCATGAAGAATTGCGCCCTGTAGGCGAACCACAGACACACACACACACACACACACACACACACACATACATACACACACACACACACACAGACAGGGGCGACGGCATAATACGTTCACATTATGAATGTGGACGTATAAAAAGGAATAAGCATTGATATTAATGGTAAAGGGTCAAATGTCATGCATTATTTTTTTTTGCTTACGTGATAGATATATAGCTCCTGTCAAGATTTGAACTTGTAACCTTCAGTGGGAAAGAATTACATGGTATTCTATCATATATAAAGCCACCCTTATTGCTGTTTTTTTAAAAAATCTTACTGAACTTTATAAACATGCTTTTAAACTGTGAACATGCAGACATTTAAAATGTTTTAAAATTGGTATTTTACTTTATTTGTATTTTAATTGTAAAGAGTGCCCTGGAGCAGCGTATTAGCTTAAACACTGAGCACTATACAAATTGCTGCTGCTGCTGATGATGAAAGATGTTCACCTCTAAAAACAACCAAACATGAAACAAAAAATATTTTACCATTAAATATACTTTTGAATTTTTTCTCTTCGCTGCTTGTAAATGTTGTATTTTTAGCTTCGTTGACTTGTAAAAAGTTGGATATTTTATCAAGTTGGCGATCTATTCGTAAAGATTTGTTATTTTCATCTGAAAGACTTGTGGTAGTTGCAGTGGTTGAAGTACTGGGTGAAGAAATCTTTACCTTTGCCATTAGTTCATTAATGCTTATCTATAACAAATAATTCAAACACTTGTTGAAACGTTGTGATTTATGTGTAAAAACCAGTGTTTTTATTGTGCTCAATCACTAAATGGCACTCAAGGATTAATAACAATATTGATACTTTAAATGCAAAGTATTACATTAAGACCATATCAGTTTAATTTTCAGTTCTTGGAGAACTTAAACATACATAAAGCAAGAGATAATTCTGCCTATTGCAGGTCTTTCTATAGGCCTGAAATGTTATATAAACTATTAATTAGACATTTATTAACATAAGATCATAATTAACTCTTGATGCCATTGGATATCTCTGATATTAAGTAGATTAAAACAGTTCAGCCATATTTTGATTTAATCTAAAAATGGAGAAGCGAGACTTAGCTTCAAACAAACAGTACAGTGGTTGCAATTCATGCACACATCTTGTCAAACATTCAAAGGCTAATATCTTCGCTCGCAATAGAGTAATTTGAATGAAATTTTCAATATATTCATTTTGCATTATCTATTTTTGAACTAATATAGCAGGAATGGCCCGCTCTTTATCTAAATCTTACATAATGTATCTTTAATAAATACCAGTTTGAGGTGAGCAGACAAGTGTTTCTTGTTTTAATTTAATGTCTGGTTTCCAAGAAATTTTAATAGTATGGACTAATGAGCGCTCACCCACTCCTTTATTGCTTTAAAAATATGACAACTCAAAAACATGAGAAAAGAGCAGAACTGAAATCAAATTGTCAAGATTTACCTCTTTTTTAACTTTAGACTGGTGCTGTAGATAATCAAAATTTGTCGTCTGCATAAACTGAACAGCTGCTTTAAAGGTGACCAAACAATAACTGTGAAATAAATAAAACAATCATATTAATTTATCTCACATCTGCTTCCATCTTAATCCATGACTGAGAGAGAGATTAAAATGTTCAGCCACACAAAATGGCAGTATGTCTAGTTCATGGAAGGAACAATAAAGATACTTCATAGTTAGATGTATTGTATACCTGAAGCTATCCATATCTTTAATAGTAGAATGCCAATTAAAGTTTTCCATGTAATAAATATCACTTTCTAGATGAGTACACTTGGCCTGGGCTATCACAGTTACCTACAAGAGAAAAACAAATTAAAGAAATAACAGTTAACACTGTAACCCGGGCATCATTTAATCTTGTGTATTTAGCATTAATTTCATTCAATATCAAAACTTTATTTGAAAATTCATAAAAAATCATTTAATATCACTAAAAATCATCTAATTTGTACCTGTGTCTAGTTTAAAGTCGACCATTCAATTTTGATAATGAGTGTTCAATTTACAAGCATCTAATTTCCTGACCACTGTTCAAAGTGAATTAAACACTTTTAAATTGGACACTCATTATCAAAAGTTTGGATATTGAATGAATGTTAAAGAAATTAATGCTGATAACTGGTTACCGTTTTGAACATCTTTCAAAATAGTTGCTTCCATACAAGTGAGAGCTGGTGCTGAACTTTTAACTTTAATACCTTTATTAGAGGAGATTAAATTCTATACAATAATGTTAGTGGTTCTATGTTTGAGGTAGGGACTTTGGGTTATGCAGGGTTCTGCTGTCTACAGCAGGGTTAGAGGTTTAGGATACGTCTATGTATTTGAGCTGAAATCAACCAGTTTCTGTAGCTAAGATCCTGATCCTAATCAATCAATCAATCAGGATTCAGTGATTATAAAATTACATATACACATAGAATATGATTTTAAATTCATTAAATAGAATATACTTTCAAATTGATTTAACAGTTAGAATATACTTTAACAGTGAGAATATAATTTAACAGTGAGAATATAATTTCAAATTGACTTACACATGTAACAGTCAGAATATAATTTCAAATTGACTTAATAGTTAGAATATAAATTCAAATTCACTAAATAGTCAGAATATAATTTCAAATTCATTAAACAGTTAGAATATGATTTCAAATTCACTAAACAGTTAGAATATGATTTCAAATTCACTAAACAGTTGGAATATGATTTAAAATTCACTAAACAGTTAGAATATGATTTCAAATTGACTTCATAGTTAGAATAAACTTTCAAATTTACTCAGCTAGCTAGAATATATTGCTTAATACTTGCTCGAACAGCTAGAATCTATTTTAAAACTTACTAAAATAGGAATTAGATCATCTGAGGTAAGACATGGCATTTCTGAAATAAATCAATAATGTTATTAAGTTTAAGTTTATTACCTAGTAACAGTCTTTACATTAATATAGTATACATTTTTTTTAAAAAACGTTTTGAGATGTATGTAATCGATCTGTCAGACTCTGCTTTTAATTTTATTAATATCAAAATAAAATATCTATTTCTCCATTCATAATTTGTATGCTTCTTTTAATGTTTTGACTATTATGGTAGAACGAAATGTGCTGGGAAGTATGAATACAACTCTACCTTGCTTTTCTAATGATATCTCTTTTTGTTTATTTTTCGATAAAACTGCTTCAATTTCATCTGCTATATTGTCCTATTGAAATAAAAGGAATTAATTATTATAAACTAATAAAGATGAGCTGATATAATCCTAGTTGATAGTTATAATGAGAATACTGCCATCATTATTTAAATGTTGAGAGATATGGTTAGAATAAAGAATGTAAAGAATATTGAACATGGCCGTTTCTGAACATAGAAAGATATATTTAAAAGAAAATAAATCAGGTTTAAAACTATGATAAACCTATAGTAATTTTTATTTCTATTGTTATATGTACAATGTGAGGGAGAAGATATTTACCCAGGCAGCAGCCAACATTATTTGAGACAAGCCTTTGGTAATTTTTATTTGTATGGTTATGTGTCCAATGTGACAGAGAACACTTTTACCCAAGCAGCAGCATGTTTGCCTACTCTTTTACGACTCCTAACTGTCTAGGGTTCTTTTATGTGCACATGAATGTGTCTCCGAGTGGACCTCAGTTTTTCTGTTCATCCGAAAGTCTAGGTACACATTCCTCGTCAGCCAAGCAGGTGCCTCACTCCTTACAAGTCAAAGTCCCAAATATTCTTAAGTATTATCATACATCACTAATCATTGATATAAAATTATTTAGGTTCATTTTCCTTCACATGTTGTCCAATAATAACACTCACTCAGTCACTGACACAATTAAGTACAGAGTAAAAATAGATAGATTTGTTAAAATGATTGTAATATACTTACTATGGTTGATTTTAAACAAGTTAATTTTTCACACGGAGTACATAAACTGTCTAATCTGGCCAATTCCACAACCTACATGATCAAAAACCAAGTAGATGATATAATATTAGAGCCATGTCAATCTAGCATGACTATATAACTTTGGCCAAGAAAGAGCTTGCAAGCATGGTAGGCTCGGTGGGCCTTAAAGAAGTTATATAACGAGCTTGCAAGTCCGGTAGTCTCAGTGGGCCTTAAAGAAGTTCAAGAAGGAGATTGCAAGTATGGTAGACTCGGTGGGCCCTAAAGAAGTTAAGGGACTTTGCAAGTATGGTAGGCTCTGTGGGCCCTAAAGAAGTCAAAGAAGGAGCCTGCAAGTATGGTAGGCTCGGTGGGCCCTAAAGAAGTTAATGTTTTTAGGAAGTTTGGCAAGGCCATTGTAGTTCTGAATTTAAGTTGTTTTTCATAAATTGGAAAGATTGTGACAGGCTACATTTGTGCACAAGCTAGAAACATCAGAATACAGCCTACTCTAGAAAGAACCATTTAGTCAGATTTTACAATAATGTTTCCTGTCAGGGGAGGGAAGAGAACCTGAAGTGCCCCTCACAGAGCCAGAAATAGGAGCCTCAGGTCCCCTAGTCCAGTCCTTTCTTTAGCAGCATCTGTACATGAATACTGTAGTATCCAATATCATGCAACTATATATAGCATCATAACTTTATAACCTGACCATACCTAACCACACGAAAATGGAAGTGGAAAATAACATTTTCAGATCAAGAAACAATTCTAAAAATAATTGTCTAGTCATTTCTTTATCTAGAGGTATATTTTGTGGATATAACTTACAGCACTAGGTAAAGGACATGAGAATTGTTTATTAACACGTAACTGTACTGGTGTTATACCATCTAACTGATGACATTTAACTAATAGATCTTTATCTTCTTTCTTTTTCTTATCACATATAACACCAAATATCTTATAATGCACCATACCCAGTATATAACTGTAATACAAATAATCAATATCTAATAATGCACAGTATGTAATACAAATAATCAATATCTAATAATGCACAGTATATAAGGCTGACCTTAAAAATATCTTTGTTTCACCAAACCGGACCCACAATCGAGGAGAAGGGTCGGTAGGTCGTTTTTTTTTCTTCAGATTTTCTTTTTTTTAAAGTAAATCTTGATATTGAATGAAATTAATGCTAAATACACAAGATTAAATGATGCCCGGGTTACAGTGTTAACTGTTATTTCTTTAATTTGTTTTTCTCTTGTAGGTAACTGTGAAACTTATTAGCTGTATACTACAGATTCATTAATTTTGTTTAATGAATTTTGGGTCTGACGTAAAAAGTAACGAACTTAAAGTTTTTATTAAACTTAAGAGCTAATTTGACAGCTTGATCATTTTTCGGGTGGAAACATTCATCTTCTACACGATTTGCCACGAACTTGAAGTGTGAAACTCCTTCAACACGTTTTTAACGATCGTGCGGGTTGTGCCTTCATTTTTCTCAAAAACGGATATTGAAAATATCGTCGTCATGTTTAAAACGACGCCCCACAGACATAGAGGCAGAATCATTTCGTGGGAATGGACGTGCTTTCGCCTGCACCCATTTTTTTGAGAAGCGACACCTATGACGCTTTCGTCTTGATCAACCAGTTTCAATAATGAATCAAACCATAGCCATAGTAAAGGGAAATAACTCTTGTGATATATTTCAGATTGACACACAAAATAAAATAAAAAAATCGCGGAAAAGTGCAATAAAAACATTTAAGTCCGGGGTGGTTTTAGTTAGTCGGTCGCGTTAGGCGAAAAAAAGATATTTTTAAGGTCAGCCTAACTGTAACATAAATAATGACTGTAACATAAATAATAAATTGCAGGAAAGTAGTATGATAAACCCGATTTCATTTCCAATATTAAACATTTTATAAAGCACAGTATATAACAGTAATACATAAAATATATTTAGATATAGACACAAAATGTTTAGCTTTAGATAAATATTTGCATAAACTTAAATAATGAAGAACAGGAAGTAAATATACTATAAGATTGAAACATGGATGGGGAATATCCCTTTGTTCTTTTCGTTAAATAAGCAGATTGTTTTCGCTCTCATAGATTAGGTTTAGCTTGACACAGCAATAACTAGACATTTCCAATGGTATTGCCAGGTTTACTTCATAGAGAAGTGGTTAGGGTTTTCTGTGCAATAACAACAAACATTTTACAACATCACCTGCAAAGTCAGGATTACTATTCACATGCAAGAGATGGTATGTGCATGCACATGCATTGTTCTTATTGGTTGACTAGAGATCTGTTTCATCTGCCTCTTCTCATACAAAACCCGTGTCAATATTGCAAGTAATTTAAAGCACGATTCCATTCGTTAACAGGTTTGAAGTCTCGGCCTGACGATCCCAGTGATTAAATCTGGTAACTCGAAAAAGCCGTGCTATTAATATGACTTCTGGTTAGTAGACCTGCAGTTTGTAATTACACAGACAGGTAAATCTTGTTAATATGACACTAGACAGAGTAAATATTACCTTTCAACTGCTCCACGTAAAACATCTTTAAATCTACCATCAGATTGGATCTTATGTTTTGAACACTTTAAACATTTCTGAAGAAACAAAATCAAACAATTATTTGTACTGCAAGCTAATTGGATTAAATAAATATCAGTCATTTTGAGAGCAACATATGATGATTTTCATATCTGTGGTACCGTTTGCAATGAGAGGAGGAGAATTTGCCTGTAAACCAACATTTCCATCTACTCCTCTCCAAATTCTAACTTCAAGGTATCTTTTATGTTACATAAATGTGCATGGGTGGATCTCAGTTTTTCATCCAATCCAAACAACTAGACACATTTGTCAGTTTGACAGGAACCAATCCTAATGAAGTTTCCTTTTGGCCCTGCAAAATCTGATCTATCTATCTATATATTAATTATATACTATTCAAAAAAAGTAGGGGATATTTGATTTTTAAGTGTTATTAAAGTCACCTAATGAAACTGACGAAGAAACAAATGACAAAATGAAATGAAGTTCACATTCATCGATTTATTCCAAATGATCGTTAGACTAAGTAAGGCACAGACTGACCATTATAAGGGTAAAATGATACCCGGGGTCAAACAGCAAAGTTACCACAGCATCACAACCAAGTCAGTAACGGGTAAATCCTCCTCTGTTTGCCAAACAAGCATTGATCCGACGTGGCATACTCCTAATGAGACGTCTAAGGTCATTTTGGTCCAGATTGTCCCATTCCTGTTGCAACGCAGCAGCAAGTTCTTGGACATTGGCAGGACGTTGTTGACGTTGACGTAACCTCTGTCCAAGCATGTCCCAGACATGCTCGATGGGGGAGAGGTCGGGACTCAGTGCTGGCCAAGGTAATGTGGTGATGTTCTGTTGTTGGAGGTAACCTGTGACATCTTGCGTTGTCATCCTGGAAGATGAAACGGCGGCCATGACGTCGTGCGAACGGCACAACATGGACTGCCAAGATGTTGTCCCGGTAGTACTGGCCTGTAACACGCCCTGCAACAACATGTAAAGCCGTTCTTCCAGCAACAGTGATGCCTCCCCACACCATAACAGAACCACCCCCAAATCGATCATGTCTGATGACGTTAACGTCTTGGAAGCGCTCGTTTCGACGACGCCACACCCTCCTACGTCTGTCCAAAAAATCAACAGTGAACCTTGACTCATCTGAAAACATCACATTGCTCCAGCGTCGATTATCCCAGTGTTGACGATCCCTACACCAACGACGTCTTGCCTGAATGTGATGATCTCTCAAACAAGGGATCACGCGAGGACGTCGGGCGCGAAGGTGACCCCTATGCAGTCGATTCCGAATCGTCTGGCCACCCACTCTCACACCAGTGTCTGTTTGAAGACGAGCGCTGATCTGATTTGCTGTGATGACACGATTTCTCAAGGCCAAGGTACGGATAAATCGATCCTGGGCTTGAGTTGTCGCCCTTGGTCGACCTGAGCGTGGTCTGTCCTGTACAGATTGTGTATCACGGTATCTGGACCATAGCCTGCTTATGACAGACTGAGAAACATTCATCGTCCGCGCCACAACCGCCTGTGTTGTGCCGATCTGTAGCATGCCAAGGGCACGTAACCTTTCATTTTGGGTAAGCCGACGCATATCAAAATTTGTTTTCTGGTCACTAAAACAATTAAACTGATGTTTCCACCCTGGAATTCAATACCACAATGACTGTAACATTCAAAGTCAGAGTCGTGCAAATCTTGGGTTGGACCCCCATGATGATCCCAAGCATCACCTGCATTCCATGCAGTAGCTATTGGTGCGTTTGGGCGTCACATGTAACTGGAAATGTTTCTTCTGTTAGGTTCTATAGTGACTTTTTTCGTAGTCATTTGCATATTTTAGTATTATGCCCCCAAAATCAAATATCCCCTACTTTTTTTGAATAGTATATATACTGTTTAACTGTTTATCATAAAGGCGCATGTTATAGAAACTGCTCATCAAGTAACTAGGGTGAACCTGCACATTAAGAAGTGCAGGACTGTTAATCTGTCCTACTCACTTCACTTTGTGTTGTTTCTGATAATCCCTATTAATACGTCTGTTATCACAATAACACCCTGAAAATTCTAAATGATAGGCCATGGCCTCCTGAGAGAGAGAGAGAGATTGGGTTTAACGTACACTCACACAAACTAGGTCATTTCAGGACTAACACATTGTTCCATTTTATTTCAATAATTCGCTCATGCGTAGGGGTCTTTAGCAGTGGGAGGAAACCGAAGGAATCAGAGAAAACCCACAAGGCTGAACAGGCAACCCTACTCCTTGTCACGTACAACCGGGGAACCGAAACCCCACCAGTTGACTAAATGACAGACCGTATGATACAGTACGCACATGCTAACCATTCGGCCATCCACCCCCCCTCGACTACTGCAGACCCGCCAAGTCTATATAAAGCACAATAATTACCTCCACAGTTTCTGTAATCATTGCTTGTATTCTGTCACCGGCATCCGATAAATAATCTGATAACACCATATAATGTTCATTAAACTCTGTTAAACTTTTATCTAATTGTAATATTGTCTGAAATACACAGAGAAAAAAAATAATATTATATTTTGCCCAAATAGCAATGCTACGGCCTACTCAAATTTTGAATTCTAACTGACACAGGTTCTTTAACATGCACACGCCGGAAAATCATGATCAACTTTCTCGTTCAACAGAGAGATCGAACACGAGACCTCTGGGTTAGTGAGCACAAACGTCTTACTGACTGAACCATTGCATCTCCCCACCAGATTAAATAACTCGTAAATCAAGAGCCCCAGTGGGTTTGATCACACTCTGGTTGAGTGGGTTAGGCTATAAATATATTATTTATTTTGTCTGTGATAAAATGTCTACAGTTGTCTGTTCTTAAGTACCACTCAAGAAACATACCTACTTAACTTGGTATAGGCCTTCAAGGGGATTGATAAACACCTTTCCTCTGGATTCCTCTGATTAAGATGAATTGCAGAGAGCTGACCACAAGATTATTTCATCTAATTAAAATATGTTTGAATGACCTCTTATGTCAAGGAAATCATCTGTGAGAGTTAGCAGACACAGATTAAGCTGCCAAATGAACCATTGTAGATGTTCAAAGGTTGAAATGATTTGTTTTATTTATAGATAGGAATTAAACATGTTAAATTCTTACTTTTGTATATTCTTTAAATGACTGGAGAAAAAACTTGGATCTGAAAATAATTATTTAGTATTCACTTAGTAACATTAAGGGAAAGAGAGAGAGAAAGAGAGAAATGGGGTTTAACGTCCATTGGACACAAACTAGGTCATTTCGGGACTAACATATGGTTTAATTTTATTTCAATAATTCGCTTGCGCGTAGGGGTCTTTAGCAGTGGGAGGAAACCGGAGGACCCGGAGAAAACCCACGAGGTTGGACAGGCGACCCTACTCCTTGTCACGTACAACCGGGGATTCGAAACCACGCCAGTCGACTCAATGACAGACTTTATGATACAGCGCGCGCACGCTAACCATTCAGCCATCCAACCCCCTGTAACATGAAGGAATCCTGCAATTCCTAAATATACACTTTCATTTATAAAGGAGCCATGGTGGCTAAGTGGGTGAGACGCTGGATTGCTAGCCTGGAGGTCAGGTGTTCGATCCCTGCATTGGCCGAGAAAATTCATCAGGATTTTCCGATGTGGTTTCCCCTTGTCAGTGATACAGGACGGAGGGCCTGACAAGGACAACTGTCTAGTTGTTCAGATGTGATGAAAAACCATGGTCCTGTGTATACATTGGCGTGCACATAAAAGATCCCTTGGCAGTTGGAAATAGATATAAGAGTAGACCATAATGCCGCTGTCTGGGCAAAATTTCCCTCATTGCACACTGAATGGTGTATGCCCGTCTTCATTAGCCCAGTATTGGAGCAGAACAGTAGGACATTAAACCCCATTTCATTTCATTTCATGTGATGTCACTACCACTGTAGTGTATATAAAGGCGTGGCATGATTATTTAATACTAGCAGATGACCTGTGAGAAAACCAGTGATTCTTTCCCATAAAAATTGTGTTCTGGTATAGTTTTACAATACGGTAATACAAAATGAAATGAAATAAAGTTTAACGTCATATTGTTCTGCTCCAACTGGGCTAATGAAGACAGTGTGATATGAGGCAAATTTTGCCTGGGGAGTGGCTCTACATCCTATTTTTATATCAAATTCCAACTGCCAAGGGTTCTTTTACATGTACACCAATGTGTACATGGAACCTCGGTTTTCTGTCCCATCTGATTGACTATACGTTGTCACTTGCCAGGCCCTCCATCCCGCATTACTGACAAGGTGGAACCAAGCCGTAAAATCCTGATGAACTTTTTCGGCCAATGCAGGAATCAAACACCGGACCTCCAGATTAGCGAGCCAACTTCTTACTCACTGAGCCATGTACAGTCATACAACAGATAGATAACTTACTCAATGAATGTAGATTTTGGTTTCAATAAATCATTCAATGCTGTTTCCTTTGTGTTTAAATTTGACTGAAATGGAACAAAAAAACCCCCCAATAAAATATATAATTCCTAATGTCAAAAAATTCAAAATGGCATATCAGATATCAACTAGTAAGGCCACATCAATTTGAATTTATGTTTTTTGGGGAACACCAATTGAAAATTCAGCCTCCAATTTCTTTAGGAAAAACAGAAAGTCATTTTTCAGAAGTTTTTCAGTCCAAATATTTCAGTTTTGATGTTTTAAAAAAACATTTCACATTAGAATTGAGTGGTTTATTTATTGATCAAAATCTAAGAACTAAATATTAAATTGATGTTGCCTGAGTGTCTTGATCACAATATTTCATACTTAAAGCTGCAAATGAAATACTTGTAGGTTTAACCCTTTTATTATGTTGGGCTCGGTCACACATCACAAATTACTCATGGAACTGAATTACCTGGCCCACTTCGGTCTATAATAGTCAATATTCCTGAAGCAATGGCCCGAGAAACCCCTCTCTGGCCACCGCTAGATTGACTTCTGATACTTGAGCTTTCGAGGGAGTGTTTCTATTCTTCCCGTCCAATCAAATCTTTCCTAAGTACCGGTACAGCTACATTTCAGCCCTTCGTTTAATCTGGGGACTTCTCTAAAACTTTGGAAAGTGATTTAAGGTATTAAAAACGGTGAACGTATTGTTTGTCTCCAAGCAGTATTGTTTACATAGTCTAAAGTAAAATTGAATTGACCCAATAATAAAGTCTTGTATTATGGTATTAGTACTTACCACAACTTTAGAATCTAAAGGTGACTCTATGATGAGTATTTTATAATGTTCATAGGTCTGTAAAATTCAGAAATAGATATCATATATATATATATGTGTGCATGGTAAAAATATAAGCAGATTTTAATAGAAAAATTCATTGCTAGCAACAAAGAGAGAGAGAAATGGGTTTAAAGTTACAATTTCATATTTTCTAAGAAAGTCAAAACATAATTATTTCTATGTCTTTTGCTCAATAGGTTGTCAACTCACTATTATACGATCATAGGTGTCATTCTCACACTTAAAACTCATTTACACCGGAAATAATAACACAATTACCTCCCAATTACCTCTGTTGTTTTCTATTCTCCACCATGGAGTAGTTATCTTCAAACGTTTGAATTTGAAGATGAAAATGATATTTTTGCCAATTTCTCAACTGGCAATAGTGAATTATAGGATTAATAGGATTATTCTTTAACAAGGTAGGACTGTTTATAGATACCATCTATTTTAAGGCTTTATTTTAATAAATTTTAAAAATATAACTTAAAAATATGAAATTGCAACTTTAACGTCCACTCAACACAATCTAGGTCATTTCGGGACTAACATAGGGTTCAATTTTATTTCCATAATTCGCTTGCGTGTAGGTGTCTTTAGCAGTGGGAAGAAACTGGAGGACCCGGAGAAATCCCACGAGGTTGGACAGACAACCCTATTCCTTGTCATGTACAACCGGGGATTCGAAACCACACCAGTTGACTCAATGACAGGCCTTATGATACAGCGTGCACATGCTAACCATTCGGACATAGAACCCCGCATTAAAAACTGCAGCCTATATTGCGTTCACAAGATCTCATCTCATTACATAGATCAGTTGTTGAATAAATCATGAAGTTATACACATTGGTCACATGATCCGCAGTAAACAATCATGGATGCCTCAACAAACAGTTTCACACTGGACAACAAATCCCAATTAAGACGGGTAACTAGGAGGGATTCCCTCTACGACACGATTATCCAGGTCTACCATCTATTTCGACAAGAGGATCGCTAAATTTTGTTTTTTGAGTGCAGTGTAGTAGTACACTCAGCACCCTTTATTATCATGTTTTTGGACCAAGTTTGGAAAATAGTTGGTAAATAAAATTTCTATTTTTTTTTGTGATTAATAAGTAGTTTATATGATGCTATTTATGGTCACAATTATAAAATACGTAATTTACGTACTTAGTATAGTCTGTAGAGAGGATGAGGTAAATTGTGTGTTAATTGATATAAACCCAGCTTTTATCACCTTTGGTTTTATTTATCATTGAACAGATAATATTAGAATTGTTTTCATGGCATATATAGCACCATGGGTCGTCTGTCAGACGTGGACAGCGGACCACTACAAACCGGTCGCCACATCCAGCGTATAACCCATACATCGTTTCTTATTACTTATTCAGGAACAGCCCTTGTTCGTCTAGTATTGTCTCTAGTTGCATTTGTAATTCTTTAACTGGTTAGGACGTATCTTTAAATGTCATTCGGACATCCCCCATTAATGGCGAATTCACATTGTGATTGAATATACCGCACCTTAAACATGCATTATGCAAGAGCAAAATCTGCTTATTACAAGTCTTTCTTTAGGCCTGAAATGTTATCTAAATTATCAATTAGACATTAATTAACTTATCCAGACCATAATAAACTCTCGATGTCAAGGTTAGCCTTCAATGTTGGCTGGATTAGATTCCTATATGCCGCTAACGGCCATTGATAATTAAATAAAAAAAAGTGGATAATCGAGACTATGCTGTTTATATTAATGATTTTAGTAATGATGACCGAGACTATGCAAAAATTTCACCCGCTTCTTTCTCGGCTCATTGTGGATCAATTTGACTGAAATTTTCAGCAAATTACCTTTACACTATCTAGTTTTTAACTATAGTATGATTAACAGGAACAACAAATACCAGAGTTTCTTGATTACAGTTTTATACTCTTCAAAAAAAAGTAGGGGATATTCAGAAACAATACAAAACTGCGGAAATGCATTGCTGTTTTTATTAGAGGTAACCAGTGTATGTTAATAACAGGCGTTTTGCCTACACATCAACATAAACAGTTCATATGGGCGGCTTATCTGTGAACATACTCTCAAAGCATGTCAAATGTCCATGACTATTTATCATATGCAAGCTGCTTGAGTATTTGCATTTCAATATCTCCTACTTCTTTTGAAGAGTATATATTAAGTTCCATACATAAGATACAGAGTTACAAGCATAAATTATAACAAAGTCATTCTCCACTCTCCCGACCCCAACATTCTGTAGAACGGGTTTACTGATGCATCCCAATACATCATATGACTCTCCAACGACTTAAGGGGCATTCTGAAACCAGATTGTGTCCCTTGAACCTCAATGGCCTCTCCTCTCTTAGAATCTGCCTGGTGTCTAACCTAGAACGCACATTCCATTAATTATATATTCTCAGATTCACAGCCATTAATTATTCTATTGGCTAATTATCATGTAATTAATCATGTGATTGGTCACTCATGCCAAATATGAAATGGTAACTTTCCGATCACGTGCTGTTAGACATAGATTTTAATCTTGAACTTAAGACCCCTTTTCCTGTTATTCACACAATGTTACATACACAATTTAATTTGTGTTTTAAATAAACTCATACTATATAGCTAATATACTGAAAATGGAGAATAATCAATCAAGGCCATAATATTATCATACATGTGTTCTTTAGCACAAATCCCCCATCCATATAGTAATTGAATTGGAAATACACAGGTCACAAGAAAATAAGTGGTTTAAGCACCTTAATTCAATAATTAAAAATTTCAGAATCTGTTACATAGTTGGGCAGCAATCACTGTCAACAAATTATTGGCAGGTCAAGTTTAAAAAAAAAAATCACTGTAACTAAAAATGTGAACGTAAAAATAACTACCTTATGCAAAATGCACTAAAAAATCAAGGTCCAGAATTTAGAAATTTGATAGCTAACTTAATGCCACAAAGAACAAATTTATTAAGTTTTGAAAATTGTGTTGGAAAAGTTTTGCATTTTTGATGGAGTCCCTCCTTAGGCCTTAGTGAATACTTCCAACTAGTTTTAAAAATGGGATTAGAAATGTACGAATTTTGAAATTTAGTAGTAGCTGGTAGTTTTGATATCACAGATAATGGCAAAGAACAAAATTGTGTTGGAAAAGTTTTGCATTTTTGATGGAGTCCCTCCTTAGGCCTTAGTGAATAATTCCAACTAGTTTTAAAAATGGGATTAGAAATGTACGAATTTTGAAATTTAGTAGTAGCTGGTAGTTTTGATATCACAGATAATGGCAAATCCTTAAATTTGATAGGATTCTTCTTTGTATTCTTGTAGTATCCTAATAAACAGTCAAATCGAGTTTTAAAGAATTGAATCAAATTTCTCAGATTCCTAAAATTAGCTATATTTATAATCAATAAAATATTTACCTTATTGTAAGCCAATTCTTCACTGAGTACTTTCACTTTTTTCTCACCAGAAAAACCTATATACATTAAAAACACAAATACATAAAATAATTCTAGTATTTTAATGAGCATATATCTGTAGGGTGAATTATATAAAATGTTTTCCAATGATGATCATCATTAACCAAATCATTCAAATTTATTCACACCCACTGGAGATCCCTAATCATACAACAATGTTCCTACGGATTTTCCAGTCTTTTTTACCCATGTCAATAGTACATGAAGAAAATCATTTGAAAAAAAAAAAATCAAGGTCATTGGAAGCACGCTAAAGACTCCCTGTCAGTTACAAACCAAAGTAAGAGTAGACGATAAAATTCTTTGTCCAAAACGGCTATCAATATTTTCCTGACTCCCTTTTTCCCCACCGACACACTGCATACCCTTTTGACCTCGCCGTCTTCCAAAACTTGAATCATTTTAAGAATAACTACTTTTCAAGAGAGAGAGAGAGAGAGAGAGAGAGAGAGAGAGAGTTTAATCTCCACTTGACATAAACTAGGTCATTTGGGACTAACGTATGGTTCAATTTTATTTAAATAATTCACTTGCGAGTAGGGGTCTCTAGCAGTTGGAGAAAACCCACGAGGTTGGACAGGCGACCCACTTCTTGTTACGTACAAGCGGGGAATCAAAACCACACCCAGTGACAGCGCCACTCCCCCCTCTTCAATGTACATGTATAAGAATAAAGGAAATGAAAAACATATTAACCTTGAAGAGTTTTTATTATCTGACCATTTTCATCTAAAACAACAGTTTTATTACCAGCACTGTGTATCGTTAAAAATTGGCTGAAATTTAAAAAATATTAGCATCCAAATTATATGAAAATGCACTCAGTAAATGTGCAAAACATACTTGGATATCAAAACAAACAGAATGGGGTTTACATTCATATGAAAACAGACTGAGAAAGATGTGCAAAAGGATTTTCCGGCATAGTTTCCCGCTGTCAGTGGTGCAGGACAGGGGGCCTGGCAAGGGAAAAGCGGCTAGTCGTTCGGAGGGTACGGAAAAACAGAGATCTAGCTACACATATACATGGTTCCCCCTTGTCAGTGGTGAAGGATGGGGCCTGGCAAGGGAAAACGTATAGTCAATTGGAAGGGATGGAAAAACAGAGGCTCAGTGTACAAATTCGCCTGCACATAAAAGAACCCTTGACCATTGGAATTCAACATAAGAGTATGCCATTATGCCGTTGTCTGGGCAAAATGTCCCTCATAGCACATTGTATGGCATATCCCAGTCTTCATTAGTCCAGTCCGAGCAGAACTGTAGGATGTGAAACCCCATTACATTTTATATGAAAACAAAAAAAATTGGAATTTTACATTCACTTCAACACAAACTGAATAAGGTTTACATGCATGTGAAAACAAAAAAAAAGGTGTTTTACATAATAATGCAGATCATAACAAATGGAAAGTCACTTTATCTAAATTTTTGATTAACCCATACTAATGTACGGTTTTATTATTCAGATAATTCTGCTTGCTTTTCATAAATTCCAACAGCCAAGGGATCATTTCAGTGTATTGGTGGGGGGAGGTTGGGCAATTTTTTTTATCCTAATTGAATGATGAAACACACTTATAGTGACAACTGGCTTTCAAAATTCTTGGCAGAGATTCAAATGACAGATATTCTATTTCCCCACTTTAATATTAAAAACATGGATTCTGTTACGCCCGTTTATGCCAGACAAGCCCTAAACAAGTTTGCAAATGTCCATACTGTAAATGCTACTTACCCTTTGAAGTAAGGGGAAGGTTTCAAAATATGTGTTTCTGAAAAAACAAATTCAAAATACTCATAAAATATTAATGTCCGTTCTATTATTTGAAAATAAATTTGAAATGACCCCAAAACATAAATTTTACAAGTATAATATCCAACTCACAAAATGTGACTAGAAAAAGATTAGTTAATTCATAACACTTCAGGTTAATCCAATCTTTGTTAAATTAAAGTGTGACTACATAATACAATGAAAACCTACAAACCTATCAACTTTTGGTTTATTGCAACACCAACTAAAGATGATTTCTGTGGTACACAAATGACGTGGCATTTTTCTTGAGCTTTTTCGTATAAATCTAGGTACGTTGTCTGAAATATACATATAATAGAGCTAAATGTACAAAAATTCTGTGAAAATGAAATCGTGGTTTTAAGCGTGATGATCCTATCAGCTCTTAGCAATCATGTTGATCATGTCGAAACATATCCACATGTAGCAGATCGTGGACTCAATAGGGACAATCATATTGTAACGCATCACACGGCAGTGGGTACCTAACATTACCAACATTATTACTCAAAAATGATGTACATCAAAACAAAAACATGTCAAAACTATGTCATGTGTCACAGTTACCCCATTTTAACTGTATATTGCCCTCACTGCCCCGTTACATTAATCCCTACTACCCTACAAACATTTTATGTAATTCATTTAAACAATGGCTTATATAAATCAGCGTCCCACGTACATATAGGGATGTTTTTCACACAATCTCACGTTTCTCAAAATCAATTATCATATTAGAAGGATATTTTTAAACAGCACTTTTTTAAAATTTAATAACCATGTTAGAGCAATTAACACCTAAACTGTTGTTTTTTTTATCCTACATAAGTGATATGAACATACGTAGACAATTATACTTTATGCCAATAAAAAGAAATATTCAAAGATGTCACATGCTAGTGCCAGACCACTCTTACATGTAGCGCTTTGATAGATTGTCTAAAGTAATACTAGTCCCAAGTGGGAAATAATTGTGTGTTAGACCTCATGTCATGTAATCATCGTCATCATTGATGAGATATCTCATATTAATCAACTGCCATGGAAAATTATAGATTGATCTTTTTTGTTCCTGCAACATTGGTGATGATTGCCATATTTCTGGTGGGAAGTGTATCAAATCTTTACATCTTAATCAAAGTTTTGCGAAAACCCAAAATTTTTTTAAACTATCCATTGGAACTGAATATATGTGTTACAGGAGTCATCATGTGTTTTTTCATCTCCCCAACAGTGGTAACAGAAAGAATACTATCTCTTACATTAAACAAACATCATACTGTACTGTGTGGACTATGTTATAGTAGTGCAAGAGGAACAGAGTTAACTCTCTCTGTAAATCTTCTTCTTCTGACATTCCGAAGATGGAAAAAAATAAAAACAATGGACTGTGGTAATACTGGATTTCGGAAAGAAGAGTTAATATATGTAGGGGTCGCCTGGAGTTCTGGAATAACTTTGACCATTATATTAATGACACTGGTTTTTACCCAAAATCTGGATGCAAATTTATTAACTAATGACTGTCAGACTATGAGACTACAGCCTGATCATTCTTTAAATATCATAAATTATCTTTATCTTTTAATCTTGACCACTTCAGCAATAATAATATTATGCGCCAATCTCTCTATTTTGAAATTTCTTAATAAGCCACTTATGAGTCCTGTGGCCATTGTAAGGCCGCTGCCATTTTCTGTTTGTCCGAATAACTTGCATTCCATTATAACAGATGAAAACAAGACTAAAGAATATACACATACAGGTGAAGGATTGATTAATTCCAAATGTCTTGAGGATTCATGTATCTTATGCCAGAAATCATTCTCGGGATGTCCAAAATCTTTGCAAAGTGGGCAACCATCATCTTTAGCTCTCGATTCCTGCATAAGTAGCAGAAATGTGACTTCACCAGTATCAGACAATGGAACTGTTCATTCTTTTCATGATTCATTTTACACAGATTTAGAAATGCAAGTTTTCAGCATATCTAGTAAATCAGAAAGTGAATCAGTTTCCTCTTTTAAATATAAGAACATAAGTGACTCATTAAATTCCGAACTTTTATCCCAAATTACTCCACATCAACATAAAGAAAACATTAAAGAAAATCAAAAGAATTCAGTGGTTCGAACGTCTACTATTAGATTTGATTACACAACAGCAGAGAAAAATAAAATTGGCAATTTAGACATGTCATCTATTTCATCATTGCAGGAATTATGTAGTCCAAACGGTGATGAAACATTGCTAAAATCGACAAACAAAGAGAACAGTTATTCATCTAAATATGGTGAATGTTCCAAGTCGGTTATATCCGATTCAGATGTGATTCACACAGAAGCAAGTATTGGTTTTAATGAAACTGTTGAATCGGAAACTGGTGTTTTCACAATTTCACATGCCAGTTTATCTCCAAATAAAATGTCTGCCGCACAAACAAATGAGAAGTCAGCCAGTCCAATTGGCAAACTTATGACATCAAACAAAAGAAACAAACAAAAAATAAAATGGAACAGCATGGATTACATAAAGAAAATATCCACTCAGCTCAATAGGATTAAAAAAAATAGTGTGGGCATTGGTGATCCCCTATTTGTAAAAGATATGGAGTTAAGACGATCAATAACCTCTCTGCAATCAAATTCTGAAACCCTTGTATCGACAGTTAATCAAACTTCCATCGTTCCTTCACCACACGTTCAATTTCAACTGAAATGCTGTTTCGAAAACGGTCCACATTCCTTTAAACGGCGACAAGCAGTGATTTCAGATGAAGGATATCAACATATTTTTCCACATGCTAATAAAAATAAAAAGGAATCGACATCAAAAGATGATAGACTGGGAAACAACTCTCTTCACGAACATCAAAATTTTAATCCACGTAAATCTAACTTCGCTTACTCAAATCCTAATGTAAACTGTTCATGGAATGAATGCAATATGAACATGCCTGTGGCTTACACACGTAGGTTTCGAATGAAAAAAATTGTTTTTCGTAATCTAATGATCCAGCTGATTGTATATTTTGTGTTTTTATTACCAGGGTACTTGGAAAGTGTTGTGCCATATTTAAGAGCTCAACCAATGATCCAGTCATTAGCGTATCTTACTGACAGTGTAGAATTTGTACTTTTTGCAATCAATCCTTTTCTTTATATTATGAAGAATAAGAATCTTATGAATGAGTTGTAATTTTAATGGATGAAATATATGAGGCTATTCATGTTTAAAGATCTGAATTTCTTGTTTGTAAAGAACAGAAAAACTAAGTCATTTGGGGACTTACATATGGTTGAATTTTATTTCAATAATTTGTTTGCATGTAGGGCGCTTTACCTGTGGGAGCCTGGGAGGAAACCCAGAGGACCCAGAGAAAACCCAAGAGATTGGACAGACGACCCTATGCCACTTGACTCAATAGAGAGAGAGTAATGTCCACTTGACACAAACTTGACTAAGGTTCAATTTTATTAGGGATCTTTAGCTGTGGGAGGAAACCAGAGGACCTGGAGAAAAAACATGTGGCTGGACACGACGACCCTACTCCCTGTCACAGATCTTGTGATCTAATGTGCACATGTTAACCTATTCGGCCACCACCTCCACCCCATCCCCAGTTGACTCGATGACAGACTGTATGATTTTATTAAAGCACGTGTTAAAAAACAATTGGGTCTCACAACCATCATGATGTTTAAGGTAGAACAGTTTTTAGCGCCAAAGACTAACCAGTTAGATCCTCTTAGCACCAGTTAGCACATATTTAACATTGGTGGCTTAAACATCTCATCCATTGGTGTAAAGAGACAATCATATTAAAGATGCATTATGTAAGCTTAAGATAAAGAGCTGACTTTTCTTGCTATAAAAGTTCAAAAATAGAATAAGTGTCAAAGGTGTTGATTGTCATAAGTACTATTGCTATGATAATAAAATAAATCTTGCTTGTCCACTTTAAAATTAAGCTTTTAATACTATATATAATACATGTATGTTGCAGGTGTTCTAATCCATTCAATATCCCAGCCATCTCTGATGTTCTGGAGAGCTGATAATGTCAGGTGAATAAATGACTTAATAATAATATGAATATTTAGCTATTGCTTGATGCATCTTTAAAGAGGCATTCTTCAAGAGCTAAATCTGCCTATTGCAGATCTTTCTTTAGGCCTTAAATGTTATTTAAATTATTAATTAAACATTCATTGACATGACAAGACCATAATCAACTCTTGATGCTATCGGATGCTCAAGATTTTAACTAGATTGGAATGATTCTGCCATTTAATGATTTAATTAAAATGGCTAAGCCTTGAATATACCAGTACCAGTATCGTGGATACGATAATAAACAATCAATGCACACATCTTGTCAAAACTACAAACAGTGATGACTTGGCCTAGAATAATGTTGCCTAATTTGAGTGAAATTTCCAATACATGTATATTCATTTTGTATTATCTATTTTGAACTATTATAGCAAGAATGGCCAGCTCTTTATCTAAATGGGGATCACGTGGCTAAGTGGGTAAGACGCTGGCTCACTAGCCTGGAGGTCGGGTGTTCGATCCCTACATTGGCCGAGAAAGTTCATCCAGATTTTCCGGCGTGTTTTCCCTTTGTCAGTGATGCAGGATGGAGGGCCTGACAAGGACAGCTGTCTAGTCGTTCAGGTGGAGAAAACCGAGGTCCCGTGTACATATTGGCGTGCACGTAAAAGATCCCTTGGCAGTTGGAATTCGATATAAGAGTAGGTCGTAGCACCGCTGCCCGGGCAAAATATCCTTCATAGCACACTGTATGGCGTATGCCCGTCTTCATTAGCCCAATTTAGGAGAAGAACAGTAGGACGTTAAACCCCATTTCATTTCTTTATCTAAATCTTACATAATGTATATTTAAGCGCTTGGATTTTAAAGTTACTGGCATTGAAATATTCTGTGCCTCAAATCTGGCAGAGTAATAATGATTTTACTTACTTTGTATGAAATAAAAGAACTACTAATTGAGTACTAAAAAACAAATCTGATTTTTTATTTAAAAAACCCCAACAAAAACCCTAGAGCAGAGCCCATTTCATTTCAATAAATCAGAACAAACATCAAAATTCACAATGCAGTTAAAGAGAAGATGTATATCCCTTGACGTTAATGTACAAGTATTAATACTCTATTTCTTATAGGGACAATCGACTTCATTTGAATAAATATGAATAAGCATTACCAAAGCAAATCAGAATTGGTTACAATCCATGGTTTTTAGGACTGTTGTCTTATAATATATATACATGTAGGTTTATAGTATAATATACATCTTTATCATTAATTATAAGTACATGTAACAGTACCAAATATGGTGATAATTGACACCAACTACCATGATCGATCTTACACACTAGCAAGTAGGGCTGTGTTTATCCATTTAAAAACAGAACTGCTAGACTTTGGTCATCAGTCAGATGTTCTTCAAAGAGAGAGGGTTTGTGTGGTTTATTCAACTGTGGGTGTAAAAATATGAAATGAACAAGACTAAAAGTTTCACTTTACACTGTGTGTTGATCATTATTTAATGTGGGGAGGTTGGCAGCAACTGAAATTCAACAATACACAAGAACCTTTTACATGCCAAAGTGTACAATGAACACATTTTTCGCCACAGAGATTTTCAATATTTGATAAGAATCTAGGATCCTTCAAGAATCTCTATTCTGTTTGCAAGCTTATATAACTCTGGAACAGAAAGCCCTATAATGAGGTTCATCATCCCAATGCTTTACACCAAATTTGAAATAAATCTGTATTAATAAAGGGGATGGGATAACTCCACAGCAGAAGGTTGTGGAGCTCTGAAAATCTATAATGTTCGACCTCTCATGACCCCAACCCTGTCTTTTAAAAACATTTACTTTCCCAACCACGGGAGATATGATAGAATCAAACCGGTGTTAACTCAATAAAGATGCATAACCGAACGATGACAGGTCTACTCATCCAGTTAATTCAACAGACAACTAGATATCTCACCCCGGTCCACAAAAGAGAGACACATACAAGTCACCTCCAACTTCTGATTACACAGACTTTATTCCAAATCTCAACTGTCATATAATTAAACAATCTGGTACTACTCTTTATCTAAATTTATCAACCACCTCCATCGCCATGTTGAATTACGGTACACTGTATTACACGTTAAAAAAAACTTGCTACTTCATCGAATCTACGACAAATCTACATACTTTTCTGCAACAGCCGGGCTATGAAGATGGGCATACATGTACACCAGTGTGCTTTGAGGTACATGTAAATTCTGCCTCGACATTGGCGTTTCCACCTACCCATCAACAAATCTGAGCTGTTCCTTGTTGCAGACCAATGCGTACACCTGACATTGATTTTTCATATCACTATCACCGAATAGTGATATTACTTTTAATTTCCTTTTCAAATTTTATTTAAAGAATGGATAAATTATTTCTTAATTTTATATTCATCAATATTGCTGATTTTATATTACCAGTCTGTCTGTCTTTACTTTAATGTTAATATTTTGATTTAAAGTCTATAAAGTAATTGCCTAAAAGCTTGATTAGTCCTGAATGTGTTATAGTCTTTGATGCCTTAAGCAAAGAGTTATAGAATTAACAATAGTCACATCAGTGCCAATCAAGTGTCAAAGCTTTTACTTTTATTTATGACTTAAAGATTTTTAACATTCTATTTATTATGAAACTTAAACCAATGAAATTTATTTATATCTATATCAATTTAACCTTTTCATTTATTGGTTACAATATATTTTTACCCCTAATTTTATCTATCATCTGATTTGTTGAAATGATGTCTTTTTGTCTGTATGCAAATTAGTTGCTTTAAAATACCCCTACATACAGACAAGAGACAGATAGAAGGAAAAACATACAAGGCAGATAGATGAAAAATATACAGAGATAGAAAATATACAGATAGATGGAAAACATGAAAAAGATAGAAAAATATACAGGGAGATCAAATGAGATAGGAGATAAGGTTAAGACGTTTAGGAACCCTTTGATATGATCTTGTAAATAATGTATTTTTAAACTGTATATAAAGAAATATTGAAACGGATTTGGAATTTGACTCATAATGCACAAGGACCCCCTTCACTAGAATACTTCTACACGAATGAGCTCTACACCCCCAATCCTAGCTCATCCATATGTAAATATTACATATGTATCACCTGGGTGCATATTCGAAACAAGAATAGCCCCGAAACCGTGGGTGATATCACCCAAACGACTAGAGGCTGTTCCTTGCAGAGATATTGCATCGAGCATAAATGACAAGTGGGAAACCACATTAAGAATTTTCGGGGAACTTTCTCTGCAATTACCTGGACCCTGCGGTTTATGAATCTGTGTCTTACTCACTGCCCCACTGTGGTTCACAACCATCTAATTCTAAGTATTCTTTAAGTGGCATGGTTATAGTAATTACTGGGCAGTTTATTTATTTCTAAGTAGTAGAACGCAAGCCTACAACCCAAGGTTATGATTATAGTCGTTTTGGTGTTCAGATTTAGAGTTAATATATAATTGGCTGTTATCTATAAACAGAAACCTTACTGGCAGAATACTGTTGTGATAAAAAAAATGAGGCTAGATTACAACAGGTAAAACAAAAATTATTTAAAAAAAAAAAAAATGATTGGACTCCTGCTGTGGTTAACAAGTGATAATAACATAACTGTTGTGATTTCGTTCTGAATAATAGGCCCATAGCTGTTCGTCAGGCTCATCAGGGCTATTTTAAACTTCCTATATGGTGTCCCATACTACCAGTAGGATTTGTCATTATACATGTATTATTAATACAACAATATTTAAGTCAATAAGTGTCAGTTCTGAGCCAATCACTTCAATCAATAACAATTTTTTTTTCGAGATATTTATAAAAAAAACCGTATAAATTTTGGTCATATTATTTGAGTCTGTAGACTACATTATATGACTTTTCAAAGCAGATTTGATATCATAAGTATTTAAAAGTTAAATGTATCATAAGCACCTGCAAAGCCCTAAAAAATGGGTTAACATCCAATTCATCTACATCACAAGACATCTTTCACTTCTTCGTAACCTTTGACCCGGTAGTGGCCTTCAGCTTCAAGATACTCTCCAAGTTAAAAGCTGTTAAAGGAAAAATTCCATGTGACTTAAGCAATATATATAGTATGATATAGATTTTGTGCCAATAATAATAAAGAGTTGTTTTCCTTACAAAAATGACAATTCTGCTTTATCATTCACAATATTTGTTGACTTTGCCATCACCGTAGATTGCTTGCTTAGAGGTTAACAAGATGGCGTCTTATTGGTAAGAAAATGAAAAGCTTTGTCAAATTCGTTGAAAACATAGCTGCTTAAACGCCTTTCTAAATCTATTGGTATGAAATCAACGTAATATTTGAGGTCCCTTTAAGTGAATAATAGCCAAATTTGGACAACAATGCAAACAACTCGTTATTTGACATAAAGCCAAGATTGAGAAGAGGGGTTCACTAGTCAGCGGGTGCACTAGACTGTGTAGACTAGTCCGCGGCAATAAAAAAAAGTATTATAATTCTGGGTATTAAAAAAACCCAGCAGGTATGGTGGCTGATTGGTGTTATGTTGTGGTGTCACCCATCATACAGTGACATCCCGACATCACAACAACCCGACAACCCATTTTACATTTAACCTGACAATAATACAACATTTTTACCCGACACCCAGGGCTTGCCACGAGACGCGCTGTGCTCGCGTAAATCTACATTTACGCGAGCGGTTCGTTGCTCGCCCAAAATTTTAAGAAAAACCTGTAAAAAAATCAAAATATTGACAAGTTTATTGCCGAAACTAACCCAACAATGTCAATAACGTCATAAATTCGTCTGTCAAACTGAGATTCACCCAGCTGCACGCGGCATTTCCTCCTTAAATTTGATTGGCTAATGAAGTTACTCGCCACTTGTGTTACTAAAAATACACTTGAGACCTGAACGTCATGACTGATTTTCCTACGAACACCAGTAACAAACGCGTGATAATCGAGTCTAAAGTAAAGAATGTTTACATCCAGCATTTGGCATTCACGCTAAATAAACACGTTTCAAACTAATATTTATCGGTATTTCTTATTTTATCAGAACTTCGGTTTTTATTCCATTGTGCCGTCGTATAATTTTCAATCTGAGCGTAATAATGGCCAAAGGAAACCTGATTGCCCTATCCACATTTATGTCGTGGGGTGAAGAAATCCATACGGAAATTGGTTTTAAAGAAGAGTCGTATGACTGTCAAAAACAGAAAGCGATGGTCACACATATTTACTGCAAAGCTTGGAATAGCAATTTCTTATGATTTTAAATTGAAATAATGTTACAAAATGTGTGCTCACGCAAACAACATTTTGCGTGAGCAATTGTTATTGCTCGCCTTGCTCGCCCAAACCTAAATTTGCGTGAGCAGTGATCTGCTCGCCATCAATTTATTCGTGGCCAGCCCTGGACACCTCAAGATTAAAAATGTCGCGTAAAAATGTGGTATGGACCTGTTAAAATGTCATGATGTCGAGTTGTCGGCCATCTTTCTCTCAATATACAGTTTGATTATGTACACTGATCCTGGTGTTGGTCAAGTAAGTTCCCTGGGATATTGCAGCGTAGTTCCTCCCTTGCAAGACGAAGGGCCCTGCAAAGACCAGTGTCTAGTTGTGTAGATGGGACAAGAACACAAGCCCCTGTGCACAAATTGGTGTGTACATAAAAGAACCCTTCACAGATGGAATTCGATGGAGAAATGTCAGTGTCCCTAGGAAATTTTCGTCATAGCACTCTGCATAGCTTATGGCGGTCTTAAATATTCTGCATAGCTTATGGCGGTCTTAAATAATCCGATTAGCACAGAAAAGTAAATGAAATGAAATGGGGTTTAACGTCCTACTGTTCTGCTCTGAGTGGACTAATGAATACGGGCATGTCCTATATAGTGTAGCGACTGTAGCCTACTATGAGGGAAACTTTGCCCGGATAGCAGGGCTATTGGCCTACTTCAATCAATTCTTGGAAAAATGATTACATACCATTGTCAGTGGTGGTGCGTTGCGTACATACCATTGTCAGGGTTAGTGTATTACATTTCATTGTCGGTCGGGATTCGAGTTTTACATTTCATTGTCCGTGTGGGTGGGTTACATTTCATTCTCAGGGTGGGTGCGTATTGTCAGAGTTCGTTATGGGTTTGCATTTACATGTGATCATCAGTCGTAAAAATGGCAATAATATATCTGCAGACTTGTGAACCCGCTCACCAGTGAGTATTCCCTGAAACCATGGGATGTGCAGGATGAAAAGGGGCAATGTATAGTCGTTTGTCCGGGAAAAATTCACCTCATAACACACTGTGATGCAGGACGGAGGGGCTGACAAGGAAAGCTATCTAGTCGTTCGGATGGGACGAAAAACCGAGGTCCCGTGTACACATTCACGTGCACGTAAAAGATCCCTTGGCAGTTGGAATTCGATATAAGAGTAGGCCGTAGTGCCGCTGTCCGGGCAAAATTTCCCTCATAGCACACTGTATGGCGTATGCCCGTCTTCATTAGCCCAGGTTAGGAGCAGAACAGTAGGACTTTAAACTCCATTTCATTTCATTTCATTTCATTTCATAACACACTGTATTGCATATGCTCGTAATAACCCTGTCAGAGCAGAACAGTAGGATGTTAAACCCCATTTTATTTCATTTCCGTTATTTGACAATACATGAAAGGAGAATTTACTTACTATACTTACTAAATGATAACCCCTTTAGAACCTTTAGTAAAGCTAGCTTGGCGCGTGTTATTCCATTCGTGGATGGATAACCTGTTCACTCTACTTCATGAGATATATAAAGGGTTGGGTGACTTGTGAATCTGAAACTGTTCTTCCGATTACCCCGTAGTAAAATAGTCTTATAATGAAACATTCTGTTATTTCTTGTGTTTGACAGTTAATGGCCTGGAAACCACCCAACTTCAGGACCATAGAATGAACTGACTAATGGATTTAAGGGTGGGGGAGAGGGCAGAATAAGCTCCAACTTTAACAAAAATTATTATCATAAACTAGAGTGTTAAGTTGAAAAAACCCAACAAGGTCTCATTTACACATGGGTGTGCACGTGAATGAACTGTTGGCAGTTGTAATTTGATGAAGAGGCTTCTTTAGGGCTGTCGTTAAGACGTATTTCTCCTATGGCACAGCGTATGCTCTATGCCCATCTTCATTTCCTTTATGATTGTGTTACTTCGTAATCATAATCAGACTATATTCTTAACAAGTGCATTGAAGCTTCTTTTCCTCACCGTATGAATGGTAAAATTGAATTGGGAGTATATAAATCTATGAATTAATTTATGCTCTACAGATGATTGGTGTTTGTTAGAGTCTTGTTGCTAAGACCAAAATGGCTACCAAGAGGCCTGCAGAAGATTCTGGTGGGTCTGGAGCTTCGGCTTCCAAGAAGCCAACATTGACCAGACTAGAACCACTGAAACTTGGATCAATTTGTTCTTTGGTGGGTATATGTAAATCTATTAATAAATTCCCATGTTTGATCCCTTCGTTGGTAGAGAAAATTCATTGGGATATTTTCAGGATAGGTTCCTCCTGAGGGCCTGACAACGGGTAATGTACAGTCGTTTGGATGGGACGAAAAACCTGAGGTCCCGTGTACACATTGGCATGCACGTAAAAGAACCCTTGACAGTTGGAATTCAATATAGGAGAGGCCGCAGCGCCGCTGTCCGGGCAAGATTTCCTTCCTAGCACACTGTATGGTGTATACCCGTCTTCAGTAGCCCAGTCAGAGCAGACCAGTAGGACATTAACCCCCATTTCATTTCTATTAATAAATGTTATTAATGAATGGTCCCTGTCTTATTGAGAATATGTGCAATAGAGTTGGGACTTATAATCTTGTCTACGATATCACCTTTGGTGGAAGTGGACGTAAAACTCCAGGAACAAACAACTTATAATTTGCTAATTTCATTGTCACAAGTAGGCTGTTTCTTCTATGCAATTCAAAATATTTCATGCTGATAACTCTTTCCAATGAAATTCCTTCAAATCTCTGGTAAAATGATGTTTGCTTTTTGAATATTTTTTTTAGGAAGAATTAGATCTTAAGGTACTAGCTTTTCAAAATAAGAAACTTTCAGAGAGAATTGAGCAAAGAAAAAAGGCAGAGGGAGAACTTAAAAAACGAATTGAACAGCTAGAAAATCGACAAAGAACGGATGATAAAGTTCTTATGATAGTTAATCGATACTGGAATCAGGTAGGAAATAATCAAGGATAAATCTGCAATCTGATTAAAACACAGATCCTATTTCGTTTTTATTTTTTTATAGTTCAAAATTTCGTTTTGTCTTCACAACACTAGGATCTGGAAGAGTTGTTATATAAGTCATGGTCTGGCTGATGAGATGGATTAGCCAATCAAACGGTCTGTTATGGCAAGTTCTTGACATGCGATGCACGAAAATGTGGGTAAACCACAAGAAAAGTTAACGCTGGTTGATTAATCAGTGTCTGACGTCATTGAGTCAAAAGCCGCTTGTATGACCCCTGATATTGACCTTCCACTATAACCAGTCAGATCTTCATGTAGTGTAGACCATCGAAAGTATAAAAAAACGAAACAAAACAATAGATCTGTATTTTAATCAGATTGGATAGATCTGTAGATAGGAATATGAAAACATGATTGTGAGTAATTCAAGAGACATTTTAATGTATTCATTTGGTTGTTATTATATCCCTGGGTGTATATGTATATTTAGCAAAAGCTGTGGATTGTTGACAAAATAATAGTACGTTAATTTGAAGGGTGGTGTGAATATACTTTAATCTTATTTTTTTTGTCAAATAGGTTACAATGTGCGAGGAAATTGCATTCGTTTTCAACTATCTGTGTCTAGCATTTAGTTCATGATCTTTTGTCCACCGAAGTCTTAAAGTGACGCTCTTTCTATTTCAAGTGGATGCCAAATTTTAGACTGTTCTGAAAATTATGATTCGTAAGCCAATTTATGTACCGAGAAAATAATTATTACAATGAATGAATCCAATTCATGTTATATTTAAGCTTGATGAAGATGTTCGGGTATTGCTTCAAAGATTAGATGCTGAAACAGCTGATGAAGATGAGACTAAAAGTATGTAAAAAAAACATTTTCTGGGCTTATTTACTCATATATCATCTGTTGTTAAACATAATTATCTTGTATTTCTTAACCCGTTAACTGCGTATGACGTTATATAACGTCCTGGACAACTGCCACTCACCGTGTGTAGGACGTAATATAAGGCCCTGGAGGTATTTTCCCCAACCTATTCTTCGAAACGATCTCACCATGTGTAGGACGTTATATTACGCCTGGTTGAGGAAATATAATTGAAGGGAGACAACTTTATTTACTGTTAGTTTTAATATGGTTTATAACCACTAAAATTTGTATTCAGGAATAAATAGGCCCAAAAATGACGTTTTGCGTCAAATTAATTACACAATAGGGGGTAGTTAACGTCAAATTAATTACACAGTTAAGGGGTTAAAGATACATTCCTACGATTGGCAGTTGTGGTAAATGTGGAAAGTAGAGACCCTCAATTTTACTACAAAAATATTGGATCCTTGACGAAAATCCCTAAAAGGCAACCTGTCTTCTCAGGTGATATAAGGAGCGGTTCTTACATGTATGCGTTGATATAATGGTTAATGGTTTTGAGAACATTGAGATAATAAAACATCCAGTAGACACTGTGATTAGGGTTGGGGAAACATAAGTTGGCAGAGGATAATCCAAGAAGTTACGTAGATTTCGATATGTATGTTAAATAGACAGCGACTAACAGCAATGTATCTCTATTATATGGAGGAAGAAGGGGGTTACAACCTATAATTCGTCACGTTTCATGTTATTATTTGATGGCTACAGAGATAACAACAGAACGCAAATTTCAAACACATAATTCTCAATACTTTAATATATCAGATTCGTCGGTTCACGAGAAACGTGACGAATTACACCCTACTCTTCTTTTATATATTAGGCTACATGTAATTTTATGCTTGTTTTTTTTTTACAGATGAGAGTAGTGAAACATCATCCTTTCTGACTCTTTTATCAACTTGGGATAAACAGGAACTTGAGGATAAACTGAGTCAGAGAGTGGAATTCTCTAAAAGAGCCATCAGTAAGCTACTACAGGCAGTTGATCATTTATTACAAAGAAATGAAAAGCTTCATACGGGTATAGCGGATAAGGTAGAGAAAGATAGAAAAGACTTATTGGCTAATTCTATTAAAGCTGCTGAGGAGGAGAAAAAAGAGGATGAAGATAAAAAAGGTACAGTGAATTTTTCATTTATTTATATGTTGATTTTCCGGCATGCTTTCCCCTGTTGGTGCAGGATGGGGGTTCTGACAAAAAACAGTATCTAGTTTCACAGATTGGGCGGAAAACTGAGGTCCCATGTACAAATTGGCATTCACATAACAGACCCTTTTCCAGTTGGAAGTCGAAATAAGAGGAGGTTGTAATGCTCTCATAATACATAGCACACTGTATGACGTATACCCATCTTCACGAGAGCCCAATCAGTGCAGAAAAGTAGAACATTAAACCCTATTTCAATTTCATTTCATGTTGGTTTTTATTAGACAAACTAGTACAAGCCTCGGACGTTTATGTAATAAAACAAAAAGAATATATATTTAGGATGTGCTCAATTGTCGGTGAGTAATTTTCCAAATTGATGGCATTTAGTCCTGTAACAGTTCTGCCAATCCCGAAAACAAATGTGTGAACAGAATCATGCGTATTCAAACAGTTCAGCTATGGTGATTGGTCTGTGGACTCTTCTTGGGGGATTGGGCAAATTCAGTTTCACAATGTCCAATCAAGTAATCCCATTTAAAGTTAGTGCTAACCAATGAGAAGTTGATTATTATTTATCATTAGTATTCTCTCTAACAGAATGCTATCAAGCCATTTTAGTATTTGACACCATAACAGGCTCCAGCTTCCTCTTTGTGGGTCAGTTAATTATATCTGAATGTAAATTTGATTGCAGAAGTTTGAATCAGGATTAAAGATTGTAAAATGTTGGCCTAAAATTCGACCTTTTCACTCGATTCTCACTGTTCATTGGATTGAGAAAGTTTAATTCTGGAATATTAAATCAAACATCCCCTATGTTAATCCTGGAAGCTAAAAGAGAAATGATTCCCAAAATTGTGTTGTGCAGATGCATGTAATGACTTTATAAAATGATACTTACTAAGTGTTATGAATTACTGTTCGGTCAAATAAAAAAAAATATCAAGGTTCACAGATACTCCCGCATAAGATAAAAAGAGCTGCATGACCTGTTTTTTTTCCTCAATAAATATAAACTCTGACATAAATTTTATCGCATGTAGATATTTCTCCTGGTTACAGGAAGTAACTATATAAAATCTTTTGAATGAATCCAGAAATTTACCATAGGCTCAGTTATCAAATATGCATCCTCTATAGATGTTATTGACAAGTATAAATGATACTGGATAATGATGATACAGAAACAAAGTTATGAGATAAATTTAGTGTATTGAAACATGATGTTTATGAGAAGTCATTTAGCCTAGTAGTGATCCTTTGATAAAAAAAAACCAACACAACAAAAACTTCCCTCCTGTATCACAATTTTTAGGGAGGATTGTTTGAGAACCCGAATATTATTTTTGTATGGCCTTATGTACAATTACTGAATGTTTTGTAGATGAAGATAAAGAAGAGGAAGTTGAAAAGGAAGAAAAAGAAGAAAAGAATGAAGAAGAAGAGAAGTTTCGGGAGTTTGAAATGTTAGTTAAGGAAGAATTAGCGGAGGTTCGACGTGAAAATAAACAACTACATAATCTGGTTACACAGCTTCATCAAAGACATCATGAACATACATTAACGGTGGGTACTAATATCATATTCTATCATTTAATATATAATTGCTAAATCATATAATTCATCAAAAAGAGAGCAAATATCATTTATACTCGTGGAATAAGGCTATGTAAATTTTCTTTAAACTATACACATTATTTTTATATAAGGTTCATAAATTTTTAAAACATGTTTAAACCGATACTTTTCTGGCAATTATTGTGAATATGTAAGATTACTGACAGACCAGTTTGATAAATTATATAGAAGTAGCAATAACTTTAAAAATAAACTAGATTGTCCTACGAATATACTTTTTTTCTGTAAACTTACAGTGAATATGAGAAGAGAATTGTTTTTAAATCATAATGTTTAAGATATAACAGAAAGTTTATGTTTCATTGTAGATCTCAGAAATGCAAGATAAAGTAACAGCTTCCGAGACGGAGATAGCTGAGATCAAGAATAAAGTTGATGATCTAGAATATGAATATGAGAAAGCTGATCAGAGAGCTGAGAAATTGGATCGACATCTTGCTGATGCCATACAGAAGTTGACATATTATGAAGAAACTGGTGTCACTGTAGAAGGTGTTAAAATAGGAGCAGGTGGAATGGTATCTAATAAAAAGGTATTTTCTCATACTTATTGTTCACTTAAAAATGAAAAAATGTTTTTTTCAAATTTATTTGTACTGTGACTGTTCAACTGGTCGATTTTCTATGTTCCACAACATATTTTGTACAGAGTTATTGCCCCTATCAGTAACAGTCTGTAAGCACTCCACAGTTTTTGAAATTTTATTTTAAAAATTGCAGGGATTGTTAAGATACGCCGAAAGAGTCGCGCAACATTTTTATTCACATTTACTGCCCCGTCATCAAAACTGCAAACACTGAACGGTTTAGAAAATTTTAGATTTTACTTGCAAACTTGCCCTTTAGAGGAAACCTATCAGATATTTTTGCTGCCCCTATCAAAATTATTTTGCCTTTACCACTAAACCGAGCATTCATATTGAATAAATTAATTTTAGCTTGATGAGATTTTTGCTGAACTAGAAGAACAGAAGGAACTTGCTGGTAATCGTCTAACAGAACTAGAGAAACTGAGTAAAGATCATCAAGAAGCCATGATAGAAATAGAGAAATTAAAGCTTGATGTAAGTAGTCTCTGTAATACGTGTTTGAATAATTCAGCGATTTATAGACTGAAGACAATAACACATTAGTTTCTTAATGTATTTTATCAATCAAATCTACTCATTGAAGCATATGATTGTCTTAGAGATATACCATATTATGCAAACTGGTACCAACTAATAGTAATTACCTAAATGGGGAGGGCATTAACTTGAGTGAAAGACCCTATATTTTAATAATCCATTCCTCAGTTTAAAGATTTAGTTTGTTTAAATCAATATTCATGCAATAAATGAGAATTCTCTCTTTGGCTTGTTTGGATTGCTGTATTTATCTCAACTTCACTCAGAGATGCCCAGTGGTCTTAGTACAGGATAAAATCTTGTGTCATATTGCATTTGGTACTGACATAAAATTAAATGACAATCCTGCTTGATTTTTCAGCTACAACATCTACCAGAAAATATTATCATTGATACAACAGAGTATAAATGTATGCAATCTCAGTTTTCTGTTCTCTATAATGAATACCTACAGATGAAGACTCAACTGGAAGAGACTAAAGGCGTGTTAACCAGTAATAAAAATACTCATTTACGACAAATAGAGCAAATGGAGGTTAGTTAAATTTTCTCATGTCCATTTTAAAGTTTAAATTTATCTTTACTCAGGCCAAAATTAAAAGATTGTCTGTTTGCCCAAACGCGACCGACACAAAAAAAGCCGCCGAGTCAAATTCTTTTATTGCCGTTTTTGAAGATTTATTTTTTTTAACAGCATTATTTTTACGCTTGACAATGACACCCAAACGCGAAATAATCGGTCGTGAGATTGAACAGCCACTGTCATGTCTATACATAGTAACACAAAACTCGACACGTGATTTCGTAAAATCTCGTTATTTATCGCGATAGTAACGGTATGTGTCATGGCGAACAATTACTTTACACTGTCGTCTTTGGCAGTGATAAAAACCGAAAATAAAGTAAAACCAACCGTTTCGAACAAGTTGCAGTGATTTAACAACAGTAAGATATGGAGGGACGTCTTTGATGATGTCATTGTTGATCATTTGACAACAGGTTAAAGTATGCGACGTTTACTGTTAACAGACGGTCATTAATAACAATGTGTTGTGTTGTACTGTTCTCGTTAATAAAGTTAGAATTTAAATATTGTTTTGTTTTCGCATTTAGTTTTCAAAGTCTGGTCCCCCCCCCCCCCAAAAAAAAAGAATTTGCCTACCTACCCACCCATACCTAATCATCATGAGTCGGGTTTGGGCAAACTGAAATATTTTTAACCCTGGCCTCATTGTAGCTTTTATTGTTCGTGGATGGACTTTTTTGGGATGTTTTTATTTTATTTTTATATGCCCATATTTCACATGGGAGTGCTTTGTCACTGTCCCTGTCTGTTGACCCATATCCAATCACAACTCTTGTAAACAAGAGATTTTTATTTCAAACTTGCTGGGATAGTTTAGCTGTTCATAAGATAAGATTTAAGATTAAAAGTTGAAAATATGTAAAAAGTGCAAACTATTAAGATATCAGTTTAACAATATGATATACTGGTAGAAGGTATAGTCATAATTTAGTGCCACCCAATGAATTTTTGCAGAGTTACTGCCCCTGTCACCTAAACCTCAAACTTGCTGGTATTGTTCAGATCTGATACAATTTTATATGTAGATTTTGAACTTATCCCAGAAAACCTGAGTGTATGTTTGGTGCCTTTTTATACGCCCACATGGAAATGTGGTCATATATTGCCGTCGCCCCCGTCTGTCTGTCCATCCGTCCGTCGTCCACAATTTCTTGTGAACACTCTACAGACTACATTTATCATCTGATTGTTTTGAAATTGATATATGTTGTTTGCATTAGTGACATGAAGAAGCCTATTTAATTTCAATAACTTCCGTTAATTTCTTCTGGAGTTATGGCCCTTGTTTCACTTTGTTGCACCTTGTGAACGCTCTAACAACAAAAATTATCAACCGATCTGTATGAAATTTATATGCATCATTTAAATTAGTAAAACAAAGAAGCCTATTGAATTTCAGCAATTTCCGTTAATTACATCTAGAGTTATGGCCCTTGTTTCACTTTGTTGAATTTTGTGAACGCTCTAATGACAACAGTTATCATCCGAAATTGATATGCATCATTTAAATTAGTGAAACGAAGAAGCCTATTGAATTTCAGCAATTTCCGTTAATTACGCCGTGAGTTACAGCCCTTGTTTCACTTTTATGTTCCTTGGGAACGTTCGAATGACAAAAGTTATCATCCGATCTGTATGAAATTTATATGCATTATTTGAATTAGTAAAACTAAAAAGCCTGTGGAATTTCAACAATTTCAGTAGATTACTTCCAGAGTTACGGCCCTTGTTTTAGTTTTTAGAACCTTGTGAACCCTCAAACGACGAAAATTATAATGTCCTCTGTATGAAATTGTCTATTAAATTCCCCTAATTACCTACAAAAGAATAAATATGCGACAACCCTTGTCGACTGCTCGGACGATTTAGCTGCAGTGGGCGTATGTTTTGTTGCCTGGCAACCTATCTTTAGAGCTGTTTAAAGAAATTATTTTTGTGTACTTTATGTAGAGTGATGAACTGACAAATCAGAAGAAATTACGATCTGAAATGATCCAGTTAGAAGATTTGTTTGCTCAGGTTAGAAAGGAATACGAAATGTTGAGGATAGAATTTGAACAGACTTTAGCAACAAATGAACAAACAGGTATTTATACACTGCAAAGCATTACATACAGTTTTTACCTACATATTGAAGGTATAACAGATTAATCACCAACATAAAAATGGATTCCATTAGACATTCAGTCTCTCTTTCTTGTCAACTTCTGGAAATATTGGCCCGTTTAAAAACAAAAAATATTGAGTTTTCTATTTTCATAAATATTCTTGCTTTAGCTTTTCTTAATTCTCTCTGTAATATTATATTATACTTGAGTCTGATTACTGGAATTATTTTTTGAATTAAGAGGGGTTTTTTGCTGGGATAAAAGTGGTGAATTCTGTATTCATTGTTTTACAGCTACCATCAATAGAGAAATGAGGAACTTGATACAGAGTTTGCAGAATCACAACCAACAGTTGAAGATGGAAAGTGTGCGATATAAACGAAGGTTAAAAGAGGCACAAACTGAAATAAATAAGGTAAACATTTCCCAAGCTTTATAAGGATGGGTGACCAAATCGTCATACCCTTTATATCATAAGGTCTGTCATTGAGTCAAGTAGCGTGAGTTCGATCCCAAACTTGTATGTGACAAGGAGTAGGTTCGCCTGTCTAAAGACCTCTACCTGCAGGTGAATTAGGGAAATAAATTGAACCATATGATAGTCCCAAAATGACTAGTTTAATTTGAGTTTACTTTAAACCTCATTTCTTCCTCTCTCAATGCTTTATACTTATAATGAAAAAACAGTCTAACTTTTAATGGGGTTTGAGACTGGCTGTCAAAGACACAAGTAGTGTTTGAGTTGCACTGTCAACCCATCATCAGAATCAAGTTTTTTTAATTTGTAATATAACATTTTCAATTTCTTTACTTTTGAATCTATCTAAAAGTTTAACTTCTGAAGAAATCTGATGTTGTTTTTGTAGTTAAAAGCTGAGAATACTGGTGGTTCGTGTGCTTCATCCACATCATCTACTACATCTGATTTAAAAATAGAGATAAAAGATGACTCTATCACCACGACAACAACCAGCAGTAAACCTATTGTTATAGAACCTGATGTTATTATCATTAAAAAAGATGATGAAGATTCTATGGATGAGTTTCGTGATAAGGGAAAAACTGACTTGGAAGTTATCAAAGATTTACGTACTCAGTTAAAGTAAGAATACCATATAACTAGCCTAGTAAATGAAATGGGGTTTAATTTCATTTTTTTAAAACCAGCCAGGCTAATGCAGTGTGCTGTAAGAGAAATTGCTTGGACAGCGTTGTTTCTGTGACTGTCATATTGGTCATATTTACCAATTCTAACCAACTTGGTTTATGGATTCAGAAACTGCTTTATATGTTCAGATATTCAAAATATTTTTGTAAATGCTATACAGTGCTTTACAGAATTGAACCATTTCTGGGACTGATGTCCTTTTAGAGATTTGACTTTCACACTTATGTAATATGCAAGAGATTCAGATTCCCTCAAATGACGGTCAGTGACTTTAATAACTGTTAATTGAACTATTTACAGAGGAGGGGGATTGGGTGGCCGAATGGTTTTAACGTGTGTGCTTTAGATCATAAGGTCATAGAGCCAAGTGACAAGGTTTTGATTCCTTGTTTGTATGTGACAAGGATTAGGGTCATCTGTCCAAACCTTGTGTGTTTTCTCCAGATCCTCCCAATTCTAAAGACCCCTTCAAGCAAGTGAATTATTGAAATAATTTGTGCACCCTCTCTCTATTTACAGACGAGCACTAGACAGTCAGAAAGAATTAAAGTTATTATTAGATATGTATAAAAGTGCACCCAAAGAACAAAGAGATAAAGTACAGGTAGGAAATTAAACAATAAAGATGTCTGTCTTGTATTAGGCGATAGAAAATAAATATTCTGGTTTTCAGATAATTCTGAATCATTAAAATAAAGCCGCATGTTCTGTTTTTATTTGAAAAAATAAAAATTAGAATCGATCTCATTAATTAGCACACATAAATGGTTTACCCTGGTTACGGGAAGTAGCTCTATGAAAACCATAGGCTCATTTATCAAGTATACAGGAGCCACGGTGGCTAAGTGTGAGACGCTGGCTCGCTAGCCTGGAGGTCGGGTGTTCGATCCCTGCATTGGCAGAGAAAGTTCATCAGGATTTCCGACGTGGTTTCCCCTTGTCAGTAGTGCAGGACGGAGGACCTGACAAGGACAGCTGTCTAGTCATTCAGAGGTCCCCTGTATACATTGGCATGCACGTAAACGATCCCTTGGCAGTTGGAATTCAATATAAGGGTAGACCATAGTGCTGTTGCCCGGGCAAAATTTCCCTCATAGCACACTGTATGGCATATGCCTGTCTTCATTAGCCCAGTCAGAGCAGAACAGTAGGATGTTAAACCCCATTTCATTTCATGTTTCATTTATGAAGTATATAACCCTTGTAAATGACAGTCATAAATGATACTGGATAATCATACATTCCTATAAACAACATGATGATATAAATGTAGTACCTTGAAATGCAGTGTTTAGCCCAGTAGTGATCGTTTGACAAAACTAAAACCTCCCCCATGCTTCAGTTCTTTTGTAAGGATTGTCTGAGAACCAGAATATTTATTTTCTGTCGCCTTATTGTGAATAATTCTCATCATTTCTTCATCCATATATGTTAATTTATTTTGGTATACATAAATCAAAATTATCAAATACTTGAAGCTCCTTGATCCTTATAATCAATTTTTCAGACAAAATCTTATCTTCCATGGCTTCCTCAACTTTAAAATGTACTCAAATTGATTATTTAGCATTTAATTAAGTAAAAAGAAATGTGAATGGTAGAAATCTCCCTACTTGAATAAAATCAGATTAAAAAGAGGCTCAGGACGACAAATCTTTTGAACATTTTGTAAACACTGAATAGAATTGAACAATGTTCAGACTAATATTCCTGTCAAAGACTCAACTTTCACAATATTGCTTAGGAATCAAAATCCCTAAAATGAAATCAGAAACTTGAGTAGATGAGAAAAATACTGGTTACTATTAAAGTATTTATAAAAGTTTATGCCCAGTATGATTTGTGTCCAAGAAATGATAGTTTATTTCATGAATTTACTTGAATCTAATATTTTTACAAATTTCAACAGCTAATGTCTTCAGAGAAGAAAGCTCGACAAGAAATAGAAGAACTGAGAGGTCACATAAAGAAAATGCAAGAATCTGAGAGAAAAGAAAGAAGAAAGCTGGCAGAGGAAGATGCCATTAGGAAAATCAAAAAGATGGAAGAAACAATAGCTGAACTTACCAAAAGTTTGTCCTCTCAAAAACAGGTTTGTGAAAATCATTTATTAATGAATCAAAAATAGTCTAACTCTGTAAAATGGTTAAAAATTACATATCCTGCAATATGTAAATAACGCAATGTTATGCAATAGTCATTAGTTGTCAGTTTCATCATTAAATACTGTACCAAATACAAAATAAATAACGGCATTAAATTCCTTGTAAAAAACTGGTTTATTATGAAGTTATTTTTAAAAAATTACTGTTCTTATGCTTTCCTATACTGAACAACCCAACAAACAAACATTCTCTTATACATATATTATAGAGATTTATGAACAATGATTCTTGTTTTATTATAGAGAGAAGAAGCTTTACTGAATGATTTAGAAGTAACAGGACAGGCATTTGAAGATATGCAAGAACAGAACACACGTCTTTTACAACAACTAAGAGAAAAAGATGATGCTAACTTTAAACTCATGTCTGAGGTAAATATATTTTTTTTTGTGAGATCTGTTCTAGTAATTTCAAATTTGTTATTTGTGTATCAAATACAGAGATGTTCTGAAATGATAGTTAAATTTGATTAACATGGTTACATAACTCTTTTAATGAGTTTGTGTAGATATTACTTTGTCAAGTATACTTACATGGTTCTTCAAGCATTTGTGGATAGTGTGGAATTTACAAAATAATCTTCTCACAAACATAGAAGCTAAGTTTGTATTTCTGAATAAAGGTTCACAGGGCTTCAGATAGTTGTACAAGTACTAAAGATAAATGATTCTTATCGCCTTTGACAATAATTAGCCAGATAGATTCTCTAAAATATTTCTGGAAATTCTGAAAAGAGAGAAATGGTGGTTGGTGTCCACTCGAAACAAACTAGGTCATTTTGGAATTAAAATATGGTTCTATTTTATTTCAATAATTCGCTTACACGTAGGGGTCTTTAGCAGTGGGAGGAAACCAGATGACCCGAAGAAAACCAACAAGTTTGGACAAGGTGACCCTACTCTTGTCACATACAAGCAGCCCGGAAGTGAACCATACCACTTGACTCAATGACAGGTCTTATGATCTAACGTGCACAAGTTAAACCATTCGGCCGTCCAAACCTTGCAGAAATTCTTATAAGACTTATTAGCAATATGCTGTACATGATTCTAAAATATATCAATTGTTTGATTGGGATTTTCTTTATTTCAGAGAATCAAATCCAATCAAATCCACAAGTTATTACGAGAAGAGAAAGATGTACTAGCAGAACAAGTGGCTACATTACAAACTCAAGTAGAAGCTCAGAATCTTGTGGTGAGAAAATTAGAAGAAAAAGAAAGAATTCTTCAGAATAATTTATCAACAGTTGAAAAAGAACTAAGGTAACTTAATAATACCATATAAAATAAATGTTTTCCAATAAAAAAAAAAGTCTACATGACCCGTTTTTATTTCAAAAAATAAAAAAAGTCTTATTAAATTGCATTATTCAAGAGCTAAATCTGCCTACTGCAGATCTTTCTTTTGGCCTAAAATGTTATATAAATTATTAATTAGACATTTATTCATATGACAAAAAGCCCATAATCAACTCTAAAGACCATTGGATGTTTGTGATTTTGAATGGATTGAAACACGATCACCATTTAATAATTTAATTTAAAAATTGGTTATCAATAATAAGATAGTAAGTTTTATATCTCGTGTTTCAGTTTTACTCAACAAGCTATGGAAATGCAGAAGAGAAAAGCTGTAGAAAGTTCGCAGACAGCCGCCGATTTAAAACTACATTTAGATAAATATCAATCACAATTAAAGGAATCACAGCAGGCTGTATCAGAGAAAACAGGTTCTTTAGAACAAGAAGCTTTTAAATATAAACGTATGCAGGTTAGTAAATAAATTCTAAATTTCTTTTAAATATAAATGTATGCAGGTTAGTAAACACAATGTAAATAAACTCCAAATTTCTTTTAAATATAAATGTATGCAGAGTGGTAAACACTATATGTTACTTTTCGATATGAAAATATGTTTGTTACTGGTAATAAATTGTTGTGAACTGTTATTGGGTTTTTTGTACTTGGAATATGTGGCTATATAAATATGGAAAAGTAGTGAAATTTCTTTTTGTTTAGGTCCTTTATAAATTAAAGACTGAAATGGCAAAATGTACTGCACAAAAAGTAATAGAACCGCTGGTTTATCTTCAAATATTTCTTGTTGTGTTAATATCTAAAATTAAATCTAATCCATGTCTTTACAGGAAGAGATAGCTAAACTCCAAAGAAAATTAGAAAGAAGTAAAAAGATTGAAATGGCTGGTGCGGCAGATGAAGTTTTATTAGAAGAAATAAAAGAATATAAGGTAAAATTAGTGATGCTTCTGGGGCTTGGGACCCTATCTAATCCCATTTTGGCAATGTGTACTTATAGGCAGCATTAGTATGGTGAGTATGGCACTGCTCACTACCATGAGCTTTTGGCGGAGAAAGTTCCTGAGTATTTTCCAGTCTGGTTTCCCCCTTCTCAGTGAGGTGGGACTGATGGTCTGGTAAGCACCTGGTCATTTCAATTGTACGAAAAAAAATCCTGATATGTACACATTGGGTTACATTTAAAAGAAACCTTGACAGAACAAAAAAGCTGTGAACAACATGGTCTTATTGAAAAAAAAATCTATGTTTTATTAAACACTTAACACTATTTCTTCATTTATCATCATTACTATTTCAGGAGCAGTTAACATGTCCATCATGTAAAGTAAACAAGAAAGATGCTGTCCTTACAAAATGCTTCCATGTTTTCTGTCTCGAGTGTTTGAAAACCAGATATGAAACTCGCCAGAGGAAATGTCCCAAATGTAATGCTGGTTTCGGTGCTAATGATTTCCATAGACTTTATTTGTCATAAATAGAATAAAATTGTTTTGTTATTGATAAGACTATTAGTACAGTTGGAAATCGTATGTTTAAGTCTGATATAAATTATCGTAAAAGTATGGTACTGCTATCTGGTGAGAAAGCCATGTATTGTGATGGATATATAACTGAGTTTTTTTTAACCAGATTGCTTAGAGAAATTCTGCTTGTGGTTAAGAAATTAAAAAAAATGTTTGGGAGCCAGTTTTAAAGAGAAATTGAGTATCAGCTAGTATCGATGTGCTGAATCGAAGTTGAATGAATGTGTTTAAAATATTTATTGGACAAAAAGGAAAATACGGATTCGTCATTTATTTTGTTTCATTTTACACATATATTTATTAATCTTCATGTCCCATTCTGAATAAGCTTAATCATTTTATCTTCATATTTATGCCATTAATCATTTCAAAATATTTTTAATCATCTCTGTAAATCAGTTTTATATGTACATACATTCCTGTTCAGTGTCTCAAGCAATTTATTTAATGTACATTTTATTAAAAATTATTCTGCATCTGTTTACTAGTTTGATATTCTCGGTTTCATTTTGTATCATATTTATATAGGATTCATTAAAGATGCTGATTGTCATTTCCATTTTTCGGACAATATTGCTTCTTGTTTGATTAGTTATCTTTGTAAGTACTGAATGGAAATGAATCAGTTTTGGACTGATATTCAACTTTCATAATATTGTAATTTACAAGGGATTCAAACTCTGTCAAATGACGGTTAGAGACTTTAAATTACCAGTACATGAAATTTTGTATAAATTAATCATCTAGTTCATACTCCCATCCTATTATATAATTGATTGATATGAAGGAAGTTATATGTATACTATTGTACATATTAGAAAATATATAAAAATGGTATATTTAAGTTTTAGTTATAGTTACATGTATTACAAGGATTTTATTATTATTGCCTTACTTGACAGATTGAGTAAGCATTTGCTTCTGAATTTCAAGAAAAATCCTTATTTGGTCAAGCACATAATCAAGTTATTTTTACCTGGAGATAATCATTTTAGTTAAACCTCAAAAAATGTCAGGTCCAAAAACTACTACCTGACATATTGAGCTTTGTTCTGGACATGTATTATAAAATCATTAAAAACACTTGTAAAAGTGAAAAATGTGTGTCCGGCAAAACCACCATAGTGAGAGATCTCAATTTGTGCCTGACATCGTCTGACAGGTGCCTTAGTTCTAGGTTTGTTTAATTGGTAAAAGCTATATAGGTTAATACTGCTATTGAGTTTATTTTATGAACTGCATTCAGTAATTGGGAAATATTCAAATAATAAAACACTATTTATGGAGAACACTCACTAGTACTAGTAGTATATGCTATGCAGCATATAAACACAAATAAATGATTGAGTTGCAACCTATTGGAATGGGTAACAGATGGTGGACTTTTTTCATTGAATACGGTAGATAATAGAGACAGTCCTTGTATATTATGTTTAGGTTGTATATATTCTGTTGACATTTGATTATTATGTTTTGATGAATGCATTCTATACTTAAAACAAATACTAACAAATAGACACATTATACTGGTACCGTCAATGTGTGTGAATATAGGTCTAATGGGCATTATAAGATTTAGACACATAAGTATACTGGCATTTGGTTGTTACGATGGAATAAATAACATGGCCACATGTACACACTGGCATACACGTAATAGAACCCTTCGCTTTGGGAATTTGATGAAAAGTGGTCAGAAACGCCTCTTTCTAGGCATGATTTCCCTAATAGCACATTGCATGGCGTATGTCTGTCTTCATTAGCTCTGTGAGTGCAGAAAAATAGGACGTTAAGCTGCATTTCATTTTATTTCAGAATTAAGTTGTTAATGTTTGAAATTTTGAATATACAGTATATTAAATAAATAACGATAAGAGTTATGTCCCTTTATTTTCGGAAAGAAAATGTCCGACAACTAAAATTTTGAAATCCCATCACTGATTCAGACCTGCTGTGTATAAGACAGTTCATGATATTAATTATTTACCATCATTTACATCTGTATCATTTCTTGTTGCAAAGCTAATTATGAAAGAAACTAGTCTTAGTTATTTAGAAGAAATTATATGAGGAATTAGTTTGCAGATATTTTAAAATCTAAACTGTATACTTTGTGTGTAGTGGATAACTATTTCAAAGAAAAAATGTACCAAACAGAGAATTGTAATAAAAATGGATTTAAAAGAATGCTTATATTTATATTATGATATGAAAAAGCTTGGGGAATACAGTGAACAAATAAATAACATTGAATTAAATGGAGGAAAGGGGGCGGGTCTCCATGCAGGTCAGGAATCATATCTTATTGTTCCAGAGTTAAATATGACATATTATTAAGTATGGTAGCCTACAATGGTAACATGATTAATCATTCTGAATATCGTGTTCATTTAAAAACTGATCGTTGATAAAAAAAAAAAAAATCTTATCTAATGAACTCTTGAAACATGCTAGGACTAGGAGGTGCCACTGACTGCTCACAAACTAAGAGGTCGCAGGTTTGATCCTTGGGAATTTCCAGTCTTGTTTCTCACTTAAATAAGTCGCTCCTAATATTCGTGTCATGAGATGTCAAGTCATTTTTTCCTGCACAGATTTGTCTTTTTTGATGGTATTTTTTTAATAAACTACATTCCTGGTACAAAGTTCAAAATGTCAGGTAGATTACCAGTTCCTTAGCCTGAATTAGTGAGACATTTTGTCAGTTAGAATTATTTATACTTATACTGTCTCAAACTGTCAACAACATAATTAGCCTACACAGTCACAGTGAGCACACATCGTGTAGGCTATCTGGAAAATGTTCATGTGCCTGCGACTAATTAAGAAACCTCATCTCTTGATCCTGCATCAGTGTAAATCAACGTTTTGATAAATGAAGCCTAGAAGAATAAAAAAAAACATGAATGTTCTAGGATTTATATCTAATTAATTATATAAATTATAATCTACTATTTTATTAATTTTAAACAGACATTGCCTGGAGGCTGATTCAATTTCAAATAAATCAAAATTAATTATTTGATGTCCAGGGCCATTTTCATGTCCCTAACACTGGAATTTAATTTGTCAGTAGCCTTGATACACGGTTGTCAAAGCAAGTATCGGGGTGGGGGCATAGGACATTCTAAAACATATCTTTTCCTTCTTTCTCATTAAAAATCAGATCATGCCAAAAAGCAGACGATTGTTTGGTGGCTGGTCAAATAAGGGGAAGTAACTCTGCCGAACCAAACATTTATACACTTCCGCTGTTGTGATTCATCAGTGAAACGAAAAATAGGAACACCTTAAGTTGTTGATATTCGATATTCAGTGTCTGTATTTAAAATCTTCAACATCAGGAAGCCTTGCTAAAAATGGCCCAAGAGGTAGAAGTGCGAACTTGCCGTCCAATAAAGGTAAGATAAAGCAAAAGTAAAAAATATGGGTCACATGTTTTATTAAATATTTTTGGAATGCCAATTCAATTCTGAATTCACGACAAATACTGTTGAATCATATGAACTGCATCCTTATATCATATGTTATTATGACATGATTCAAAAATGATAACAACAATCGTGCAATTAATATCTATTTAGTCTACCATATAAAAGTAGAGTCAAAATTTTAAGTGTTTGATAAAGTAGCTTTTGGCTTGTTAGGCTACTGTTCACCAATCATTGTATTGTTAACTTACTTCTTTAACATTAGTTATAAAGGGAAAATGTAAGACAGGCCTCCTGGCCTAATTTTCAACCCTTTGAAAATGAAGTCTCATCATCATGATTAAACTATAATAAAGCCAAGGAAAATTGACATTGTTCGATAAAATACATAGATCTACATTTGTTGAACATATTTGAACATATTTTTCATAAAAGGAGAGTGTTCACGCATTCGCAGTCTCAAAGTCAAAGAGACTCGGCTGATTTTAAGATAGGCGAAGAGCAACCATCCACACGCAATGGACATGGACGTGCATGGTAGCCTACATATCAAGACTTGTATAATTTGTTAAACAGAGCATAATGATTATGATAATTATATTGCTGTGGAGATAAAATCTAGTGTTGTTAGGTGTCAATTTCTTAATTATGATTAGCATACATGACATGTACGCCAACCTGATTGGTTATTGGGCTACCACTTCCTTGATTATCCAGGCGATCAAACACTGGCAAAGTTACACAGTAATTAATTCTGAAAGTTTTTGTTAATTCCCATCTAACATACAGTACCGGTACACAAATTTCTTTCAAATAGGACAACCAATTATATCAGATTATCAGTACCGTACCGATCGGGTACCTGTACCGATTTGAAAATTAAATGAATCAAATTTTAGAAATCAATTCACTAGTTAATGAGAAATTGGGGTTACTAAAATAAGGTGCTGCTACTACAGTATCTGGTATCAGGCGTATTCATTACCAGGCTAATTCATTACCGGTAAAATCGGTGTATTTATGACCAGTATATTATAGGGTTGATTGGTCGGTATATAAAGGTGCTAATTAGTACTCATCAGTGTGGATAGAAGCCTATACGATAATTATTATAGATGATTTTGATGATTGGTGTTTGATGTATTGAAATTGTTTTTTTTATTATTGAGTTGTTGTTTAAATTATTTAATCTTAAGCTTGAGATTGTAAATCCCGGCTTTGTTATTTTAAACTTCAAACCAATTCCGATGCAAGCTTGGAATTTGTATATATTTCGAATAAAATATGAAACTTTCACCATTTGATATCAATATCTCAGATACATATCAAGTTAACTATAGCCTAATTCCAATGGATCCTAGTATCGCTTGCCCTGTTCACAGTTATTTACGAACCTGTTTAATTTGTATTTTAAATAACATCTAGTTAAACACAATACTCAGTTCAAAGTTGAATACGAAACTATGGCTATTATTAATCACATCAACTGAATACGTTGTTTTTTAATGTGATAGATAAAGAAATATTAATAGTAACATCAAGTTAAACACAATACTCAGTTCAAAGTTGAATACGAAACTATGGCTATTATTAATCGCATCAACTGAATACGATGTTTTATATGTAAATATTGTCTTCGAATATGAAATATTTCAACTGTTGTTTGTATTATGACTATTTAAAATATATAATAAATACCTTGTTAATCCTTCTATTGTCATGTCTTTATTGATTAATTAACACCCATAGACATTGGCACTGATGAGTACTATAAATTAGCACCTTTATATACCGACCAATCAACCCTATAATATACTGGTCATGAATACGCCGATTTTACCGGTAATAAATTAGCCTGGTAATGAATACGCTAGGATTCCAGTATCTAACATGTGACATGATTGACTTAACTGTTGAATGCATTTGAATATCCTAATGCATGAATTGTATGTCATACCATGGACCTTATGATAAAGTGTATTACAAGGTCCATCGTCATACCAGAATGGAGATGATTGAGTTGAAGAAAAATATTTAAGTGCACTGCGAAAATTTGGAATTGTTCCCCCTATAATTGATCGGAAACCAAGAGCAGCTAGAAATACATTGTATTGGCTGGCACAGTCAATTTTCCTGCCTTCTATCTAATATCTTCATTGCCTTACACATGGTCATAGTGCAAAGCTTTCTTAAATTCATCCTCTCCTGTTTAAAAATTTCGCCTTTGTTATTTATTTTTTTTGTCCCCAAAAAAAACCCCAGTAAAAATATTTTCCCAGGTAATCATTATATCAGGGCTTTTGAATAGATGCATACTGGCATATCTAAAAGGTAAAAACTACATGCAAATTATACTGTTATGTCCCATAAAGAAATATTTCCTTTGTAAATGTAACTACATACTGAAATTTAGTTATTTGTTTATAAATAGTTCTCACATCAAACATACAGTGGTGTGATTTTAAATTGAGACCATGCCAAATAAACATTCATTCAAACATGCATGGTAAAAACCTAAATAAATAATTTAGGCAAGGTGAAAGAAATCCGTAATTCCAAACAAACATGGATTTGTGTACTGGTACAGTAGAACTGAAAGATAGCCAACAGACTGTTTCTGTTTGCCAGTGTTAAAGCCATCTTGTAGACAGATGGTGGTGTTATAGGGTCAAGTGTCAAGTCTCTGGCCAGTTGGTGATAATGAAACCTATTGTTTCCATATTGGCATCATGTGTCATTAGTTGAAGTAGGTCTTTGTCATGTGGACCGACAAATCAATACATTTTACAGTGTACCATGTGACCAACCAGTTCTTCGATAAGGGTCTTGATGAATAGAATAGTCACTCAAGTATCATGAACAATGTTTTCTTTAAAATTTCAAAACTTAAAAATTTGGCACCAAAAGGTTCATCCCAAACTTAGGCTGTCTGTCTACAGTTAACTCCGCCAGAGAACAGGTATTCTCGAGGTATGAAGTAGATGCGTCGCTGTGTGCAGTATGCAAAAGGTTTTGAGTTGAGCTACCAAGTACTTTCAGATTTTAAATTGTTTTTTTCCAAAAAGAAATAGGAAGCATGAATTTTAATAGATGTTTCAATGGACCTTATAAGGTCCATGATGTTCCGAAGGAAAAAAGAAGAAAAATTCAAATTTTGTGGCCTAACACAGATTCGAACAAGTGTCCATTACATTATTTTAATTTTCTAAATAGCTAAAAATATATAAACTTATTTATAGTTACTGTAATTAAAAGATATAATTCCCTCATCATCATTCTTTCTTGAACACCATAGACCAATGTTTTTGCCACCAATTGTTTCTGTTAAATAGGTGTTTATTGGTAATAATATATAGGAGCTAACAGGTTAGAGTTAAAAACTTTTTGGTTGTTATTGATGCAATCATACAAATAACTTTCTTTTGTAGACATATTATTAAAATTTACATCTGTCTTATGCATTTCTTTAAAGGGACAATAACACTCTTTCTGGCTTGAAAGCTCCAGAAAATAAATAATATCTCTATCTAAGTACTAGATGTTTAAGTGTCCCACCTGTTGTGTAAATTATCCATTACATCCTATTTTACTTGTCCAGAGGGTTCAAAAATATTTTTAAATTGAAGTTTCATTTGAAAAGGTTTACGTTAGACGTTTCAAACCATTGTGTTGAATTTTTCAAAATTTTTAAATAAGGTGTGTTATGATGAAATTTGTATCATCAATTAATTGAAATATTCTAAAATAGTACAAATTGTTGACCAGAATAAAGATTGGGACATATTTTTCAGTTACAACAAGAGTGGTATTGAGCCTTTAAAGCTGCGTTCCCAGAAAAGTATTTATCGGTTGGTTATTTCCAATAAATATTAAAAGTATGGCAATTTTCGTATATATGGAAAGTAGAAATATCCAATCTTACTAGAAAAATAATGGATTCCCTGAAAAATGTATGTGTTTCCCTAATCGACAGCCTGACGATTAGGAGTGTCTGCACACGTGACGTCAAAGGTTGCACGCGGAGATTGAGCTCTTAATGTACATGTTGATAGACTTTATGAAGAGTTAGACGTACCAGTACAACACTTTCTGAGATAAAAATCATGGAAAAAGACGCGGGAAGTGGATAATCCGAGAATTTAATTAGGCTTCGATATTTGTAATAAATAGTCAGCATAGTCTTCTGTATGCAATGAATTCGCCTCCAACCTCGCACCCGTTGTGTCACGTGACACAAACATGACCCCTTTTGATCAATTCTTTATAGCCGGTTATTCCCTGACAATTGCAATGTTTTGAGAAGGATTTGAAGCAAAATTATGAAAGATTAATTAGTTTGAATATGTTTTTTGTCCAAATATATCATCAAATCACCCAGTTTGTACCCGGGAATGTATCTTAAAACGATGTTGATATATAACGGAGGATGGAATACATTTTGTATTCTATTAAAAAATGGGATTCTGTCTCAATTTCTGAGCAGAAGGGACATAATCGACAAATAAGTGGGGTTGGGTGATGAGTGTATCTTAGTTTTTCTATCACAAGGTCAGAGCTTCCGCTGCATAACAATGACGTGGCCATAAATATGTGAGATTGTTACCTAAGACATAAGGTTTGGCTTTCAAATCCTTTTTAAACAAACAATGGGTTTTTAATTTGTTGCTATTAGTTTTTGCGGTCATTCCATAACTCTTGGAACCATTTACTCTTATCAGTTTGGAATAAAGGACAAAGCTGTATTTAAACAGCAATCTGATTCAAAGTCAACAGTAGTCGAGATTCGAGATACAAAAACATAACAGTTACATATTAACTTTCAGTTTTGGCTCAACATTTGTAAGTTTCAAATATTTGTGTCTTCATGAATGGGAATTATTTGAGATCATCGTAAAACCTTGCTTTTAGATAGTTCAATTTGAAGTGCCAAATTTTCACATTTTATCATCTGAGAATTAACATTCAACCAGATACAACAACTTGTTACACAGAATAACATTGTATAGCTAGCTATTCTAAATATGTGCTTACAGAACTTTAAAAAAGATGTTATTGTAATGTGTCCATGATGTTTATAGTGTAAAACATGTTATGTCAATAATTTGGTTGTTTAAGTGATTAGAAGAGTTGTCTTTAGAGAGTTAGTATTGACACAAACCTTTAAACTCTGCTCTACTGTTTACTATATAACAGATTATCCTTTTGATGAAGACATCTGCGATATCACCTTAGTGGAAGCAGATGTTAATGTACCACGATACTACTACTGATAAATACAGACTTGTTTTGATAAACACAGAGTTAAATAAAACTTCACAAATACATGTTTTTTACCTTATTAAAAGAAGTTGCATTAAGTAAATAGTAATTTGTAATTTATTTTTCTATTTGAAGAGTTAGAATTACTTCTAATCCGTATTCCAAAATGTGCATTTATAGTGAATCTGAAATCATAAATCTGTGTTTTGCCAAACTCTGCAGTAGCGATTACATCAGATGCTGCTTTTACAAGTTGGATATTTGTTTTTTTAAGTCATTATTCAAATGTTATTCAAATATTCAATTCAATTCAATTAAAATGATAAATTTTTGGATCATTTTTGTTGGATCTTTCTAATCCATGGATCTGCAAATTTTTCAAATCATATATTTCGTAGGATACAAATTTTTTTAAAATGTTACTATTTTCAATTGACATCAGATAGATGAGGAATACTAATTTCTTAGTTATTTGTTTGGGCATTAGTCTGCAGGACACAAATGTAAGCCTATTACAGAGATGCCCCTCAAATACACTGAGGAGATTCCAATTTGAGCAATTTTAAAAAAACTATTGAATATTACCAGAGTAGATCAAAAGCAACTAAAATATTAAACTCTGTACACCAATCCTAGTAAATGAATTTATTTAGAAGTAAACATTGAATGTTATTATTTTTTTCTATTTTCAGCATTTTGCTGTTGTTTTTGATGGTATAGCATTATTGTTGATTATTATAGCTGTATCAGCTTCTAATTGGGTAGATGTTCGATTTCATAACAGTGAGGGCTATATAGCCTGGGGATTGTGGCAGGACTGTTATGATGTTGCTGGTTCAACTGTAGTTTGTGTTTCCAAGGGTAAGTGTACCAGGAATTCTGTTTCAAAATTTTACCCATCGAACATCTTTTGTTGGGGTTAACAGAGGCTGAATTTGGGTCACCTGAAGTCATTGTTATCTTCAGGAAATAGGATCTTTTGTTTCCAAGGGTAAGCGTATTGTACTGGGGCCTGTTTCACGAAATTTTAACTAAGATAAAATCCAAATTTTAGTAATTTGATTGGATAATATTAGATTGATTTTAGTGCTAAGCCAATCAAAATTGAAGTATCTACTAAAATTTTGATTTTTTCTTTAGTTAACATTTCGTGAAACAGGGCCCTGATTTGTTGTTACAAGAAAAAAAACTTGACTTGAAATATCACACCTAGCAACACAAACTTTTCTAATTCCTACTGGGTACATAAATTGATATGAAGAATCTTATATACATTATGTTACTTATCAGTGACATGACATGACAGGTATATACTGTACATGTTCCTCAGATGCCCAGAATTTTTATGATACAACACACACAAACACTAACCATTCGTCCATCCAATCCCCCTTGGAGTAAAGATGGTTGTTATCAATGGTTTTGCAAAGATATTTGCATAGTTACCACCCCTGACTGTTGATAAATAAACTCTACTGTAGAGCTTAATCTTTTCGTGACATTTAGCGATTGAGAAACACATTAGCAGAACACAAATTTTATAGGGAACAATCACTAGTTTATTCTAAAAGCATGACGTTTTGACAAGTATTCTCTTATCGTTATCAAGCACAATAAAAGAGGATCCTTTTATCATTATCAAGCACAATACAAGAGGATACTTGTCAAAACTTGTGCTTTTAGAATAAACTAGTGATTGTTTACCATAAAAATTGTGTTCTGTTAATGTTGAGTTTAGTCCTTTTTCATCCGATATTCAGGAATAGTATATATTGACATTCAATTGCATAACAGCACTCCAGACTCCGGCTTTATTGCCCTGACTAATTATATGATTGTTGATCTAAAAATGTTACTCCACTCAGATTCACTCAATAAAAGTTGAGTTCTTGACTGATTGACATAAAACGTTAAAATAAACTTTGTTGAACTAACCTGTATCTAACTTTACATATATGTAAAATTCCACACACAAACAAATCTGAGGACCTATCATATCTGCTCAGTTTGATTTCTCATATTAGGCACTGAGGACATATGGCATGTGTCAAATCTAACATGAGCTACAATGTATCTTAATCACCTTTCTGATTAAAAAGTGTTACATCAACCTGTAGCAAGATGATCACCATTCCTATTGTTCAAATACCAACAATTGCATACTGAATTTTACCTGTATATCTTTTTTTCACAGATCCCATTTTTTACCCACCTGTGAAGCCCCCAAATTTTTTCATGGACTACTTGACCCCAGCTTAGAAAAGACTGACTTAATAGCTGAATGGATGCTTAAAGAAACATTAGTTAACATTTTAATAAAGAGTTGGCCATTCAAAAATAGATGATAAAAAAAGAAAATTTTGAAAATTACAGTCAAACTACTTTATTCTAAATGAAGTTATCACTGTTGGAAGTTTGGACTAGAAATAGGCATCAACTGTCTCTGCAGCATTTCCGAGAATTGCCGATCATTCTTGCACACATATTCTTGATTATCAAGTAACATTCTCAATGCCTACGGTACCCTTGATTATCAGTGACATCAGTGATTAATGGTAAATGTTAACTTCGTCAGTCATTTAATGATTTAATTATTAAATGAATGACTGTTTAAATCCAAGCTGTATCCAAGCCATCTGAGAATCTACAGAGTTGATTTTGGGCTTGTTATGTAAATAAAGGTCTAATTAATAACATTTAAAGCCTATAGAAAGACTTGCAATAGGCATATTTACCTCTTAACTAAGGATGCTGGTGGGTGTATGTTAAGTTGTCTTGATTGACAAACAATATAATGTTTCAATATGAATAACAATACATTAGTTTTAATATCTGTTGTGTATAATTTCAGATTGGATGTCAGCATGTGGAGCTTTTATTATTATAGCTCTGATAGCATGTATTGGTGCTATACCTCTAGGTATATTTGGCATCTGTACTAAAACTAGATTATGGTACATCATTGCTGGTATATTGAATGTTGCTGCAGGTCAGTAAAATATGAAATGAAATGAAATGGGGTTCAATGTCCTACTTTTCTGCGCCAACCATTGGGCCAATGCAGATAGACAGTTTGCCTGGACAGTGGTGTTTCGGCCTACTCTTTGTCGAATTCCAACTGTCAAGGGTTCTTTTACAAGCAACTGGACCTTGGTTTTTGTCTCATCCATATAACTAAGGGTTTTTTTCATTGTCCTTCCTTATTTTTCATATTATATTGGTAATCTGACAATAACTGAAATATGTATTCTATTGACAAGACATGTAAAATCTATTCTGATTGATCATGTTCAGCATTGTTAATGTTTAATGGAACCGTTCGTGACACCACAGGATATGTGTTGATGAAAGTAGGTATAAGTATGCAGATCAGAGGTCAAAATGGAAAGAAATAGCCTCACTGATATTAAGAATTCATTGTCCTCGACTTGACCTAATCAAGTACACGGTTGTTTACTTTTTTCGTCTAATTAGTAAAATAATATGTACCTGATCAGATATAATAATTGTGTAGCAATAATACTTTCAGTAAACTGTTAGTGAAAAAAACGTCAATCAGTCAGGATGTGGATAGTGTGACAAGGCGTGAACTGGATGTGGGCATGGCCTGCCTCTGTTTTTGTACGCCATACAATCGCCATGATCGTTCTACAACTTGAAAACAAGTATGGCGATTATTTACAGGGTTCCCGCGGTCCTTGAAAATCCTTGAATATCCTTAAATTTAAAATTTTATTTTCAAGGTCTTGAATATCCTTGAATTTCGCGGAAATAGGAAAATATCCTTGAATTTCAGTTGAGATCCTTAATTTTGTTTCAAATGTCTTCAATTCCTTTTAAATATGAGATTATAACGATAGTTGGTAATGTTTTGGTTATTTTTAAGATGAAAAATTGTAACTTTAGGCTAAAAAATGTCCTTGAAAATCCTTGAATTTGACGTATATTTATCCTTGAATATCCTTGAAAAAATGTTTGACGAAGCCGCGGGAACCCTGATTTAGGGTGTTAATTTTTTTATTTGATTATTTCTGTAGTTTTGTAATCAGAGTCCAGCTTTAAATTATATCCAGAATTTAATGCTGATACTCTGCCTTTAGAACCAATCTGATGGAATATTGCTGTTAAAATTGCTATATTTCTTTTTATTTTTCTATTCCAGCTGTATGTGATTTCATTGCCTTAGTGATTTATCCATCAAAATTCTCTGAGGAAATACAGGACAAACATTCTGCTGGTTGGAATTTTGACTGGACATATGGTATTGCATGGGGTGGTTTATTCTTCATGGTTGGAGCTGCCGTCTTATTTTTCTTAAAGATGAAAGAAGATACAGTGGTTCAGAGAAGTGCAAATTATAATCCATCCCATCATCAAGGTTACGATAATAACTTTTCACATTATTAATATGTCTTATTTTACTGTCTACAAATAACTATAAAATTAAAAGTTATTTTTTTAGACATGAGTGAATCAATTGTTTGAAATGCTTAATCTGTTATAAGGTTACTTGAAATATTTTTGAATTCTTATAAAATTATTATGATGCTACGTTAGAAATGGAGTTACTTCCCTTTGAAGGAAGAATATATAAATTCTTTGATTTTTCCAAAAGCATCAACAGGCCTGGAAACGGCACTACTGATTTGATTTCTGATAATTTGAACTTTATGCTAGATAGATATGTGTTATATCAATAAAAACACAGAAAAATCACAAAATAACAGGCACCAAATAAATTGAGTCTGATAATGTTTGAAACAGATGCCTTATTTCCAGGCTTGAGTACTTATCAAGAACAATTGAATTTTTCATTTTTAAGGAGTTCTAGAATGACATTGTAAATTTAGTATTGTCACATATAGAGTGAAAACTCCACAGCATATTTGTACTGCTTTAAGAACAAGCCATTTTATTTTTCAATTATTGTTTTCACACACTATCATTAGGCCAAGAAAAAAAAAATACCCATGTTTACGGTTACTTTGCCCAAAAACTAGTTTTGGTCAGGTGGAAAATCTTTTTTTGTGGGGTTTGTATTATCTATTTCATAGAATTTCTAGTCTAATTACTGAGTAAGGTTGTTGAAATTTTTTCTTTTTAGAGAAAATCACTCCAAGACCTAGTTATAAGGCCTGGAAAATGAGATAAAAAAAAGTTTAATAGGGTTTAAAATAAAATAGGGTTGGTTGGGTAATAACAGTAAACACAGTTGATTTTTTTTTTTTTATCTTGGCCTTATTAACAGAATGTGTAAATCAACAAGTTTTCTTTGATCATTTTAATATTAATATTATTTTGAATTTATTTGTTTTATTTTATTTTTTTTTGTTTTTTTTTTTATTTAAAGGGAAAATTCAACAGAGAAATAGAAATAGAGAATTTTATTAGGATTAATTAGTAAATATGTTGTTATTAGATATTATTTGATATTAAGAATAATAAATTATCTTTTAAAGATATGATGATAGACTGGGATTTATAAAATGGATCTGATAAAACAGGCCTGGAAATAATGATGCTTGTTGTACCTGGGGGGGATTTGGTGTCCAAATTATTAACACATGTGTGTTAGATCTGTCATTGATTCAACTTGCGTGGTTTTGATTCCCCACTTTTATTGAAATAAAATTGAACCATAGGTTTGTCCTGAAATGACCTAGTTTGTGTCGAGGGGACAATAAACCCCATTTCTCTCTCACTCTTTGTCAGGCATGAACTAGGACCTGATATTTTGAGCTTTGTGCTGGACATGTATTAAACATATTAAAAACATTAATAAAAGATCAATGTGTACCTGACAAAATGACAGGCACCAGAGGCATTGTGTCTGACAAAATTGGAGTTGTATCTAACAATGTCTGTGATAGATGCCATATTTCCAGGCTTGGTGTAGACATCTCTTTATTAGTTTTAATTGATGTATATATTATATATATATTTACAATAATTTACATTTATTCCTTTATATTTAATACTTTGTGCCTGTCATGTATAAATGACATTAGTCTATACAATTATGTCTACATGTTGACATTTTACTCATTTTTGTCTACCATATTTATTCTGAAATGTGTCATTTATTAAGGGGGCCACAGTTGTTCAGTGAGTAAAGCTTGGTTCACTAAAAAAGAAGAAAAGTGGACAGAAGTGTTTAGTTTCTGTACAGACCAAATTTCCCTCATAGAACGCTGCCCGTATGCCCATCTTCATCAGCCCGTTTGGTGCAGAAAAGTAGGAAGTCAAACCTCATTTCATTCTTTTTGTCAACCATGAAGATGAAACTACAGTAATACATGCTGGGCAACACAATTAGCAATCAAAGCAAATTGATTATTTAATTGAGAATAGAAAATTTGTTTGCAGCTTGGAGCAATAAACTATCTAAGATAGTTTGTCTTATTCAGTTGCCGTCCTACACAACTTGTCTTTACAATAAAATAATGGGAATTTTAAGTGCCATTTATACAACATAATTGTATACATCTATATTTCGATGCATCATAGTTACATTATAGTTATAAATATATTTACTAAAGGAAATTTATGTGGTCCAACTGCTTTAGTCATACCTCACGTTATTATTTGAATACAATGATCATTTATTTAATGTAAAAATATATACATGTTATGTTAATAGTACAGAAAAACGTGTACTGTTTCGAATATTGTGAAAAGCAACTTAAAAATAATCTTTTCTTTAGTAATTTTATCTCATAATTATTGTGGATGTATATTGGATTCACCTGTGTCTGTTGTCTGTTAGTCCAACTTTTATGGTTAACACTCTACTCGATATAAGGGGGTTGGATGGCCGAATGGTTAGCATGTGCGCGCTGTATCATACGGTCCGTCATTGAGTCAACTGTACGTGACAAGGAGTAGGGTCGCCTGTCCAACCTCGTGGGTTTTCTCTGGGTCCTCCGGTTTCCTCCCACTGCTAAAGACCGCTACGCGCAAGCAAATTATTGAAATAAAATTGAACCATGTGTTAGTCCCGAAATGACTAGTTTGTGTCGAGTGGACGTTAAACCCCATTTCTCTCTCTATCTCTCTCTCTACTCGAAATAAAGAAACCTATCAAAATTTAAAAAATTGTCACAAAGTTCTGAGTTAAATTCACATTTATATTCTGTGAACACAATTCAGAATAAAATTATCCATGGAATTGTTTAACACTTGTTGGTTTTATTCATTAGGCCCAATGTATGAACCCATCAGAATTTATCATGTTTTTAATTTCTAAGCTTAGTCTGTCTTCATTAGCTTAGTCGGAGCAGATCAGTGGGATGTTAAACCCCATTTCATTTCATTTCTAAGCTTAGTACAGAGTTCATAATACATTTTTAAAACTGACAATGATTCTAGATTTAGTGTGGATGACAATGCTGGTGGTGGACATTCAGTGTGCCTGACAAGTCCCCTTCTATGGTCTAGTAAATTAAGGCACATTTATATGTCTATAGCTATACATAAATTCATTATTATTGTTATTATACTTGTCTTCATGTGTAAATACACTCTTTTTACTAACTTTATATAATATTTACAATGACGAAAGATCTGATTTCTTAAGATAATGTTATTTAAAGCAAATAAAATATAGCATTTTGTTGTATTGGCATCGTATTCAAGCTGTATATATTTTGCCCATTATAAACAAAACTTTGTCTCAGATTACATTACGAGTTATAATTCATAGTATTTACATTTATATCCATATCCTAAAAGGCGCTATGTTGATCTTAAAACTCAACTCTGTCGACATACTAACACAACTCTGTCTGCTGTCGACATATATACCCAACTCAACTTTGTCGATGTACCCAACTCAAGTCAGAACGAGTGAAAGTTTGGTTATAAGAGTTTGAGAGGATTGCGTTCAGTTGAGTTGGGTTGGGTTGGGTTGAGTTTAAAGTTGGCATTTGGCCACCTTATTATATATTTACTTACCCTCTCAGTTTCTTCTGACAAATCCACTGATTAACCTAACGATAGTTAATCCCTGTTTTAAGAAGGAATTATGGTAATTTTTGTATATTTTATAATATGTTTACCTATTTGATTGTGTTTACAGTCTTTCTGTAGCAATAGTTTTATTATTGTTAAGCGTTTCCATATCATATAAATTATACATGATGTTACATTGTTTATATGTTTTATCCAATCTCTGTTGGTTGTTGGTTTTCACATATCATATTCAATATGTGCCGTCCTTGTTCTGATTGTTCGAGGACAAAACAAGGATATCTTCAGTCTAATTAAACTTATACTGACATTTTGTTCCACTCTGACATGCATGTAAAAAAAAATTTTGCAGTTTGAATTTGAAAGAAGTCTAGGCAGAAATGCCACTGTCCAGGTAAATTTATTTGATCTGACATTGTACACCTAACCATTGATATGAAAGTTACGAAATGTTTAACTCAAAACGACAGGATTATTGTATTGACAATATGTTAAACCCCAATCAATTGGTTCTATTTCATCTTGTTGCTGATTGATTTCAATTACTGGTAATTAGTTATAAAACAAGATTAATTATCTTTGTGAATCTAGAGTGAAACGTAAAGGAACATATTTATACTGCACAAGAGCTTTAGTCAACATTTTTTCTCAATATATTACCGATATGAGACCTTTAAAAAAACTGAAAATACAGATAAGATTTGATTTAAACTACATGTAATTATAAACAAGATTATCTTCTGGAAACTTCATGAATCTAGAGCGAGACGTAAAGTAACATATTTATAATACACAAGAGCTTTAGTCAAAATATCACTGGTATGAGATCTTTAAATAACTGAAAATACAGATTATACTACCACGCACATGTATTTCTATAAAATCATCACATAACTGTCATCTTGTGTAATTAATATACGATTTACAAAATGCCCATACCATTTGAAATAATGTTAAGCTTACAACAAAGGATGGTGTAACATCTGTGTTGTAATCTGTACTATGATACTATGTATGTACAAATATGTTTAGATTTGTTGTGAGCGAACTACATATAAATACACCATTATCATATGTAAAATTTATGAATATTGAAGCAATAACTAACAGCTAGCATTGCAATAACTAACAGCTAGCATTACTATTTATTAACTGTTGTTACAAACTAGATATTTAACATGGACATATTTTTGAATATCTCATGCTTTTGGCTAGATGTCTCTGATTTCATTTTATGTAATTATTTCACAGAACTATCCTAAATAAACTTGAAAAATTACAGAGATGAACACTAAATATTTATGCCAGTTCAGAGTGTACATGTATTGTTGAAATGGCTATAAAAGAAAATAAGAGGACACTAGTTATAATTGTGAAGAAATGTTGACTGATTGCATTTTATTTGGTGATTTCACAAAGCCATTTAAAAAAAAACCCTCCTGGTTTAACTGTGAAGAAATGTTGCATTTTATTTGGTGATTTTACAAAGCCATTTAAAAAAACCCCCAAAAGATTACAGAGTTGAATGTTAATTTTTACAAATTTATGCCAGTTCGGGTCTTCAGTGTGTTTCTGTTAACTGACGATTAAAAGCAACTAAGAAGCATCTAGTTATTTCTGTGAAGAAATGCTGACAAAAATTATTTTTTTCACAGAGACATTTAATTTAAATCATGAAATATTTAGAAGCTAATTTTGATTACCAGCATTTACAATTTATGCATAATATAAATACACAAGATCAAAGGATATAATTTTATTCTTTTCATATATCATGTTTTAATTGCATGTTTTGCTGTGTTAATGCAAATAAGATATCCATGTATATATTATATTTTTATATTTATAAAAGATAAGCAAGCATTTTCTTAAAATCATTGTATTCACTTACACTGTACTTAATCTCCTCGTTATATATTTATCATGTAAAATTAAAGTCAATGGTGGCGCCAGGATTCTCCACTCTCCAGTATGGCAGGGTGTTCGCAGGGGCCTCCCCCAGAAATATTTTGAAAAAAACCCAAAAACATGGTGATATACGCAATTTGTTCCATGTCTTGATGAGGAACAAAATCAACAGAAATAATTGCATCTTAGTATTGATTAGAAAGGTGGAAAATTGATTCTTGGAGCTTTAAATGACAAAACACAAATCCTCTATCAGAAATAAGTGTCCCTCCACTGACAGGAACAGTTTACAAACATGAATTAATGTTTATTTCTTCAATTGTTATTGGTCATTTTGTGCTGCATTGTCTTTTAAGTAGAGACTAAGCGGCCATAGGAAGGTTATGCTATTTGTTTACAATTAGCTCCGCTTGAGAACTTTAGACTGACACTTTAATTTCTAAATCGACGATTTTAGTCGAAAATGCTGAGTATACTTCATGAATTTTTGAAAAGTATTTATTCTGCTTCCATTTAATAAAATTGAAATTTTTTATTTAGTCTTTGTGTACATGAAAGATGTTTAACAGATTAGAACCCCATTACAAAATAGAATACTAATTTTTGAATAAATTGTTTCAATGGTATTTAGTAATTGAACTGGAATATACAGGTCACAAATTCTATGGAATACAATTACTGCTTATTACTGAGCGATGTTTTGACTACTAGTCGAAACGCTCAGTAATAAGCAATAATTGTATTCCATTGAACTGGAATATACAGGTCACAAATTCTATGGAATACAATTACTGCTTATTACTGAGCGATGTTTTGACTACTAGTCGAAACGCTCAGTAATAAGCAATAATTGTATTCCATAGAATTTGTGACCTGTATAATTTTTGAATATGACCAGCCATTCTAGACAGAGTTCTATTTTCAAAGTAGATAGTTCTCTGTGTGTAAAATGACACAGATGCTTGCCAGATAATTTTTTTAAAACTGCCACTTATTCTTTTACTAAGTTCTTGTACATATAAGTACCAGCAGAGCTTTATTAAGTTTTACTTCTCTTGAAAATATAAATTCATATAACTTTTTTTTTTATGACACCTTCTGTAGACCTGAAATTTTTACACATTTTTATTCGGTTGTGAAATGATTTAATGTTAGTGAAACTTTTTATTGGAATGTTGCCATTTTTTCTGTTTAGTGTTTGTGTACATTCCAGTGAATTAATAATTGAAGATTAGAATTATACCCTCCATTAAAATACTTGTAGTTATTCATATTTATATTAAATAATTGCTTTATTAATTCTTATTTCTCATTGTTTTATTTAAAAGACAATATTGGTGTCAGTCATTATCACATATGTGATAGAACTGGTTAAACACGTTCCAAATATAATTTTAACACAGAGATCATTGCTACGATAGATGAGTAATACAGGTGTCATGAATCATGAATCGTAAGTGACCAAAGTCAAAGGAAAACACATATGTGATAATGACGGACACCAATATTGTCCTCTAACAGGAGAAACCTATACCCGGTAACTGGCAAATTTTGACATTTTTTAAGTCTGTCTGGTTCACTACAGCACACTGAACCTTACAAAGTGTTTCTGGAAAATTATTGGGTCTTTTAGACAAAATCAATAATGTCTAGATATATGCACTGCCCTGCCTTTTCATGATCAAGCAGCAGTATCATTTTAGCAATACTGAAACTGCACAACCCCAGATCTCTATACTGATAAGTTTTAGTGACAATTTGAGAGCACGGAAAGTGCAAAATGCACACAATGTCGGGGCGGAGGGGGCCTACCTCAGAAAATTTGAAAAATGAAAGTGTCTATAAGATGCCATTTCTGACTAAATTATGTCAGAGCTAGACTGACCAGGGGTTGTCTGGACCCGGACCCTTCTTGATCTGGGCTTGCTGATAGACTTGTACATGATGAAGTGAGAAGAAACATGTATTAATGATTTCAGATAATTACATGATGGGTTGTTGCCCATAAAGTAACTTATAAAATAACCATAAGGCACCAAACTTTATTGTCACATCAGACAATCGACAGCCTGGCAACCTATCTTATTTGACATTTATCATCTGTTTTTAGAATAAATGCCAACTTTTGTCCCTTTGAGATGCCTCTTTAAAGCCCATTCCCAGACATCACCCAAAACTAGCAATCCCTAGTCTATGTTCTGAAACCAGGCGTAAGAAAAATCTTGTGCATTCTAGGCATTTCTGCTCTGAAGTTTATATTTCCTAGAATAAACAGATATTTGAACTTTATTCTATGCAGAATTGAACAAACAAATATGATTATCTTTTATGTAATAATGGCCAACAATAAAAGAAGAGGAGTAAGACCACCACAAATAAAACACACTGAACAAGTTTTTAAGGAGCTAAATCGCTAATATTTGGGACCTAAACGTTGATACAAATGGGTCGCAACGCATATGATAATGTAATATGAATGTATATAAACTGATTTACATTCAAAGATTTCCGTTTTGGCTCAAATCAGTTATGTTTGGCGAAATATGCCAGAAGTCTCAATCGAATGGCAATCTCTAGCTTCTGGCTATTCCAGTCTACACCAATAGTATTTATTCCGCATGCTCTCCTGATCCTGATAAGAATATGGTGTCACCGTTTGACATGACTTGTGGAATATGTCTAGGCCCGTTCTTCAAGTCCCTTGTTACAAATGGCGCTGCAACGGATTCGTGTACCAATGGTAAAATGTTTATTTTGTCTTAAATATTGGATATCAGAAGTCCATCTTTTCCCAGTAAGATAACACCATCAATGTTGATTTAAATTGACAAATAATTTGTGTTTTCAATTTCGAAGACTTTGGATGATATTGAGTTAGAGACTTAGCTACTTTAACACTCCAGAATGATGTTTTGTAATAAAGCTAAAACATTCCATGGAAACTAAGTGCAACTTTGAAATGGCTGTGAATCACCTTCTGCTGTCAGTACTAAGATACAAATCTATTTGAACTTTTGCACTGTATGTTTAATTTCTGCATGAAACATCTGCTTGGTTAAAAGATTGAACAAGAGGTTGCCATGCAAGATACTCCCACATTTTGCAAGAGATGGACAGAGAACAAGCTAAAAAGAACAAAAACAAAAAGGGGCCATAATCCAGGATGTTACATCTGCCATGTTAATGAGCCAATTGTTGAGGGATGGACAGACATGGGTGACAGCATAATGCATACATACTCAAGTATGAAAATAACATATTATTTTTAAATTTTTTTTATTCTTTTTAATAAATGTTAATAATAGTAATGGGTGTAAATTCAAAATAATATATTAAATGTAAATAAATGGTGACTGTGTGTAAATTCAAAACAAAATTATAAATTTTTTTAAGTAATTTTTTTAAGTATTCTATATATCCAGCACCTTAAATTATCCTTATTAAAACATTAACAAAAATAAATTCTAATGGAAGTTATCATCACAGCAGTCACTGTTTTTTTAAGGCGAGCGATCGCTCTCGAGCGTCTGTCGCTCACCTGAATGTCAACCAAGGAGATGTTTTTCTCCCTCCCCTTAAAATTGAAAATCGCTCTCCTTTACAAAGTCATCATGGAAGGTTTATTATCATATTTATGAAACCAGGAATTATCCTGTAACATGCAGTTATTGATCTTCAGAACCATTTCCCATACAAACTCTCCTTCATATCAGTTCACTCTCCTTAATTTCTAAATCACTTTTCTTATCTAAACTGGGAGAGTTTTTTTAGGGGAGCGATTTTTTCAATTTGTTGATTAAGGGGAGCTTTTTTCGGCTCTCCTGTAAAATACCAACAACAATGACTGTTAAAGATCTTAGAACATAATATCATAATAATATAAAACAAAAAACTAACTACGGCAAGATTTGAATGCATTAATATTAGTATGGAGTGTAGTTACCCTGTATTAAATGAAATGGGGTTGAACGTCCTACTTTTCTGCTAAGGAAGACAGAATCATGAAGACAAGAGCTACCCTGTAAAATCGGCAGCATTGTCAAACATAAAAGCTCTCAAAACAATACAATAATCCATGATGATTAATTTAATGATATGCTAACCAATTGTTAATGATATAACAATGATGTCATTATCTATTAGGTAGAGAGAAATGAGGTTTACTGCAATCTGATTAAAACACAGATCCTATTTCGTTTGGTTTTTATAGTTCAAAATTTCGTTTTACTTGTCTTTACTACACTAGGATCTGGAAGAGTTGTTATCATTGATGTGTTCTGAACGATGTGAGGGATTAGCCAAAGAAACGGTCTGTTACGGGGACTTCTTGACCTTTTAATTCACGGAACTGTGGGTAAACCACTAGAAACGTCAACGCTGATTGATCAATTAATGTCTGACGTCACAGGGTCAACAGCTGTTTGTTTGACCCCTGACGTTAACTCCCATTATAACTTGTCAGATCTTCATATAGTGTAGGCCATAGAAAGTATAAAAAAAAAAAACACAACGAAATATAGATCTATATTTTAATCAGATTGGGTTTAACGTCCACTCGAAACAAAATAGGTGATTTCAGGACAAAATTTGAACACATTATTGGCATTAATATACATATATAAAAATTCAATGAAAATGCAGCACTGGATTGTCTGAAAGTACTCATAATATCAATTTATTAGGCCATACAAAACAAATATTCTGGTTTTGTGACTTTAATTTGTCACAGGATCATGTTGTTAATTGACTTATCATAAACATCACATTTCAAGGCACTACGTTCATCTCATCCCTTTGTTTATAGGAAGGTATGATTATCCACCAGTATGATTTACAATAGTCAATAGCATTTATCACGGTTGCTTAATTGATAATTGAGCCCGTGGTACACTTCCTGCTTCATTCAAAATTTTTTTGTCGATTACTTCCTGTAACTGGGGGGAAATATGAACTCATGGTAATTAATGAAACTGTTAAAGATGAATTATGTAATTTTTAGATAATAATTCAAAAATAGATATTGTAAAATGAATATGTTGAAAGTTTCATTCAAATTACTTTATTCTGAGCAAAGTTATGATTTGTCTGAAGATGTAGCATAGACTGTCCATGTTATCATTATATATTTAAAACTTGTGGATGTTTAAATCTATATAAATCTCGGCCATACAGTGGTGTAGAAAGTTAATCATAGGCTTGTCATGTTCATAAAAGTCTTAATAATAATTTATACAATATTTGATGCCAGAAGAAAGACCTGCAACAAGCAGATTTGGCTCTTGCATAATGCATCTTTAAGTCCGGGGTCCCATTTAAAGTTATATTTTTAAAATGTATTAAAATAAAGCCTTAAAATAGATGGTATCCATAAACAGTCCTACCTTGTTAAAGAATAATCCTATTCATTATATAATTCGCTATTGCCAGCTGAGAAATTGGCAAAAATATCATTTTTAACTTCAAATTCCAACATTGGAAAATGGCTGCCCCATGTTGTCAATAGCAAAACAGGGCAGGTAATTGTGTTGTTATTTCCTGTGTCATAGATTTTTAAGGGTGGGAAATAATGCCGATGATCGTATAATAGTGATTTGATAACCTATTGAGCAAAAGACATAGAAATAATTATGTTTTCACTTTCTTAGAAAATTTGAAATTCTCGCTTTAAGTTATGCAGAAGTATCATTTTTTTTTGTGGCCTTATCAATATCATTTGATTTAGCTCTTGCATAATGCATCTTTAAGTCCGGCGTCCCAGTTAAGTTATGCAGTTAAGTATCAATTGTTTTTTATTGTGGCCTTATCATTTGAAAATACATTTTACTCTAGCGTTAAAAGACATTCCATAATAAAATCGTGCAAGATTTCAGTTGTAAAAACTTATATAGAGGCCTACACTTAACATCTTTGTTTTAAATACAAAAAATAACTTCATACAGTAAAATAAACTACTGTTCTGTGAAAACCTGTAAAACATATTGATACAAATGAAATGGGGTTTAACATTCTGCTTTTCTGCACCAACTGGGCTTATGAACACTGGCTTACGCCTTACAGTGTGCTGTAAGTGAAAATGGGGCCTGACAGCGGTGCAACCCTCTACACTCATATTGGATTTCAACTGTCAGGTTGTCAGGGGATCTTTACGTGCATGCCAATGTGTACACGGTACCTTGTTTTTTCATCACAGGCGAATAACTAAACGTTGTCCCTTTCCAGGCACTCTGTCTTCCACGCCTGAAAATCCTGATGAACTTTCTCGGCCAACAAACGGACCAAACATGGGACCTCCAGGTTTGCGAGCCAACGTCTTACTGAGTCACTGCAGCTCAACAAACAACAAGGCAACATTTGATATCCCTGACTGACAGTGGCACTGCCCATACCTGAATTCCAAGTGTCCAGTACCCTAACTGCCTGACTACAATGCTACGACATAGAATTGAATTTTATTGGATTTTAAAAAGAAATAGTTATCTATACAATCAATAAATGTGACAAATATGTCATCCAAGATGTAGTTTTAGGAATAAATGACTGTCTCATGTCCCATATGGCTTGTACTTCACTGGGGTGATACTTGTGGGCCATAATAACAAGATGATTTCGAGACCAACCTTCTACTGAAATACCTGTAAAAGAAAATCCACAATTTCCCACAAACCTTGCCCCAGCTTGATGCCCTAATATTCCAGTGACATATATGTCTTCTATTGGCAGTATATGACATCTATTTGCTGCGTCAAGCATCCCTTGTAATAAATCAGTCGATATGGCATAACATACACCTGTAATATAATCTGGATAAATTTCTTTATAATAATCCTTTGCACCAACAAACCATTTTGATTTCACTCTACGTTTTGGTAATGCCTCTCTAATAACATGTCCAACAATAACTTTAGGATACGTTATATTTAGTAATATATTAAACAAAGCTGGAATGTCCACAAAAATATCATCGTCTATTTTCACAATATACTTTGATTCTGCACAAAAAATGGATGACCATTTCAAAATGGCTACACTTTTATAAGTTAAATTTCTGTAGGAATCTTCATAGTCTATAAATACAATGTCGTTCTCTCTCTTACTTTCCTCAGCAATTTTCAAGCTGATACCCGAAACCTCACTTTTTCCGACCATGAAGATATAATGTATTTTATTATTCATTGAATTTGACGCCCACGTTTTGCGAATGACATCTCTTGAAGGACCATTTTGCGGTGAAGAGACTATGCAGATGGTCAGAAAGATCTGCCTGTCAGTCGGACATGGTTTACCAATGTTTATAAATCGAATATTAGCCAAATCAAAAGTTACTGCTTTAGATCTGTTATGATAATGTATTGTTAAATCCTCATTTCTACTTTCCACCATGGAACATGAAAGTTTATATTGGAAGAAGGTTTGTATGATTTCCACCAGTTGTACATACTGAATGTAAAAAAATAAAGTCAGACAAAGGCCTACAATTTTGATAACTTTCTTTGTTAAATTCTTCATTAAAAACCACCTGAAAAAGTTAAGCAGACAATCAAGTTTAAATAAACGATTCTGGTGTCATATAAATGGTCGCTATGTAATGATTATAATGAAATCAAATGGTGTTTAACGTCCGACTGGGCTAATGATGGAAAATGAGGGAAATTTTGCCCGGACAGCGGCATTATGGCCTACACTTTTATCGAATTTCAACTGCCAAGGGATCTTCATTGTTCACGCCAATGTGTACTTCTAAACTTGTTTTTTTTTTGTCCCATCCAAACGAGTATACAATGTCCATTGCCATGCCCTTGGTCCTGTACCACTGACAAGGAGGAACCACACCAGAAAATCCCTACGAACTTTCTCAACCAATGCAGGGATTGAGCACAGGAGAGGGGTTCACTAGTCCACGGGTTCACTAGTCCACTGCTAGTGCTATAAGAAATATTATAAATATGGGTATCAAAGCACAGGACCCCCACTGAGCCACATGAAATCAAATGAAATGGGGGTTAAATGTCCTACTTAACTTTTCTGCATCAACTAAGCTCATGAAGACTGGCATAAGGGAAAGTTTTCACGAACAGCTGACACCACAGACTACTCTTATTTCAAATTCAAACTGACATGGGTTATTTTACTACAGACTACAGGCACGAGTACAACCTAAGTAACTCGTAGTTACTTTAGTAACGTAAATTGTATCGGCTCTGCCTTACCCTAGTAGAAGGCAGAGTCGATACAATTTACGTTACGGTACTAAAGTAACTAAGTAACTTGGTGTTCCGTCCCATCTCAATGACTAGACGTTGTCCTTTGTCAGTCTCTCTGACAAATCCTGAGGAACTTTGTTGGCAAACACCAACAGTGAACCCTAGACTGCAGTGCCTTACTCACAGAGCATGGCTGTCAATTGAACTTTGTTTTCACACTTTGTTTGTATGAATGCATTGTATATGTATTATTGAATAATGTATATATGACTATAAGTGTATATGTATGCATGCTGTCCTTCATTGAACGTTTTGATGCAATAAACATCTTATCTTATCTACAAATGGAATAATAAATAATTTATTTTGGACCACAAAATTGAACTAGTCAACAGTGAGGCTGATGTTGACCCGGAGCTGCCTTAGTCAATCCCCAAATAAATAAATGACACATATTAATTAATTGTTCATTCGTTAGACCTGATGATGACTTTCCAGCTACTGTATTGTGTATGAAATAAAAACGTGTATGTATGTTTTAACTACTTAATTTAATTGATTTTATACATAGCTGGTCATGTGCTAGTCCAGCTCTGAACGTAGGTCTCGTTACACTCAGTGACCTACGTTCAGAGCTGGACTAGCCATGTGCAGGCTTTACACAATAGGCCTCCAACTCCAAGCCAAGGTTTTCATTTACCAGGCAGTAGGCCTACATCACATTTGACACGATGACATATTAGTTACATATGAAGCAACGACCGAGAGTTTTACAAAATCTGGATAAGAGCCGTGATCAACTCAGCCGTCTCTTTTTCATCCGCCGAGATCAAGTCAGCCGTCACTTTCTCATCCTTCACTAAGAATAGTCACCCTTCGCTAACTGCGAATCAAGCTGGCCGTTAGACTGGACAACCTGCTCTAAATGACATTAGGCTGGTTCCTAGTACGTCACTGCGCTATTCTGACTTCAATAAAAATACGAGTCTTAATACGAAATTCCAGATAACATGTTACATATCACTGAAAAGCACATTCATTTCTCTTTTCAAATATATAAATTATTTTCTGGCACATTTATATTTACTTACCTTGACAAATTATCGAAGTTGGATGTATATACTGAACTCTATTAAGTAATTACGTGGGGGAGGGGGGGTATTCAATGTCTAATTAAGGGTCTTAATACGAAATTCCTGATCTACATATCAGTAGAAAGCACGTTCATTGCTCCTTTCAAATATATAAATAATTTTCTGGCACATTCATATTTACTTGCCTTGAGAGGTGAACAAAGACGAACGGTACAAAAAATCTATTAAATGAAGAGGGGGGGGGGGTATGGGCCACTGTAGTAGAAAGCATGTTCATTGTTCTTTTCAAATATATAAATAATTTTCTGGCACATTCATATTTACTTGCCTTGAGAGGTGATCAAAGACGAACGGTACAAAAATCTATTAAATGATGGGTGGGGGTATTCAATGTCTAATTACGGGTCTTAATACGAATTCCAGATATTATGCTAGTATCAGTAGAAAGCACGCTCATTGCTCCTTTCAAATATAAAAATAATTTTCTGGCACATTTATATTTACTTGCCTTGAAAAGTGAAAAGGGGGGGGGGGGATTTGAAATAAAAATGCGGGGCTTAATCCAAATCTTAATCCGTAGATCTATACTGAAAAGTAAAGTTAATCCTCTCTTGAAATTTATTTATTATATTTTCGGCGGAATGCATATATACTTTTTAAATTAAAATTGATACAAGTTTGGTAGCCTTCACTGGCTTAATTAAAGATAGTGGTGGGGTGGGGCGAGTGTTTAATGTCAAAATACGTGTCTTAATACGAAATTCCAGTTATTGTGTCATACATCACCGGAAAGTAGGTTTCTATGGCTCTTTGAATCTACTTGTTATTTTCTGGCACATTCATGATTGCATACTTTAGAAGAGATAAAAGCATTTTTATTTTGAGCAAAGAAATGGGTTACTAAAAATAGACTACTTTCAATTCATTTTATTTATCGAAGGCTCGGATTAGTTTTGGTCATCCAGCGAATTTGTAAGTGACGGCCAGCTTGATTCCCAGTTACTGAAGGGTGAGTATTCTTAGTGAAGGATGAGAAAGTGACAGCTGATTTGATCTCGGCTTTAGATTAGTTGGTAAAATAAAATGCATTGTTGAGAAGTAAATTGTTAGAAGTTAACCATCACACGTGCTTTGTTATTTTTGGAAATTGGACGTATGGGTCATAAATTTACACAAAATAACTTGAACTAGAACTGCAATGCAGTAATGACGGGTTTCACCGGTGCCACGTTACCCTTACTTATGTCACTTATAATGCCAGTTACCCAGCAATATCAATTTCATTTATACATCTGTTACCATGTGTTACATAATGCCAAAAAAGTGATCTTAATACGAAATTCCAGTTATTGTGTCATACATCACCGGAAAGTAGGTTTCTATGGCTCTTTGAATCTACTTGTTATTTTCTGGCACATTCATGATTACATACTTTAGAAGAGATAAAAGCATTTTTATTTTGAGCAAAGAAATGGGTTACTAAAAATAGACTACTTTCAATTCATTTTATTTATCGAAGGCTCGGATTAGTTTTGGTCATCCAGCGAATTTGTAAGTGACGGCCAGCTTGATTCCCAGTTACTGAAGGGTGAGTGTTCTTAGTGAAGGATGAGAAAGTGACAGCTGATTTGATCTCGGCTTTAGATTAGTTGGTAAAATAAAATGCATTGTTGAGAAGTAAATTGTTAGAAGTTAACCATCACACGTGCTTTGTTATTTTTGGAAATTGGACGTATGGGTCATAAATTTACACAAAATAACTTGAACTAGAACTGCAATGCAGTAATGACGGGTTTCACCGGTGCCACGTTACCCTTACTTAAGTCACTTATAATGCCAGTTACCCAGCAATATCAATTTCATTTATACATTTGTTACCATGTGTTACATAATGCCAAAAAAGTGATCCTTACAAAATTTGTTACTAACTTACCGCTAAGTTAGCTGACTTTTTAATGGGAAATTTCTCGACAAGGGATAATGCTAGAAGCAATTTTTGGACATCTATATGATCGTATTGATCCAATCTACATGTCCATTGGAATCAAATATAATGTTAAACGAATGATAAATATAACTCACTTCAAAACAATACAGTTTTTGCCAAAATTACATTATTTCAGGTGATAATAAAAATGTTAAATTAATTCTATGAAATTATAAATGGCATCATTTTATGGTGAAAATTTTATGATAATCGAATAATAATTGACACTTTATAGACCAAAACCTTGAATAATGACTTGTAGAATATGGTCTATTTCTCTGCAACCAAACAAGTTAGAAAGTATTTTGTGATATCTGTATGGTCGTATGCGTTCATTCTATTTGTTAATTGGAATCAAATATCATAATTTTAAAAACATTAAAAATCAGACTCATTTGAATAAAATATCTGTTTTAGGGGCTAAAAATACAGTGTTTGCCCAAATGACGTCATTTTCAGTGACAGTGAAAATGTTAAATTGGATTAACCTAGTCAAAAGTGGTATGAGGCATCACATGGTAAAAAAAATTGAAAATCGAACGATAATTGACTCTTTTACATGCAAAATAACGTGAAAAGTGACGCATGCAAAATTGCCTATTTCTCGGCAACTGCGCATATTTCAAACTAATTTTGACATACATTGGCCTCGTATGGATTAATGCTACAAAATTATGAAAGTTGCGTAGAAATAATTTAAAATATGAAGACGATGAATGGGTTGTAAATAGCTGATTTTTACTCCTTTTTTTCACCCTTAAATCAAAATGTCGCAAATACAATACCGATATAAAAAAAAAAAAAAAAAAAAATAAGCCGAACATATTTTGCGCCTGTAGTAGGAGCATTCATCTTCATTGATAAGATTTGTAGAAATTAATATTTTTCCTTAGGAAAAGACCTAATAACCCGTCAAAATTTAAGATTTAGGCAAAATTACGGTGCCGACAGAAAACTTTATTGGTTGAAACAAGTTAAGAATTTACACAAAGAAGTATATGAGCTTTTGTTTTATACACAATCAGGCAATAAATAATTAATTTAGAACCCATAAACTGTAATAAAAATGTGAAAAGTCTTAAAAAGTGATTCTGACGAAATTGGCTATTTCTTGGCAAGGGAAGATGCTAGAAGCTATTTTTTGACATATTTATGATCGTATTGATCCAATCTATATTTCCATTGGAATGAAATATCATAATGTTAAACAAATACTAAATATAACTCACTTCCAAAAAATATTTGTTTTGAAGGCTAAAAATACAGTTTTTGATAAAATGACATTACTTCCGGTGAGAATGAAAATGTTAAATTAGTTGTATGAAATCAGAAATGGCATAAGGCATTACATAGCGAAAATTTTATGAAAATCGAATAATAATTGACAATGTTATTGACCAAAAACCTTGAAAAGTGACTAGTAGAAAATCGTCTATTTCTCTGCAACCTTACAAGTTAGAACCCATTTTGTGGTATCTGTATTGTCGTATGGGTTCATTCTATTTGTTGATTGAAATTAAATATCATACTTTTCAACAAATAACATATACGACTTATGTGAAAAAAATGGTTTAACCTAGTCAAACGTGTCATTAGGCATCAAATAGTGAAAGAAAATTGAAAATTGAATAATAATTGATTCTTGTACAGGCAAAATAACGCGAAATGTGACTCATGAAAAATTGCCTATTTCTCGGCAACTGCTGATATTACAAACTAATTTTGACATACATTCTCTTTGTATTGGTTATTGCTAAGAGGTTATGAAAGTTACGATGAAATATTTTTACACCTTTTTTCGCCTTTTAATCTAAATGGCCCGAAAACGAAATCGAAATTAAAAAAACTGATCCCGATGTTTTGTGTGCCTTTACAGGGCGTACCCTTTCAGTTAAATCAGATTTGAAAAAAAAATGATATTTGCTTTCAAAAAGTTGTACCGAACTGTCAAAATCTGTCAAAATTGTAGTTTTTGCTGATTTTACGTCACTTCCGGTGCCGACAGGAATCTTTACCGGCAACAAAAAAAAAATGACATTTTGGACCATGCAGCATATTATTAAGAACTTTCTTTTGTACAAATCGAATAATAAATAATTAATCTAGGACTGAAAAAATGAATTAGCCAATGGCGGCCAAGGAAATTTACGAACACAAAAAATGTTGACATTTTTAGTCAAATCGGATAACTCTTCAACCCTGGTTAAAATGCCATATAAAAATATTCATAAATAAAAAAGTTTTTTTGTAAAATTTTAAATTTTCGAAATTTGGCGCTTAATATCTACGAAGATTCGTTGACAATCAAAAATCAAAAGTAGCACAGCTATGTGCCTGGTCTCCGGCTATGTCAAAATGCATCATATGTTAAAATTCGATGATTATTGTTAATACGTTACCTTTGAACTTGTGTCACTCCCGATGCCAAGTTACCCTTGAACATATGTTCCTTCCGGTAACAATGAAACCGTTAAACATGTTTTCACCTAAACATTGCGCACATGAAATAAAATGGACGCAGAATCAATCAAATCCAGCAATCAATTCATTTTATGCATTTGTTACATGTAGGTGATCCTGACAAAATTAGATTACTTTTACAGGCAAAATAATGTGAAAAGTGACTCATGCAAAATTGCATATTTCTCTATAACTGCTGATATTAGAAACTAATTTTGACATACATTCTCTTTGTATAGGTTAACTGCTACGAGTTACAAAGAAATATTTTAAAATATGAAGACGCTGGATGGGTTGTAAATAGCTTATAATAGTTACACCTTTGTTCACCTTTTATTCAAAATGGCCTGAAAATGAAATCGAAATTTAAAAAACTGAAAACTGAGTCCGATATTTTGAACACCTTAACACGGCGCATCT